CCCCCACCCCCCGCACCTCGTCTGCTCCCAAACCCGACCGGTTTTCAAACCTTAAACCCCAAAACCCGCCCCACACCCTGCCAGGACGTCCACCGACGTGGCCAAGTACAAGAACCTGATTGACGAGGCCACCTTTTACGACAGCCAGTGGAACGCAGCCTGGGTGGGCGTGCAGCGGCCCAGCGAGAAGGAGCAGTAGGCGGTGCCACACGGCTCCTCGTGGCCCCCTGGTTTTTTGCAGCGTCTCTTTTGAATGGAGTGAAGAGCGTCGTTTCATAACTGCATGTGGGCATCCAAGGGTTTGCATGCCCTTGGACAACTCCTGCGCTGCCGCCGCAGGGCGGTGCGCATGTTTGAGCTCTTTTTTTTCACTGCGCGTCGCGTGGAGCTACGTGCCACGTGTAAACAACCGAGAAGGCGGCCTAGAGGCTGGACTGACAGCCTGGGGCAGCGGGAAAACTTGATGAGGCTGGTACGTGGGAAAGCCTGATGCAAAATGTTTTGATGCTGATTGCAGTTTCTGCACAGTACATGCTCGATATGTCCACACCTGGTCCAGGCATCGGTTTACATTAGTGTGCGGTGGCATGATATCTCCAGACTGTCAATTTGATGCTGCAGTGTTGCAAGTCCCACAACCTGGTGCGGAGCTTGGTTCCTCCAAAGTCTTATCACAATGCATGACAAACCAGTGGCATTATTGTGCACATCACATCAGCTATACCGTGCGCAGCAGGACAAAGCAGGAGGAAGAGTGGGGGCTAACAAGTCGGATTTTGAGTCATGCATTGCGCTCATAAGCGGGAAGTTGCTGAGCCACAACCAGGTCCAAGCGTTAGTGGCGCATTTGTTGTGAGCAAGGCTGGGACTGATTGTGTCAGAAGAGCAGGTCAATCACTGCTTGTGTGATCATCACGAGAATGGGTCTGGGATTGAATGGCGTTCAACATGCACGCGTCCAACCAGGCTGGCAGGAAGCCCTTGGTCCTGGGGAAATTTGCGCGGTCTGCTGCGTTTTTGGCCCGCAAAGCCGCGCTCGGCATGACAGGAAAGCCTCTTGTACGAGCTCCGCCCTCCGCCTCTCTGCACCAGCCAACCTCGGTCGCAAACCCCCGACGCGCGGCATTTGTGCTGTGTGGGCAGGGCCAGGAAAGCCGAAAAGTGCAGGTCTCAACACATGCCCATGCCGATTTAGAGATGCGCAAATTGGTGCAACATGAGGGTTCATTCAAGCCGAACGAGGTAAATCGTTGATCCCCCAGCAGAGGCCTCTTCAGCAGCAACTCTGCCCACCAGTGGGGCTGGGAGTGCGGGCGGGGCAGCAGGACTTGCGCGCCCCAACCCACCGTCTCAACTGCCTCAAGATGGGCTCAGCCGTGCCCGCTGCGCTGCGCCGGCCCTGGGCACCGTAGGCATTCCATACTCAGCCCACAACCCCCCGTCGCTCCCGCCCTCACTGCTGCTGTCGTCATCATTCACCCCGGGGATGCCGGCCCCCCAACTGCCGCCCTCTGACGAGCCCGCAGCAGGGTCAGCATCCGTCTTGAAAAGCGGGTTGAAAGGCGCAGGATCAGCGCTTGCCGCGGCACTCGCCACGCCAGCTGGCGTTCGAGGGGCAGCGGCGCCGCCGCTTCCCAGCAGGCGACCAAAGAAAGGCAGCCTGGACGCCCAACCTGACGAGCCGGGGCTGGCGTCAGCCGTGCTGGCAGCCGCATCTGCTGCACGCCTTCCACCAGGAGGCAGCTGAACGCCCGCCCCGGGCCTGGCGCCTGCCGCAGGCCCCGCCTGCTGGCCCGCCGCGTCACCGAGTACCTCACCCAGGGTCATCGCGTGAGCTGGCAGGTCGACGGACGCACGCACGTTGACGTTTGACCGGCGGCGGGCCTGCTGGCGCCGCGCGTCCCCGCCGGCAGCCCCGTCCCCCGACGACGCCCCGTCGCCGGTGCCCGCGCCGCCCACCGCTGACGCGTAGCGCGCGCCGGGCAGCGTGCCCGGTCGGAAGCCAAACAGTGACGCCCGCGGACCGCGAACGCCCGCAACACCCCCGCCGCTGCCGTCGCGGCCGGCCGCGGGCCCGCTGCTGCTCGCGGGCCCTCCTGCTAAGCTGCTGATGTGAATGACACCCGCCGCGCCGCCGCCCCAGCCCCAGCCGCCGCCGCGGGGCGTGTCGTGCTTCGCCCGAGCCGCGACCAGCGACGGCCCCGACGGCTGCGCGCCCTCGGCCGCCGCGGGGTGCGGCACGTCCCGCCGCGCCGGCGGCCCCGCCGCCCCGCCATCGCCGCGCTGCCGCGCGCGGCGCATCCTGATAGCGGCGGCCAGCAGCACGCACAGCGCAAGGCCCAGCGGCGCACCGGCCGACACTGCAATGATGATCGTGACGGTGCGCCGCGAGAGCGGCGCGGGCCTCGGCTTGCTGCTCTTGCTGCCACCGCCGACGCCGCTGGCATTGGCGCCGGCGGGGCAGGCCGCCGCCGCGCCCCCGCAGCTGCCCGGTTCTGCAGCCTGCGCGTCTCCCACCACTTGGATAGACCCGTCTGCATCCAACAGCGCGGCCGCCCCACTGGCGCCACCGCTGCTGCTGCCAGCCACCGCGCCCCACTCGTTCACCTCCACAGGGCCCTGAACCGGCACCAGCAGGACCGAGTCCGCCGCCAGCAAGCGGCGCCCGGCGCCAGCCGCACCGGCGGCCGCCCAGACCGCGAAAGGGTCCGGCCGCATCTCCAGATCCCCGCGCCAGCTGTAGCGCCCCGAGAAGCCGGGGCCCGGCCGTGTGGGCGAGGTCACGTCGAGGCTGCCGCCGACGGCCGGCCGCAGCGTCGCGCTGCTCGCGTCGCCGCCGTCATCCGATGATGTCACCAGCGCCATCTCAAACGAGCCGGTCATCGCGATGCGCGCGCTGTAAAGCTGCAGGGTGGCGTTGTACGTGTAGTTCAGCGCCCGCTGGAGCGTGAAGTTCCCGGTGACCTGGACGTCGATGCCGAGTGACACAAAGGACAGGCTGCCGTCGAAGAGGGCGACCCGCGGCGGCAGGGGAGCACCCACGTCGCCGCTGGCGCCGCTGCTGCCGCCTGAGTCTGTGGGCGCCACCGACACAGACCCGCTGCCCGCGCCGCCGCCGCCGCCGCCGCCGCCGCCGCCGCCGCCGCCGCCGCCGCCGCCCCCGCCACCGGCGGGCGACGGTGAGGGTGACGCCAGGGATCTATTCGTGGACCCTTTGATCGTCAGGTTGCCGCCGACGATGCGCACTGCCTTGTGCACCTGCATGGAGGTTGACGAGGTGCAGCCACACGTGGACGGCGCGCAGAGCGACGAGGCAAAATCAGTATACACAGATAGACAATGCCTGGTCATTTCTGAGCTGGTTTTGTAGTCTAAAAGACGAGGAACAGTGCCTGTGGGTTGAGGGGAGGAGCGCTGGAACAGGGAGTGCAGGCCTGGGCTCACCTGAGGCGCAGCTGGTGATGCACTGGGGCTCGGACTCGGAGTGGGCGGCGGTGGGGATGGTGTAACGATGGGGCTCGGCCTCGGGGAGGGGCTGGGGCTGGGGGAGGGCTTCGGCGATGGACTTGGGCTTGGCGACAGCTTGGGAGAGGGGCTGGGGCTTGGCGACGGCTTGGGAGAGGGGCTGGGGCTTGGGGAGGGCTTGGAAGAGGGGCTGGGGCTTGGCGACGGCTTGGGAGAGGGGCTGGGAGAGGGGCTGGGATGTGGCACAGAGCAATTAGGTTCAGGACACACGCGCGGCACAACATCCAGCGCCACGTCATGGTCGCCGGCCACGAACACCTGCGATGGCGGAGTGTGAGCAAACATAGAACATGGGTTGGCACGCGATGATAGCTGGGTGGTCACGACCGGCTGCATAGATTATTCAATAGTACGCCCAATGAAGATGTACAAGGCCAAACAAGGCTGCATGCATGATTGAGCTTGAGGTCAGCAAAAAAGTTGATGCCAAAGGTCGACATATCAAGCAGTGCTCCGCCCACCTCGGCCACGGTGATGTTGTAGGATGCATTGAAGTACCAACGGGCGTCGACCATCGCCGACGTGTTGGGTTTGTAGTAAGTCATCCCGTGCGCCGCGTAGCTCAGGTTGTTCACCGGATCCAGGGGTGCGGTCAGCAGCGCGGGGGCGCCGTTGACGTTGACGTGGTCATAGGACTGCAGGCGTGGGGCGGCGTGGCAAGCGGCAGGTACGAGGCCGCCGTGAATTGGTTGGGACGTTGGCTGCTTGGTGATTATTATCATAGCCAGGTGTGTGACCCGGGGTTTCAAGCCGCAGAGGCATGAGCCGTCCGGCTGCCCAAGTTTCTGTCCAAACGAGCAAGCAAACACCCAGGCACAGCTGCCTACACACACGACTGCGCCTGCATCAAGCGGCCCCGTGCCCGAACAAAAATGATTGCGACCCCACCCGCGGCCACTTGACCAGCATCATCAGCCACCCCAGGGCCGCCTCCAGGACATCAGGCCTCAGCAGCCTCAAGCTGGTCACCGGCGTGTCAAACGGCGCGTCCCATCGCAGCCAGTACCGCCTTGGGGGAGACGATTGAAACAGGGGGAGCGACAGAAACAGCCGCGTCAGCGCAGGCAATACGCCAGTGGCGAGCACGCAGTCAGCACATGCAGGCGTGTGCCTGTGGACTTTGCAAGCGATCATGGGCCAGCGTTGGTGCATGCGTGCGTGTATGCATAATTTACGGGCCCAAAATCATCGCCGCCATCACCCTGGTGTTGCGAGCGTGAACATGTAGCCATTTGCGTTGCCGGCGCTGAACGGCACTGCAAAGCTGCGGTTGGTGCCGTTGATGGTGACAACCAGGTCCCTTTGGAGTTAGGAAGGGATGAGGGTGGAGTCAACAAACGTGTGATGGTGGGCCAGTGGGGGTGATCATCACGCAAACACGCCGGCCAGCACAAACAGTCAGCCCCGGAGCCGGCATGCGCAGGCCACGGGCATGCCGGCCCTAATTCGGTGTGCCACAACGGTGCGTGGGTGAGCGGCAGCCGAGGTCTCGCAGATCGCAATTGATGCAGTCCATTCAAGCACGACATGCATGCACCTCCAACAGCCACCCAGGCCTCACTTGTACCAGAGCGCCGCAGGCTGGTGGTTGTTGACCATCATGCGGCGGAATGTCAGGTGCGGCGCGCACACGACACCCTGACCCTGCACGCCGTGAACGTGAGCCCCGGGGCAATAGCGCACATTCAGCATTCCCGCTGCATGCACCAGAAGGGTTCATGATGATGGGATGGCGGCCTTTGTAAGTATTCATTTGTGCAAGCATGCACTATTGACTAGATTGACAGACTGTGGAGCACAGAAAAGAACTTCCTGACCGTTGGCAGGTAGATACAGTCCCGGTCATCAAACATCCGGTTGCCGACGTCGGAGTGGAAGGTGGCGCCGGCTGCGGGCAGCGTCCAGTTGTGGTACGACGCGTTGGGGAGCGCGGTGCCGTTCGGCAGCGTATCATTGTTGAGGAGGGAGCCGTCCGCATCCAGGTAGATGCCCTGATGGGAGCACAGGGGGCGCGGCACTTGGTGGGTGGGCATTCTCTGGAGGACACTACGCGGTGCTGGCTGAGCTGGGGAGGGCGGCAGTGCATCAGGAGTTTCGCTGGGCTGGCACGCCGCTGTACACGCACACGAGCCGGGGTTCGCGAGCTGCTCTGAACGATGCGGGAAGACAGGTAGAGTGGGCCAAAACAGCGCAGCAAAGCAGGGGCAATGCTGTACATTCCCAGGCAAGCTGGCCCCTGCCACACATGCCAGCTACACCTGGTGGCCCCAACTCCAGGCCACAACGCTCGGTGGCCCAAGGCCAGCTGGTAGGAACGTCATGCCAGACACCATCGTTGTGGCGCCCCCCTGCAGCATACAGTTGTGTACCAACGTTGGTGGAGCGGGGGGATTGAGCGGCGGCGCAGAGCGTGGATTGCTGGGGCGGACCCGTCGCTTGCGCTATGGGCACCAGGAGGTTGGCATTACCAGGCTTGACATTGCAGGCTGCTTGCTTTTTGATTCCATCAACGCCTTTCCTGGCTTCAAAGGCGCGGTCTGAAGCAATAAGAGCCGAAGCAGCCAACCTGGTAGGTGCCGCACTTGCCGCAGGGCTCCAGCGCCACAAATTGCGGCCCACTCCCATTCTGTTGCGTCCAGCCGACAAACGTGACATTGATCTGTGAGGGGTCGATGACAGGTTAGGTGAGGTTGGTGCATCAGCCTGAGGCGGCGCGCTTCTGGGCCGGCCAGGTGCGGGGTTGGAGGTGTGGATGCGCGCTGGAGGGTTGCTGCCAGGTATATGTGGCCTGGGCTCCACCAGCCGAGGGGTTTCGTGAGGGCTTGACATCAGCCGGCCGCGTCCAAGGATCCAACCATACCAATCGTGGCAATCGCACTTCCACAATGGGGTCTTTGTGCGTGCCAGTCAACGACGCGGCAGGTAGCACCCCGCTGTATGAGCACAAACAAGAGCTCATGTTGGGTAGGCGTAGACGCCCCCTCCCGCCCCGAGCGGCGCCATCTCACCACACTCATCAGGGCTGAGTGACTGTCGCTCCACAGCGGGGCGCTCTGCGTCACCACCCCGCGCACGCCGCGGGCGCCCGGCCACGCGCCCGCGCTGCCGACGCCGCCCTCTGTTGTGCGCGCCACCACCAGGGCGTTGCGTACGCCTGCAAGTCATATCAACATCGAACTGACAGTGTGAGACCGATATATACGCCAGGTACACCTGCACCTGCGTCCCTTCACCAGACTACAGACCGGCATGTTGCAAACACGAATACATTGCTTCCCAGCGGACCATTGGCAGTCAGAAGCCACTGACTAACACTCGGACGCCGTCCGCCCCAAACCTGCAGGTACAAGCGCAAAGCCCACCTGCCATGGCGGTCGCCGGCGTCCCCGCGCCGCGCGGGCGGCCGTCGACCACGAAGGCCATCTCGGCGCCGGCGCCGTAGTCCGCCGTGTAGATGACGTGCTGTTGCGCGCCGCCGCCGCAGTCCGCGACTGTCAGGTCTGTGAACACCACCAGCCCCACCTGCGGGTGGCGAGGGGGGGGAGGGGCGCAGCCGGCACAGACTTTGAACATCAAGCCCGGACCCCAGAGGCAGTCAGCAGGAGCGGCCCGACTTGTGAGGACACGGCAAGGTTCAACTCTCGCACCCAAAGCATGGCTTCAATCTTGTTTTGTCTCACTCACGAGAAGCCGGCCCTTCAACGGCGCCTGTGGGGCGACCCCCCATCCCCAACCCCCTGCACGCAAGGTCCTTCCTCACAGGCCGACCTGCGTCGCTGTGACGCACTTGACCCCGTTCTTGTAGGACAGCAACCTGGTGAACTCTGCAGGGACCTGGCCATTGGATTGATCAATGTGTAGGGCGCATGTGGGTGGGGAGGGTGCAGACTCCGGGTCGTTATGATGACGATCCGCCCATGACGAGCTCCTGCGCACAGACTTATGCAGCTCAAATGCTGCACCACCTCTCTGTCCCGCGCGACGAAGTGCATGCGCATGCGGCCGCTCTCTCACACGCGTGCATTGATGGTCGTGGTCATCCTCCACGCCAGAGCGCGCGCGTTGCCCACCGGTGGGAAGAAGTCTGGGTGGATCCGCATCCCAAAGTACGCGGCGGAGTGGGCGGTGTTGGAGTCGAATGCCGCGCTGGCCAGGGCCGTGAACCGGGGGCGGATGGATCCCGTGTAGGAGGGGCCCTCTGGGTAGTCCAGCAGCCGGTACCAGAAGCCATAGCCGTCGGAGCCTGTTGGGGGGGCCAGTGATGGAGAAGGGCGTTGGTCGGGGGCTGCAGCAGCCAAGTTGGGTTGGCAAGGCGGTGGGGAGGGGCTGCGGGGCAGCATAAGAGTGTGCAGTCCCCGAAGGTCAGAAGCAATTACGTGCTGCACAAGGTTTTTTTGGCCTCCCAGCTGTGGCCCCCAGCTGTAATTACTCAAACCTGAACCGCCGCTCCCTGCGCGCCTGCTGCAGAGTTGTCCGTCAGCGTGTTGCCTGGATTTGTGATCCAGAAGGCCGCCGGCTCGAGGTCTGCGTTCAGGGCATAGTGAGTCCGCCTGCACAGAAAAGGCGGGCGCACAGCAGCGTCGGTTGTCCACTCAAAGGACAGCCGGCAGCTGCAATTTGCCAAGAAAACGAACAGGTGCGTGACGGCGCAGAACGCCCTCTGCACCCCTCCCTCGACATCAGAACTTGCATCCCCCCCCTTGTTTGGTGCGCCTAGAGCGGGGCAGGGCCCGTCATTCCCGCCAACCTGGTGGTAACTGCGAGGTTCCCTTGAAGAATGCTGCCTGTCTCGGAGCCGTCCTGAAACGCAAACGCGTGGCCCAGGCTGTCGAAAACCACGTTGCCAGACAGCAGCACCCTGAGCATTGTGCCGGGAGATGAACACGTGCGACACACATGGTGCTGCTCTGTCTTTGTGCAGCCAACAATGAGCAAGCTCAGCGCTGAACATGTCCGAGCAGGCTGGGCTCGTGCAGCCTGTGCTGCAAGCTGGGCGAATGTATGCCCGATGGACCGTGCGTTCCCATCACCTCCCGGGTGGCCACGGAGACAGCGACAGACTGCTGCTGTTGAGGACAGCACGCCTTTGATGCGAAGCAAATTCAGGAGGTCAGGACAGGTGAAAAGCAGAGCAGACTGGCAGCGGCTGGCGACAGCAGGCCTTGCCTGTTAGTGGCGTGGATCGTGGCGGCTCTTGAGTAGGTGGTGTGGACCGCGCAGCCCTTCATATAGGAGCTGAGCGCGACGTCGCCATGCATGTGGAACCGCATGGGGTCTGCGCAGCGATCGATGTGCAAAAGCAGAGGGGCGGGCCGGAGTGACGAGGGCACACGTTGCACTGCAGCAAGGCAGCAGGCAGCGGGGAAATCGCGCTACTGGAGTCCGGGCGGTAACGTGCGCTGCGAAGTCTCTTGGCAAATGGTTTAGATGTTGCATAGTGTTCTCAGGCCTGAAGGGCAGCGCACTCACGTCTGCCCGGCCTGTGGGAGGAGGTTCGAGGTGGGAGTGACCAGGTGGAGGGCGGCCAGCCGGCCATACGTGAGCACACTGGCAGACGCAGAGCGCAGGGCAACGGAGGTATTGAAGCTATAGCCGTTATCAAGCAGCGCAAAGGAGCCTTGTCCAGCTGACCCCATTCCGGCACAGCGCACACACTGCCGCGTGCACCTTGAGGCCTGCCCCGCCATTGCCAGCTCCACCTGCTCCAGCTGGGCGACCCCCCGGCTGGCCGCCCCCGCCGGGCTGCTGACCATCACCTGGAAGCGGGGAGGGGCGGGGCAGGGAGGAGGGCGGCGGGACGGTGGGCCAGCAGGGGAGCCGCGGCATTGGAGCGTGACGGAAGGCTTTGAAAAGATGCTGTGTTGTTGCGAGATTCGCGCGGACGGGGCACCACAGGAGTGGCTCTCCTCGCATGCTGCTTCCCGTTGTGCAATCACAAGCCTGTCGAATCCCAAATCATTCCCCTGGCAGGGTGCGCAACCCGGACTCATCAACGAGGCAGGATCCCTCCAAAGAACCGGAGTCCGCCCCACCCTCTTGCCTCCAAGCATTACATGGGCCGCGGCGCTCCACCTCTAGGCACCCGCACCCCCTCCCTCGCACCTGGGCGCCAAACAGAGTGTCTGCGCTGCTGGGGTCACCGGTGATCCTGACGCTGCGGTTCAGCACCGCCACCTCAGCGCGCATCTCCAGCACGCGGCCAAGGGGGTCACCTGGGAACGTGACCCGCTCCCCCAGGTGCGTGAACTGCAGCGGGGCCGACAGCCCCAGGCGGGTGGCCGTGAAGCTGCGTCACCGGTGGTGCGGGGGGCAGGGGTAGTGAGCAGAGTTCTGGTTGCTGCAGGTTAGATGCTGCCTGGGGCTCGTCCATCAGCAATCCACCAGCAGGCGCTATGCTTAACCAGGTTGCACGTCAACTAATACGTTCAGAATCTCGAATTTGAAGCAACATCAGATCGTGAGCCCGGCCCACGCCGCTCTCTTTGGACGTAGCGCACTTGCCACTGCCCTCCTGGGTGGTGTTTGCGATGATGACGTCATCAAACTCTTCAGGCTCAAAGCCGCTGGGTGCGATGACGATGCGGTCGCCTGATGCATGGGCAGGTTTGGTGAATAGGGTGACGCGGCGATGTCACGACGGTGGCAGCAGCAGCAGCAGCAGCAGCAGCAGCAGCAGCAGCAGCATCACCAGCAGCAGCAGCGGCGGCACCAGCAGCGACGGCAGCAGCAGCAGCGGCAGCAGCAGCGGCAGCAGCAGCAGCAGCGGCGGCAGCAGCAGCAGCAGCAGCAGCAGCAGCAGCAGCAGCAGCGGCAGCAGCAGCAGCAGCAGCAGCAGCAGCAGCAGCAAAAGAAGGGTCAAAGTTCCAAACATGCATCTTGCATCAGAGCTCTTTCACAGCCGAGCAGTGAGGTTGCTGCCCTTCACCGCAGGACAGGATGGGTCACGGCATGCCAGGCGTATTTCGAATACACGCCAAGCTGCCCGCCAATCACCGGGCCTTACCAACTTCCCAATTGACAGCTCCCTCCACGACAATCTCAGCAGCACCCTCAAATGCCGTGGCGTTGAGGTGCGCCCAGGCCGGCGTCTTGGGTCGGCCCCGCAAGAAGAGGGTCCCGTCACGCACCGCAATGACCTGGGGGCGGCGGCGCGGCGGATGGTGGCCTGGCTGCTTGAGTTTGCAGGTGTGGCCGTGGACGTCCACGGCAAGCCCGGCAGGTGTGCAGCACAATGTGTGATTTACCAGTGCAGCACATGCATCACCCGTTGACACGTCGCGCGTGTCCACGTTCTTCACTCTGCGCTTGCACTTTGTCACAACCTACGCTGGGAGCTGAGCTCCTGTCTCCCATCAGGTGGCGCCAGCGCACGGCTCAGCGCAGGCCGCATGCACTCGCTTTGATTCGCCAATGCGTTCTGCACAACCCTCACTTTTGTGCCAAAGAGGGGCAACTCTGACGAGTCGCGGCGGCCGTGCAGCGTAATGACCGCCGTGCCGGCATGCGCCGCATCAGCTGAGCCGGCCGTGAGGCTACCGCCATCGATCAGGATCGAGTGGGCCTGTTTGGGTGTGTTATGGACATTGAAGGCTGATCAGTGGGCGCCACAACGCAAGCAGACGCCCATGCATGAGTGGAGACCTGCTCACATTGATAGAATGCGCACCGGCCACTCAGGGGCTGCCACGCATCTCGATCATCGATGGGCACATGCCCCGCTCATGAGAACACCCACACCACAGAGCCTCACCTGCAGGTTCAGCTCCCCAGCTGCTGAGCCATCAAACTCAAGCGCCCCCTCCAGCACCAGTGACCCCAGCACGGGAGTGGACACGTCGAGCACCACGCGGCGGCCTGACAGCCCCCGCGCGCAAGAGGAGCCGCCCAGGCCGCACTGGTCAGTCGATAGCGCTTATCACATTTTTAGGACAGCCACGCAGCTGGTGCACTGGCAGCAGCCCCCAAGATACCCTGTGAAGACATGGCTGCAGCCTCCGGCAGCAACGGCATGCTGTTGTCTGTTAAGGAGGCATCGTCCTTGACAAAGCGCCATGCGGGGTGCAAGGCCGCCCCCATTCCTGGTTGAGCCGCCCTCACCCGCGGGGATGGTCACGTGGTTGCTGGCCGCAGGGGGGTCGCGGCCACGCCAGGTGGCGGGGCTGGACCACAGCTCAAACCAATTGAAGGACACCTGGGGATAGGGGATAAAGGGGTTTTCCCCATATCGTCCTGAGCCTCCACAGTACACGACAGCACAAACTCAACCCATACTGAGAGCTTGTCGGGCGTGCGGCATGCAACCACAGCCAAGAAGCAACAGGTGCTCACCCAGCTGCAGCCGCCTCACCTCCGTCGAGCCGTTCGCGGCGGGCTCGTGCAGCGCCTCTCCCCAACCATCATACACCACCCTGACCCGCGCCACCGCCGCCGACGGCCTTGGCCAGCCCGCGTCGCCGGTCACACACTCTATCTGAGACGCGTTGACAAGCGTCACATTGCCGCACGGCGCCGCCGCAGCGCCCGCGCCGAGCCAGACGGTCACGCCGCCCGGGGGCGGCGCAGGGAACGCGCCGGTGAGGGTCATGCGTGTGCCGCCGCCGGCGGGCCCGCTTGTTGGGGTCACAGAGTAGACGCGCGGCGTGAGCGAGGGGTCATATGTGAAGTTAAGCGGCGCCAGATACTGCTCCGCAGCGCCCTGTGTTGTGTTGAGTTGGGGCGTAATTCATATCAAGGCAGGCAGGCTCCTTGGTGCGCGGCAGTTGCTAGCATGCATCAGGCCATTGCTTCATGGCACAAGCATGTCTGCCGCAACGAAGGGCTCTTTCGACACGGCTTCCTCTAGGACTCTGGAAAATCAGCAGTCAATAGGCCAGCCAGCCAGCTCACCTCAGCAGGCGTCATGTACAGAGCCGCCGCGCCAAAAGCCCCGGGACCCGCGGTGCAGGTGATGCTCGTGTTTGAGGCCGCAGTCACTGCGCAGGAGCTGTTGTCAAACCGTACAGACAAGTCCCCGACCATGCTGCTGAAGCCTGGGCAGGAATGGAGAAGATTGTGAACAGCGAGGAGGATGGCCACAGCCTGGCAGGCATTTCTGACCCATCCAATATCTTTTTCCAGACTGTCTTGCCCCACTTGGTCACCTGCCCAAATGGAATATCAACCACACATCAAGCAGTCAGAAAAGGTGCTGCAGGTTTGTTGCAGAACAGTCGGCATTGTGGGGAGGGCCCGTGTGTTTGTGTGTGCATGTATGTGTTTGTGTGTGTGTGTGTGTGTGTGTGTGTGTGTGCGTGTGTGCGTGTGCGCGTGTGTGTGTGCGCGTGTGTGTGTGCACGCGCAAGCGCGCGTGTGTATACACACACCTGAGCCTTGGATTGTAACAATGGCCCCTCCGGCGCTGCTGCCTTCCGAGGGCGACAACCCGGTGACATTCAGAGGAACGACCACCGCCTCTGAGCGCCATCCACACCCAAGCCAGGGGACGCACACTGTAAACCGCAGCCGAGCAATGGTTGTGAGGTATCACTCCAACGCTGTGCATCCTGACTCTGGTGGACAAATACCTAGCAGCTGTCTGAAGCAAGGGCAAGGCTCTGGCTTGCAATTACGCATTGTTACAGCAAATCAAAGACGTCTCTAAAACAAAGCTCACCCCATGCCGTGTAGTTTGCAGCTGGGAGCCCAGCAGGCAGGTCGCACTCCAGATTCTCCTCATAATCAGTCCCATTGAGGAAGCCCTCCACTGCGACGGGCCCTGCACACTGGACAAGAGGCCCAGCCACTGCCCCAGCGCGCGCCTGGAATGCGACGGCTGCCGCGCTCGCGCTGCCGTTGCCGCCGGGCGCCGCCCAGACCGCGCCGCCCGCGTCGGCCGCCTCTGTGCTGTTTGTGCCCAGTGCCACGTTCCACGTCAGCGTCACCCGGTCGGAGCCGCCGCTGCCGCCGCCGGCAGTCACATTGACAGCACCGACAGCTGGCGAATTTGCTTTATCGAGGGTGTGCACTATGGTCGCAGAGCCGAGGATGTCCCCCCATGTCGAGTCGACCACTTGCAGGCTGAGGGTCAGCACAAACGTGGACGGCGTCATTGCCAAGGTCGCGACCCGCCCAATGCTCACTGCTGCCCACCCGGCGCCGCTCGCGGCCACGAGGGCCGCTGCCATCGGCGACCCGGCAGGGGTTGGACCGCCGACGGAGGCACGCGTGAACGCGCCCCCGGGTGCTGCGGGCGCGCCGCCCGCGCTTGTCGCGGCGAGGCCCCAGCCGGTGATGTTGACTGTCGACCCGCCCCAGAAGCTCCCCTTTGATGGCTGCGCTGCGCTCATGCGCAGGGTGTAGCCGACGAGCAGCTCTGACGGCAGCGGGGGCGCGCGCAGCGCTGACGGGGACGCCAGCAGCACGGCCAGCGACGCCGGCATGGCTGCGTCCCCGCGGCCGGCGATGTTCACTCGCAGGCGCTTGGTGCCAGCATAGAGCATTGGAAGGTCGCAGGTGATATTGCCCTGGCCGAATTCGTCCACGTTGAGAGTGTTTATGAGGCAAGGAGCGCCGTCCAAGGTTATTGAGTAGTCCGAGGCGTTATAGCCGATGCCTGTGCCGTTGAGCACGAGGGTACCGGGCCCGTCGATGGAGGCGAGGCCGTGAGGGTGGGACGGCGCCGCAACGGACGTCAAGACTGGCGTGAGGGCACTTGCATAGTAGAACATGCAGGCTCCTGGGATGCATGACAGCAAGGGGTGAGGTGGAGTGAGTCTGGAGGGGGTGGCTGAAGGTGAGGTTGAGGTCCCAATTATTTGGGTTGGGAGATATCCATACTGTGCAAAGCAGCCTTGTGAGCTGTGTCAGCAGCAGCACGCAGCTGGCTGGCATGCATTAAAGCATCACACAGCCCCCTCTCACCCCCCTGACCATGCCCTGCCCACCCGCCGGGTTGGTGAAGTTGGTTGGCTCAGACGGGTCCAGGGGTGTTGAAGGGGGGACGGTGCTGACGTTTATTGTGGCCGCCGTGCAGCTCATGGCAGCCGGGATGCCGTTGACCGCGACGAGGACTGGGACAGGCACACCAGGGCGCACCAGCAGAAGGGCTGAGGGAGGAATGGCTGCAAGTGACTGTGCGGGCAAGCACGTGCGTTGCGGACGTGCGGTCACGAGTTGGCGCGCGCAGGCCTGCACTATAATAAGCGACGAGGCGCGGTGATGACGTGCAATACGCTGGCTACCAATACTGGCTGCTCTCATGACTTGACTCGGGTGTTGTAGGGCACCCTGTCTGCTCCTGTGCATTCAAATCGTCACTGTCGTTGAAACATCACCATGTGAGCGATTGGCCTTGGCCCCTTCGCAGGCTCTATTTCTGGCTGCTCACCGCTCCAGGCGTCCCGGCGTCCCAGGAGAGGGAGGCGCCGGCCCATCCGGTGCCCTGAAAGAACTGCACCTCGGCGTCATGGTAGCCGGCCCCCAGCTCGCTGCGCGCAGCAATGATAGAAATGGATTCGGGGTCGGGGGGCCAAGGCAATGCTTGAGTGCGTGTGACTGGAAGCAACCCAGACGTCTGCCTGGCTGTGTCAATTGGAGGGGAGTCCTGCATCCGTGCTGGCGTCGGGACTGCAAGGGTCCAGTCAGCGTGCACCCATCAGACAGCCACGCGGCTACAGCCGCAGCAGCCGGCTGCAAACCCTGCAACACCCACCCTGAGGCCAAGCAAGCGGATCACGCACACTGCCAGCATCAGGTCATCTCTCGCACTCACATTCTCAGCGGCCAGGGCCCGGCCCACGTGCTGCCAACCATCTGGCCGTCCAGGTATAGCGCCGCCGCGTCATCAGCATTCAACTGGAACGTAAAGTTGGCTGCCGCCTGCGCCAGGAACGCAAAGGAGAAGCGCGCCGCCCAGTACGCTGATTGGGACAGCCCGGGGGGCGGCAGGGCGCTCCAGGAGCGGCCCACCACTGTTTGGATGACCGACGCGTCTGTCAAAGATGCGGAGCGGCACGAGGGGTTTGCGTCAGGCGTGGAAGCCAACACGCGAGCGATGCAATCAAAGCTTGAGGCATACGCTCGGTTGATACCTATGTTGCCCTGGTGATGGCACACCTCACGCAGCCTCGGCTGCCCCCACTTTACAGGATGGTTCCCTGCGCCCTCCCTGACACGTGCTCTTGGAGGCGCAGCCTGGACGCCCACCTGGAGGCCGGTAGCTCCTCAGGTCTGGCAGTATGCTCGTCTGCATGTCCAGCCGCCAGTACTCCGCCCTCACCAGCCCCGCCACCCCAGTAGCCCTGCACGCGAGCTCGCCGTCCGTCACAGACCCTGAAACGACGTCGCATCGCTGCCCGCCGACGAAGACATCGTTAGCGGCGGCATGCGTGGTGTTGAAGCCTCCATCAGCGCCGGGCGGCGCACGGATGATGAGCTCAGCACCGCCCACGATGCTGCCGACGTTGCCGAGCAGCGCCCCCACTCGTGGCGCGGCAGTGTACACAATGTCAGCTCCCACTGCACCCAGGGTGACTGCCGGGGCGCCGTCGGCCTGCGCTGCCCTGACAGTGTAGACGCCGGCCGGCAGGCCGGCAGGCAGCGAGCAGTTGACGTAGCCGTAATCAGAGCCGGTCACGTTGCAGAGCCAAGCTCCACCGCTGACGCCGCCGTCCAAAGAGATGCTGGCAATGGCAGCCAGCCTGGCTCCCAAAACGGTCAGCTGCCCTGCGGAGTTGTTGCCTGTAGGGCCAAACAAAGGACTGAGAGCGGTAAGGGTCGGGGTGGAAGCCCACTGATAGGAGAATGAGCATGGCGGCGGCGCCGTGGCGTTGACAGCGGAATTGGAAGGGTTTGCGGGGCAGCCGATTGCCCTTGGGTTGCGGGTGTCAGTCCAGCAGTTGAAACTGTCAGAGTCGGAGGCTGGCGGGCTGTTGCATAAGGCTAGGGTCACCGATCTGGGGGGGGGGGATTCGTGAGTGCGTAGTTGTGTGAGTGGTTTGGGTTGGGAGTTGGCCAAGCCGTGGAAAAAATGCTTTGGCAGATAACGAGGTGTGCGGTGGAAGTCCAGCTGGCAAGTTGCGCATCAGTGTGGGGTTGGGCAAGACACTTGAGAGCCCCGCCCACCATGCATGACCTCCAGGACTGCTCTACCCTATGGCTCCTCCATTCACGAGACAGCAGCTGGGACAAGTTGGACCGAGCGCTGCCTGGCAGGCGCTGGCACAGCCCTGCATGCCGCGACGCTCACCCGGAAGGTGTGGCCTGGGGGACCAGCGCCCTCGCCCAGGGGTCCTCCGCGGTCGCGTTGGCCGACAGGTGCGGCCTCGTGACACACGCCAGGCTTGACCCGTCGGCCGCAACCTCGGACACGTCGCAGGGGACGAGGCCGAGGGGGAAGGTAGAGCTTGGGTTGACAGGGACGAAGGCGACAACCGTGAGGTTGTCGCCAAAGGCGGATGGCGCAGGCGCCAAACCAGAGCCTGCGGGATCGGGTTGCCAGGATAAGTTCAGGTCTCAGCAGGCAGGGTTTGGTAGACGAGGGAAGATCAGGAGCCGGACCAGGGGGCAACGGAAGTTGCTATTCAAGCAAACGCGTGCTACTTGTGCGCAACACCGTTCAAAGCCATGTGCAGGGCACGTCAGCGCAGGGAAGTTTGGCTGCAAGTACAAATCACAATGTAAGCTGGTGAGCTTAATTGTCGCTCTTCAGATGCACGCACCTGTGATGTTTAGCCACGTGCCACCCGCAATGTTGCCGCAGCTTGGCGTCACCCCAAGGACTTGCAGCTGCTGTGCGCTCCCGCTGCTGGGCCGGACCGCTATTCCCGGGCTGGGCAGCACAAATGTCGCGTTGCCTGCTGTCAGCGCCAACAGATAGTCGCCCGCCGCCAGCTGGCCTGGCACAATGGTGCACTCCACAAAATCTCCGCCGTTGGCGCTGCCAGGCACTGGGTTGCCACACGCCACGGACGCAGCCAGCGCGATGCGTGCAGCTTTCAGGTCGCCGGTGATGTTGCCGACAGGAAATGCGGGTAGGAGGGAGACCTCCCAGGCCGCAGCGTCTGCTGATGCATTCAGGCCGCGCACAGTGAAGCGCAGGGTTCCGCCTGCGAAAGGGTGCGGGTCGTCAAACGACAGCGCGTGGTCAGGTGAGTGCAAGGGACGGGTCACTCTCCTTGCTTCATGAGACTTCCAGGGCAGCAGGGTTGCAGCCACTGCATGAAGACCGCCGTCGGCTGCAAGCCATGCTTGGAGAGCTATTGTGATCTGCTTTCACCTGCCAGGGGTAGCGTGGGCGGCGAGGGCACGAGCAGTTGGTCAATCGCTGGGCCGGCCGTGCACACCGCAACCGACCGCTCCTCAGCACTGGCGTTGGCTGGCAGCGCCTCAGACGAGCCGCCGGGTGCCATCACCTGTCCAGGCGAGGGACACGTGTGTTGCAGTGTTGGGGTGGAATTGGCGGGGTCAAAAAGTCAGGGTTGTGCATCGCAGGTGACCAGAAGGCAGCATTGCAGCGACAATCACCGTGTATGCATGGCAATGCGCCTCATGCATCCAAACCCATAAGTGCCCACCTGGATGTCCACAGAGGCGTTTCTTGCCGGCCCTCCTGACGTGTCGCGGGGGTATATCACCAGGAGCTCGTCACCAGCGCAGTCCACGACACCGACCGGGACGCCGCCTATGCTGACATTGTTGGCCCCGCAGTCAGTCTGGTCGAAACCGCCACCCCTGATCCTGAAAAGCGTGTAGCCAGAGGCGTCCAACGCCCGCAGATTGTTATCGGACGCTGAGGCGTTCCATGTGCTGTTAGGAAGGTCCAGAGTTGAAAACGCAAGGGTAGAGAACTGGAGGTGAATCCCGTCCTGCCAATCAATCTCGGATGCGTTTGAAGGGTTGCCGCTGGACGCTGAATTGTTAGTTACGGAGGCCAACGCGACGGCCGAGGCGGCGGCCCCCTTGCCGTCGACCTCTACCAGCAGCGCCCGCCGCCCGGCCGCCACTTTGGAGGCATCCAGCGTGCAGCGGAGTCGCAGGAGTGACGTGTCGTTGCCGCTGGAGGGCTCAACTGTGACGTTGCCGCAGGCGTGGGCGCCAATCGTGACGCGGTTGTCTGTAGCGTTTGTGGAGAAACCACTCCCGTCTATAGTCAGCTCCTGATTGTGTCAGTCAGGAGTATGAGTTTGATACGAAATCTCCACTGGTTTGTCGATGCAGCGTGTGGGTGTGAAGCTGACAGCTTACGATCAAACATTACCCTGCTCGCAAGGGCTGCACACAATCAGCAGTCAAACCTTGTTGATGTGGAAAAATGCAGCACACGCAGACCCCCAGGAAGCCTTTGTTGCACATACACACACACACACAACTATGAGGCTCACTTGGTCTATTTGTGTGGCGTTGAACTCCGTTGGCACGACAGAGGTGATGCTTGGGGTTGAGTCCATGGCGTACAGGAAGGTGCAGCCCGCGCGTGCGTCATCGTCGCACGCAGTGCCGATCCCGTTGGCCTCCAGCTGCACCGCCCACGGGTCAATGGCGGGTACCTGCAGCCACTCAGCGGGGATCGGGGCGATGAGCAAGTCACTGCTTGCATTGACAAGCGTGGAGACAGCAATCTGGGGCGTCGAGCCATTGGTAATGTCCAAGGATACGATCCGCAGTTGCGGGATATCCGAGGTTGCTGGCGGGTAGGTGATCTCCCAGGTGAGAGCGTAGTCGATGCCGCCAGACAGTGCGACATGCACACCTGCGTGGTGACAAAGGTTGCAGGCTGTTTCTGGGCGAACATCAGCATTGGTGGGTTGCTGACTCCGCCATGCGGACAGCATTCAGAGGTAGGAATCCTTGAGATGCCCACCGGGCTTGCTTGCCCAAACTGGACGCGTACGCTCCGCCCTGCCAACCTCCTATCAAAACCTCATGCCCGGACCCACCCTTGAGTCCAGGTAGGCGTCTGATAGCCCTCTCAGCCGCCGCCTCCGTGTCTCTGATCCGCACTGTGACGACATCACAGTACCCGGCGGCAGCCAGTCGGAAGCTGCCATCCAGCTGCCCTGACGGCAGCTGCATCGTCGCGACCAGCACCGACACCAGGTCGGTACTGCTGTCATTGCCTGGTGCTGCTGCGCCTGCCAAGCTCTCAGCACCGACTGGAAGCGGCCCTGCTGTGGCGTTGTCCGATGGCAGCCAGCCGTCGCGCCAAGGGAATGTGTACCCGTATGGAAATGCAATCACCCAGCGGGTGCCCACATGCGTGCCCAGTCGGACACTGTGGATGGGGGTTGGGCAGGTGCAGAGGTTGGCAACTCAAAGACTGGGAGCGATGAGGGGAAGGGGGGCGGATACTGCCGTGCAGACATTTGAGGCCTGCGCACAGAGTTGTCCTCAGAGGGTGGCCTCCCGCGCTGGTCGGAGGCACTGCACCAAGAATCAGCGGTCTTGAGGAGGTTGCCGCTTCGTGGATTCCAAGGTCAAAGCCAACGCTGCATGATTTGGGCACCGTTTGTCCTTCAACCCACCTGGCAGACGACACCGACGCCCCATACGCGCTGACGGCTGCGGTGACCATCGCCACCGTTGCATTGCATGGGAGCGAGGTGTAGTTCAGCAGCGCCGGAGCGCCATTGCTGCTGTTGTCGGGCGGGCCGTTCAGCCACAGCGCCCAGCTGCGGCCCTCGCCCAGCGCGTCGTAGCCGTCAACGCCCTGCACATCTTCCGCGAAGCTCGCATTCACCGCGGACGTGTCTGGCGCGGGGGGCGGCGGCGCGGAAGCTGGAGGGTCAGGGTACACCCGCTGAGGGGCGCCTGGAATGGCCACGTACATAGCTGGGCAGGAGGGCTCGCTGACTGTGCTGTTCTCGCCCGCCACGGCGTAATCGACAGCAGAGAAGATACAGGTGTTGTTTGGCGGGGGGGCTTGTCCAGCGGTGGCGGCGAGGGCTGCAAAGCTAAGGCTCGTGATGTTGATGCCCGAGACCTGTAAAAGCAGGATTGATGCGGGTGGTAGCGTGCAGTGTGAAATATGATCTCAGGCCTGCATGCGCCCAGCCTCCCAAGCAATGAATTGCCGAGCATGCTCCTGCATGTATGTACCTCAGCAGCCGGTCTCAAAATCAAATAGCCGCTTCACAAGATATTGTCATGCAACCGCAACACCGCAACCCCTTCCTGCAGACCTTAGACCGGCTGGCCGCCAGCCGCCACTTCAGCCAGCCTCCATCCTCCGCCGCCCCCTCAACCTCCACGCCGGCATCTGCAACCGTCAGCCCCAGCGCTGCCGCCAGGGATGCAGACAGCTGGGCCGCGGTAGAGTTGAGCGGCAGCGGTGCTGGCAGCATGAGGGCGCCATTGATCTCCAATCCGACTCCTGGGAAGGGGCAGGTGGCATGATGAAGGGGGAGGGCACAGGTTTAGGTTGCGTGGGGAGTGACACAGCGCAAAGCAGGGCCCGATTTGCGGCAGGTGATAGCAGGAGTGCAAGCGGCTTCTGACACGTTCATCACGTAAACGTGCACCTAGCGCCCGAAAAGCATTCAGCTGGCGGGCCTCAAACGCACCCAGCAGCGGCTGCCCCATGGCTCCTGTGAAGTTGACGTCGGTGATGAAGTCCAAAGTGCTGCCTGCATGCATCAGGGAGTGCAGAATCGGCACGCCCGCACCGAGCAAAAACGGAAGTCCCAGAGTTCATCAGGGCGCGCGGGGGTAGTAGGGTCAGGGCGTCAGCAAGAGCAAACATCACTTACTTCCTTGGGAGCCCGCAAGGCTCTAACCTTCGTCAGCATCAGCTCATAGCCACCGCGCGCTGGTGCGCTGCGTGCTTGCTTGCCCATCCATCCGCACCCACCAGCTGGTGCTAGGGCGTCGACGGAGAAGGCAGCACCCTTGGGTGTTTGGCTGACGGTGACACGCTGCCGCTCCCTGACAGAGTTCCATCGCGCTGTTGCGCTGGGCGAGATGACGCCCACCTGGGACGGCAGCGACGACGGTGTGGGTGGGCAGGCGGGTGAGTAGTGCAGTGGGGGGGGAGCACAAGCGTTCGTCTGGGTTTGCGGAGGAAGCAGGGACCGTGGTGCAACAGCATGCCTGCGACCCGCAGTTGTGCAGGCGACACCCAACTATGGGCTTTTTGCCACATGCCAAACCCCCACAGGGGCCCGCCTCTTGCAAGCACACAGCACTGTTCAAGTGGTGCTGCGCAACTGCCGCGGCGTGAGGTGCCTGGCAGAACTAATGGCTTAGCCGCCAGCAGCCGCCACCCCCTCTCACTGCTTCCTGTCCTCCTCCCTTGGCATGACAGGTACATGGGTCCAGCTAAACAGCAGGTAAGACCCGTGCAGGTTGGTGCTTGCCTGAACGTATGATGTGACTATGGTGCTGCAGTGCGCCACGCGCAGCAGCACCCGCTGGCCCGCCGCGAGCTCCACCGCCGGTGCGCGCTGCCGGCTGCCGCCACCGCCGGTCGGCGACGGCGGCTGGAGGGAACCCCAGTCGTCCAGGCCGGCGGTGTGCGAGGTGATGTTGACGAGGCGCTGTGTCACCAGCGTCGCGTTAGGGTCCGAGCCAGCCGGGTCATCTGGCGCCCAGGTGGCCTCCTGTGCGAGACCGGCCGGGTGGATGGAAGGCAGATTGTTACAGTGTGGTCAGCTCAAACGCACTTGCAGGGCTGCTGCTCTTCTCTTGATACAGGTATGCAAGCAAACGCACGCGCGCGCACACACACACACACTAACACACACACACACACTTACACACACACACACACACACACATGCCCAGGATGGTCGATGTGCGCAAGCAACAAGAAGGTTTTGCAAAACAATCATGCAGGCACGCACGCACGCACACAATCTTATGCACGAATATATGATGCGCGTGTGCATGCGCACGTGCACGCGCGCACATGAGCCCCCCACCAGCTGAGCGAGATCGTCGCCCGTCAGCAGGAACGAATGCGGCCCCGCCGCGACCGTGGTGAAGACAGCCGAGGTCCGCGTGCAGAAGTTGTCACGGTTCGCTTCGATGCCAGCCTCCCAGGCGCCCAGCTCCACGCGGGGGGGCTCGTCGCTGGCCGTGGCGTTCCAGGACCAGACCGCGTCAAACATTGCATCGGAGCCGCCAGTTGGCACCCTGGGGGTGAGGCGCCCGGTTTGAGGCGTGGCGGATGGGCGGCATGTGGAGGCTTGCATACCTGGTTCCAAGCCTAGTGGTCACAGAGCACCTGCAGATGGTGGACCTGCTGGCTCTGAGCTGCAGCACAGGCACGCTGGTGGGCCATGCCTGCCGCTTGCCAGAGGGGCAGTGGACTAGGCGCCCGATGCTCACGCGCGGTTGAAGGTCTCGACCAGTATGCCCCTCATGCCGGGGAACACGCCGCGCAGCGCCCCCGCGCCGGTGCCGTTCACAGCCCCTGTCCCGTCGGCCCCAGCCGCCCCGGCCGCCGCGGCCCAGGACGCCGGGCGCGTGCGACATCGCGCCTCGTCAAAGGTGGAGGACACGAGGTCACAAGGGATGCCCCCTCCCATGACGATTTGAAGGGCGGCCGAGGGGGCATTGCTTGCACTTGCCGCGGGGATCTCGGGAAACCCGCTGCCTCGGACTGTCACCAGCGTGCCGCCAGCCAGGGAGCCGTTGGAAGGCTGAACGGACGTAATGACTGGGTACACCTGCACGCGTTGGATGCAGGGGGGGTGGGAGGCTTCGAGTGACAGCGCCTGGATGCAGCTGGCAGGCTCGCATTGAGACTCCTGGAGGCGGCTGCAGCGCGGGTGCAAGTGCAACGGCGCGCAGCGCGCCAGTGCAGCGCAACATTGCAAACAAAGCACGCCCCATGGCAGGCGCCATGCCCTGATCCCGCAGTGTCACTCTGGAAGGCTCCTCCCCCTGAACCCCACGGAGCGCACCGCCCTTGCTCAGCGGAGCCGTTCCCACACCACGGCCGCGCCCGTCACGCGCATGGCTCTGCACCCCAGCCACCTGGTATTGGTAGGGCCGCCCATGCCTGTCTGACAGGAATGACCGCTCAGCTGCCAGGGCTGCGCCGCCGACCAGGGGCCCCTCGAATAGGGCGCTGACATTGTGGCTGCCGGCCACCCCCAGGCCAACCTCGCGCGCCGCGCCATGCCGGAGGGGTGCGGGCATCTGCGTATGTAGATGCGCGGGCCCGGGCGAGTTTGTGACGCACGTGCAAATCCTGCGCGAATGCATTTCGAGCACGGCGTCCCCCCTCTACCCAAGAAGCCAACCCAGCATGCCATGCGCCTGCCACAACCGCGCCCTGCAGTGTGCTGCACCTACCAACCCCGGGATCCTCCCTCCCAACTTGCCCGTGTGGCAGCCCTGACGGCCCAACATTCGAGGCACGCCGGGACCCTCACCGCCGCCTCAGCTCCGGCACCCCGTCCACGCCTCAACCCCGACCCCAACCCTGCGTCCCAACCCACCGGCAGCGGCGTCGAGCAGTTGAGCCGATAGAGCCAGCCCCCAAGCGGCCGCCACCGCGCGAACAGGTCCACCGACCCCGCGGCCACCGCGTCCGAGCTCACTGCCCAGCTCCCCGCATTGGCGCGGCATGTGTAGCGGCCCAGGCGCGCGACCCCAAGGCAGGCAATTTCGCCGTCCGACGATGCCGCCTGTGATGCCTTGCATGGGTCGTTCATGCCCCCAGGCGACCCGAAGATGTTTGCCTGCGCGCCCGGGGGCCCCGCCGGCGGCGTGACCCCCAGGATGCCTGGCGGGATGACGGCACAGATGCAGTGGTGAGGGGCGGGACAGGACGTGGGGCTGGCGTGCGGGGGTGGACAAGGGAAGGCCGAGGGGCTAGGGAGCGGGCCAGATTAATCAGGGTGCAGCGGTAGATGGCTGCTAATTTGTGCTGCTGCGCATGCCGCTGCCACGAGCCTGCCGCGGGCCCCTAAGTTGGGCCTCTGCGTGGAGTCCCCGCAGAAGCCCGCTGCAGCTGGCCGGGGGCTCTTACTGTGGCCCCGGTGAGGGCGGCCACGGCGGCTGCTGGGCAGACAGGCTGGGCCCGCTTACTGGGTGTGAGGCCGTCATCATAAGTATAGCAGCATGAAGTGGCAGCCGCCGCGCTGTCCACCACCAGAGTGACGTTGTAAGCACCTGCCCTCGGCACGGCTGGCGTCTCACACTCCACCTGTGTGCATGCGCGTTCGTGCATGCGTGCGTGCGTGCGTGCATGTGTTGGTGTGTGCATCCAGGATCCAGTGCACATGGTACGGGCGGGGTCATGCCGCTTTGGCTGGAAAGTAGCTTGGTGATGGGAACAGGGCTCTCTGGCCCGGATGTCACAAAGCCTGCGCCTTATGAGGGCCGCTAGGTAGAGGTCCAAGGCTGAGAGCAGCAGGCAGGCGCGCCGCACGCAAGGCGCGGCCCACCACAGTCTCGGAGCTGCGGAGGACTGACACGTGGCAGGGGTAGGGCCCAACAAAGACACTGTTGTTCCCAAGAAAACGGTCAGCGCTGAACCCCGCGCCGAATACTGTCAGCCTGCGGCCATACAGCGGGGTGATTGTTGTTTTGCCTGGTTTGATGCAACGGTTGCTGCAACAGAGATGGGCGCAAGCCGCCCAGTCCGCCCGCTGAGGAGCTATAAGGACCAACTGGCACACGGTCCGGCGTTGGTTTCTTACAACCCTGCACCCTCTGCGGCTGCCGCCATCGCATCACTGCGGGGTTGATGCGCGCTGTCTGCCTGCCCAGCACAGCACTATGCGCTGAGGACGCACCTTGTGCCGCCGGAAATGCTGCCGCTGCGGGGCAAAAACTCACTGCGGACACTCGGGCGATCGTCAGCACACGCAGAGCGTCAAGGAGGGTGTAGGGGACAAGGGGAGCCTTTCGTCAATGAATCACCCGCAAATTGCCATGTACTCCAGGCTGTGCGGGGCCACGTGCTGCGTTGTCACCAGCGGCGGGAGCGTGCACCGTCTGCGGATCACGCAAGGCCGGCCTGTATGTGATGAACCCACCTGATATACAACCCCTGTGCATGAGCCCGTTGCGCCAGACACAACGCGAGGAGGAACCAGATGGAGAGGGGTCTCGCTGCACTGAAGGAGATCATTCCGGTTCATTTAGGATCCCAGGTGCTTCCAGTATCTCAGTTTGTGACTTTACTTATGTCCGACCGTGATTCGCCCGGCATACAAGGTCCCAGGACTGTCGGGTGCTTCGAAGGTATCATGCAGAGGCGTCATTGAACGCAGCGACACACTGCTGTGCGGGTTGTGCATATGCGAAATTATAGGTATTGGGGCATGCTTGAGCGCTGGGCGAGCAATGTAGCATGGCTGCGGCGTGGGTCGGCACTGCGTGCGCTGCGGGCAGTCCGGCCCTTGCTGCGCTCTGCTTTTCATGCTTGTGCTGTCAAGTCTGTTTGGATGCAACACCAAGTGCAGCATATTTGTTTGTTGATTCAACAGTTCCCATGTCATCCTTCCATTCAACATATACAGATTCAGTCTGCCAGCCAAGTACAGTCGACCTGGCTGTCCCCAGCACCGACCTTGGCACCAGCTGCATGTAGCATATCGTTTGGTCTTACATCTCATGAACCTTGATCACAATGCACTGTGCAAACAGAGTCGGACCCAAACCTACAAAAACGGCACCACGCAAGACAGCAGCAAAGGAGCTGTTCAGCGCTCCTGCTGCGCAGCATAGGCCAGTGTGACATTGCGTTTTGCTACAGCGCAGGCCAGACCCCAGGTTCAAACCAGCTTTTGGCGATCGGATCGGCCGCAACCCTTTCTACCCAAAATCCCACCAGCATTGCATCTGCCAAGATATACAAGACAATACAGGTGCTTTGCACCGTGCACACAACCTCCTCCCGGCAGCACCCCCAAGAGCCAGCACAGCACCCAGCTGCCAACAGGAAGCCCTGTCTTCACAAGCTGCTGCAGCAACCCTCCACACACGCTGCTGCCCCTGCGGAGCGCCCCGTTCACGCGAGCGCCGCGAAGCACTGGTCGCCGGCGGCGGCGCCCGCCGCCTCCAGCTTATCCATGCACTTGCGGCAGGCCTGGCCGGCGTCCAGCGTGCCGGCCCCCGAGAGGCACTTGAAGTACTTGGGGACGGCGGCCGTCAGCGCCGCCACGGGCTTGTTGCCCTCGGCGGTGCCGGTAAAGTGGCAGAGCCACCTCACGCCCGGCAGGGACGCCTTGACGGACGACATGCAGCTGTAGCACCGCCCCTGCTCGCCGGTCGCTGCGCCGGGCTTGGCGCAGAGGGGGCAGACCTGCGCGTTAGCGGGCGCCGTCGCGGCCTTGAGGCAGGCGTTGCAGCCGGCCGCGTCGGCCTGGGTCTTGAGGTAGCAACCGAAGCAGCCGGCGCGCGCGATGGCGGGGACGCCGGTCGCGCCGGCGACGCAGGAGGAGCAGGCGGCCGGGTCCTTGCTGGCAGGCGCCCAGCAAGCGGCACAGGCGGGTGTAGCCTGGTGTGTCAGGAGAGGGGTGGACGATGCGGATGCAAGATTGTGTTGGAGGGCGACAGTTGCCACGTCGGCTCGGGGTCAACTTCATTGGCCCATGAAGTCAGGACGGGCCTGACATGTCCACCTGCAACTCTGTATCACAGCGGCCGTGCACCATCAGCTTTGGCAACACTCTGCCCATGCAACCCAGCGCGGCCACACAAAGCAAAAGGCCTCGCTCCGCTGCCCCAGCCCACCTGCAGGTCCTTGCCCGCCTTGGCATAGCATGAGTAGCAGCCCCCGGCTGTAGCCAGGCCCTGGGCCGTTGGCTTGCTGTTCTCAGGGATGCCGTACAGCGCGGCGCCCGCGCAGGCCGAGCAGCCGGCAGCAAAGCCCTGGGTTTTGACGCAGCCGGTGCACATGTCCCGCTGGTCCTTGGAGGCCAGGCTGCCGCAGACCATGCAGGTGGCTGCGTTGGCGGCGGGCGCTTCGGGCTCCTTGGACGCCTTGGCGCCCTGGACGCACGCGTGGCACGCGGCAGGCGTGGCTGACAGGGCGCAGATCTTGCACTGGTCGGGCGTGAGGCCCGCGGGGCACGCGGCTTGGAGGGGGGTGGCGGCGACGGCGGCTGGGCCCAGCGCGCATACGGCAACGACTAGAGCGAGGGCGACGGCCATGGGGCCGCGGCGGGTGCTGCCGTTGCGAGCCATTGAGTGGGACGCCGCCTGTGGATGCCAAGTGGAGGGACGGGGAACGGCTGCGTTGTCGTCGCAGCCGTGCGGCGGGCGGCTGCGGCCTCGTCTGGTGGGCCCGGCTGGGGCGGGTGTGTGCCAACACACCGGTGACGCAGCCTGCAATGGCAATGCATCTGTATCGGTACCGTCACAGAGCAGGGAGTGATAGAACGAGAACGCATGGATCCTCGCGCACCTGCACGCGCCTCGTCAAGCTGCTGGATGGAGTTGTACACGCAGTGATCTACCACTGAACGTTCGAGGCACTCAGGATACGGTAAAGTTGTACAGTGTCTGTGGGTGCTTGAAACTGGGGCGATGGTATGTAATCGGCTTCCCCGGTCATCAGCTGCCGTGTGCCTCACTCTGGTCCAGCATTTCGCATAGAAGCTGGTCTCGTTGGGCTGAGCTCATGGAAACCCGCGATATTTTTTGAATGATTGCAAATACGTCCAACTTCAGGCGCTTGTGCTTGTCTGCGGAAGAAGGAGCACCATGGCTGGCATGCTGCACCAGCTGGCTGATGCAGCGACAGGCTGGGTTGTGATGATTGCACCTGTACGGAGTGATTACCTACAACGGTATAAATTGATTGTGCCAGCCAGCACTCACAGGAGCTCGCAGTACAAATCCACTGTGGCAGCACCATGAGCCCCGTCCCCACCACATCCCGCCCCAGCTCGGTGCACCAGCAGGCTCGCAGCGATGTGCAGCCTGACCGTACGCACATACATCGCCCGCACACGAACCTGGCTGCTTTGCCCCTGGCACCTTGACAGCACACACATGTACACACCCACCCACTGACGATCCTCTGCTCGCGTGTTCGCATCCAATGTCGTCACCTGTACCTTCACTCTGCTGCAGTTGTGGAATCTCCAAATGCAGTGACATGGAAACATTGGGGTCTGTGAGGAACAGTGGTGCACAGGGTTTTGTGACCTCTGCAGGCCTCCTTACCTCCACCCTCATCACATCAAAGGATTAGCCTGGGCGGGGTGGCTGTGGCGCTTGCGCGGCCAAGACAGCCTCCTTGCCTTTACTCATCCTCGGCCTGTGGATGTCAACCATGCTACCTGCATGCATCGCGACCAAACAAGTCAACAAAGGAGCTCACGGCGACTGTGAAGGCATGAGCGCCGCAGCAGTGCTGGTGTTGAGCTTGTGCTGGCTGGTGTGTTCCGCTTGCCGAGTAGCGGAAGCGATGGTCTCTGCAATGGTTTGTTGGGTTTGCGGATGCAGACCCAACATGGCCTACCCAAGCGCCATGTATGCATGCGTACACAGCACTGTTGCGCTGCGTCCGCGCGGCACTCATGGACGCCCTCGCCACCTGGCGGCAGGGCCCACGACCGTAGCGCTCCAAGCAGGCCTCTCCAAGCGCTGGGTCTGTACCCTTCCCGCAAGCAAGAAAAATCAAACGTTACATCACTGCATTTATCCGTGTTTGCATCCGCTTTTCCCACACTGTTGATCCGGTCGTCCACGAAGAACACCACAATGCTGACCTCCGTACGTGCCAGCTGCGTGGCTGCGCCCCTGAGGCGCATCAATGGCATGCCTGGGCTTGTCAAGCCCGCTTGCGGTGCCAAGATCGCAGCTAGGAGTCCACGGGTGAGTCGGTGACAACACGAGATGAGCCACGCCTGCAAGCGTGCATGCATGCTCTGCAGCTCTCGAGGCACCCAAAGATTGCCCCATTGTCTTTCGAGCTACGGGTGGTGCGTTGTGGGCTTGGCGTGCGGCACGCCCGACACCCTGCAACTGTTGCCCCTGTCAACCGAGGCTCCGGCCATCTGGGCGCTGAATGCCCCCCGCCGCCATGGTCCGCAGACGCTGGCCCGCGCAGAGCAGGACAAGGTGAGCAGCTCCGTCGACCAGGCGGCCGGGAAGACCAAGGACGCGGCGTCCGCTGCCGTTGACAGGGCCGTGGACACCGCGACCAAGCTCAGGGGCGCTCTGAACCAGGCCACCCTGGATTTGGACATCACACAGCTTGGTGAGCGCACACCATGCGCACGGGGCGCATGCCTGGGCCTAAATGGGGCGACATGAAGCAACAGGCGCGCTCGCGGCCCGCATGCGGGCGGCACCAGGGGCCCTGCGGCCAGGCTTTCAAACATTTTGGCACCGCAGCGTGGGAGAGGCCGTGTGCGCATGTGTGCGTGCAGAGACGGACAGAATTTACGTACACGCATATTCGAATATCTATCTGTGGTTTCATGCATATGTGTGGTTGCTGTCCGATTTCGTTGTGCCTAAAAGCACGAAACACCATGCTGTCAATCCTGGTAGCCTCCCTGCAATTCACCCCGCCTTGCCTCCATGCCTCCTCGCCACCCCGCCTGACCCACAGTGCGCTACAACTTCCTGGTGCAGCTCGTCCTGACCGCCATATCCTGGGCCGTGGTGTTCTTCACCGCCCACGCCTCCGCCAAGGTGGGCGGCGTGTTCGATTGCTCGCGCACACGCACGAGCCCGGTCCTTCCATGCCGCGCATGCGGCAACGTGCGCCCAGTCAATCAGCGGCCGTGCGCAATAGCTTCCAATTGTGGTGACTTCCACGCATGAATTCCCTGCTGATGGTGTTTCATCCCCTCGCGCCCCTCCACAGTCACACCCACACCACCACCCCCCCCCCACACACACACACATTCGCACACATGCACTCACGCACACGCACGTGCACACACACACACACACACACACACACACACACACACACACACACACACACACACACACACACACACACACACACATACACACATCCCCCCTCCACCCACAGGGCCCTAGCCTGAACCCCGTGTCCTTCATTCTGCTGATCGGCGTGGCCCTCGCCGGCTACAGCACCTACCTCTCCTTTGTCTACCTGACCAGGAGTAAGAAGGAGGGCTTGGGGGCGCTGGACGGCTGGAAGCAGCTCAACGCATTCTATGAGCACGCCACGTGAGCGCTGCCTGCGGGGCTGGGTGGGCGGGCGGGCGCGCGGCTGCACATGGGCTCCATGTGTGCCATTGCGCCGCTGTTGCTGTTGCATGAGGGGGTATGCCCGCACCGTGTCGGTGCGCATGTGCATGCATGGTGTGGGTGTGCGTGAATTGCGTGTGTGGGCGTGCGTACTCTGCGTACACGCATGCGTGTGCGGGGGCATGTATGGTGTGCGTTTTTTCGGGCGCACGTGCTGCGTAAACCAGCCCATAAGGGCTGTCAGCGCCGATTTGAATTCCCAAGACCTGGTTGGCGCACCCATCCTGCCCACCCCCTCAGCTTCAACTTTATCGGCGCCGCCGCCGCGCTGCTCGCGCTCTTCGCCAACCTCGGCACGCTGATGGTGTCGGCCAAGAGCAGCTTCTCGATCGAGGTGCTGACGCAGGCGGCCAGCAACACGCTGGCGGCGCACCTGGTGTCCCTGGCGTTCCTGACGGTGCTCATCCGCAAGATCACCCAGGCATACCAAAAGGTCAGCCTCGTGGGGCGCGGCTGTGCGCGCTCCGCGCGGGCGTCATCTGCGTTTGGAGGGAGTTTGGGAGTTTCCCTCAGCGGCAACCGCAGGGCGCTGTTTGCTTTTGCGAGGAGGGGGCTGCTAGCCGGCAACTGCAGGGTTGGTGACAACAGATGCAGGGCAAGGCGCATCCAATGTGTTACCATTGTGGATTATCCATGTTCGCGCCGTGTTTTTCTGCCGCCAGCGCGCACACGCGCCGCGTCACCCAGCCCCGCCCTCGCCCTGACGCACCCCTCCCGACTTTCGCGCGCAGCTGGCGGACTGGAGCGCCCAGCTCGAGTCCCTCAAGGCCGCCATGCCGAAGTTTGGCTGACCGCCTGGAGCCTCCCTGGAACCTCCTTTTTGAATGCACCCGCGCGTGCCTGTGGCATGCCCCCGGCCCAAGTGTTTTCCGAGGGCAATGCACGGCAGGGGAGCGCAACACCTGAGAGCGCGGGACACTAATGAATCCCGAGCTCGCCGTCACGCCAGTGGGGCAGCCCAGCACGCTGCCGGGGAGTGCCGATGGGCGCCAGCACAGGACTGCCCGGTGGCCCGCCTGATTGAGGCGGGCCGCCGCGGATTCGCGCGTTGTGACGGATGGGACACCGGTGAAGGGCTTGGCTAATTTGCGGGGGTCGTACTTCTAGCGGCCAGGCTGGTTGTCCTGATGCGCGAGCTCCTGAAATCATGTGCGACTGCGCTGCTCGTCGCCAACGCATGCCTTTACCATACCTGAGCGTGTGTAACAATACTGCGATTCTGTTCAGAAGATTTCTTGTCGCAGAAAAGAAGAGGGCAGCTAGTACAAAACCACTGGGTGGTCTGAGAGGAGGGGCGTGTGAAGGGGCTGCAAGTCAGCAGCAGCAACCCAGGGTGCGTAGGTCCAGCCATCGAAAGAGCCAGCCCCGGCTCGGGACGAGCTGTTGCTGCTCCACACACCATTGCACTGGTGGTGCAAGCCTGTGTCAAGGTGAATGAGTGTGGAAGCTCTCCAGGCGCACTGCGCCCCCGCCTGCGCAGATCCAGTGACGGCAGTTGCTGATCGACACATGCCACCTGCGTTGCGCTGGTGTGCCAGCTTCGCACATTGCTGGCATGATGCCTGACTACACAGCAGATGTTTGCTGGCATGGTCATGGGCATTTGCACTTGATCGGGTTGCAATTGCACTTTGGTAACCCGTATCACCACCTTTGCAACCAAGGAGCAACAGACAGCATTGGCAATACACACTGTGTACCGGGGCAGTTGGTGCCGCAGCCATCGCTTAGCTCCTGTAAATCGACACCCCTACACATCCACAAGGTCTGCTGACTGCTGACATGATCAGGTCGCGGCAAGAGTAGCCGACGTCAAGGATCCAGAGCACGCCGGTGTTTCGCGGGTGACACAGTATGCTTTGCGCCCCATCATAGATCAAGATACTAAAACTAAAATTGCTAGATAATTGAGAGCATATCAGCGCGCGCGTGCGCGCTCAGGGGCGAGCAACCCCAGCCCGGCATCCCATCACTCGGCCGCGCCCTGTTGGTGGGCGCTACACCTGCCGGTCCTTCTAAGCGAAAGTATCAACTGGATACTCACGCGTTAGGCGCATACGGTGGGCATGCAAGGCGGCGCCGATGCGCCCCTCTGTGGCGGCACTGTGGCTGCACTTGACGGTCGCTGCGCATCAGCGGGCCACAGGTCAGCCACGCCTGAATCACCCATTGACCGCCACTTCAGCAATGAACAAATGCATATTGCTCGGCCAGCAGCAGCCATCAGCAGAGTCAGCAGCATTATCAAACCCAGCTCGCGGCCCGACAGCGGCAGCGCCAGCCGGCGGTGGCAAGGAGGCTGGGCGCCGTCGCTGCTGTTGGCGTGGGTGCTGCTGATTGCGCTCGCCGTTGGCGTGGCGGCACGGCCGTCAGCTGCACGGCCCTGGCTGCTGCTGGGGAGCGCCATCGCCGCCGACGGCGCCGGCTCCTACAGCGGCGAGGCGCCGCTGCCCCCGGCATTGGAGGGCTGCGGGCGTAAACTGTTGGATGAGGCCGCCCCTACCTTCACTGGTTGGTTTGCCAAGAAATGGACCCGGGTGTTCCCCCAGCAGTGGGCCGCATACCGCTCGAACCTGCAGCGGTTGCGGCTCGCCAGCGACGATGACAGCAGCGGCGGCAGCAGCGGCGGCAGCAGCGGCGGCGGCAAAAGCGGGGGCGCGGCCATCACCGAAGAGCCCAGGGTGCTGGCGCCGCACGTGGCTGCGCTCCTCAGCGGCAGCGAGCTGCTGAACCCTGCCCAGATGGCCCGCAGCCTCGCATACATGGGCGGCGGCCACCGCCTGCGCCGCGTGTTGCGAGACCTCGCAGCCGGCGGCGCAGCCGGCCAGGATGGCCCCGACGGCCCGCGGCAGCCGGTCAAGATCGCCGTGCTCGGCGGCAGCATCAGCTGGGGCAGTGCGGTGACCGGCGGCCACGACGACTGGTTCACCCTCGTGGCCGCGCGGCTGCGGGAGGCGTTCCCACGCGCGAAGGTCGTGGCACGCAATGGCTGCGTGCCTGCCACGCCAAGCAGCTTCATGAACATGTGCCTGGAGAACTATCTTGACGACGACGTGGACCTTGTTTTCCTGGAGTATGCTACAAACGACGGCTGGGATATCCACAACGAGCCCAAGAAGTGAGTGTGTGAGGGGGTGGGCAGGGGATGGTATGTGGCTGATGTCAAGACTGCAGCCGTGCGCAAGGGGGGGCGTGGGCAGGCAGCGAGGCCCGGCTGGGGGGGGGGGTTGTGTCGTGCCAGCACCAGCCGAGCGAGGGGTGCGGCGGTTCACTGCTGCTGGGCTTGCAACGACTCTCTAGCTGCCGCGCAGTGCGTGGGGTGAGGCGGCCGCGCGCCTCAATCTGTTGTCACCCGTCCGCTCTGCCCCGCACAAACCCCTGCCCAGGTTGACTTACGAACGTCTCCTGCGCAAAGTGCTGAACAAGCCGCGCTCGCCCGCGGTCGTTTTGGTGCAGCTGCCAACCGTGGGGCAGGCGTTTGATGACAGCAACCCCAAACGCGGCGGCTTTGCCCGGACGGTGGAGGACGTGTACAGCGCTTTTGCGGCCTACTACGACACCCCCTACCTGAGTTTCAGGTGTGTGTGCTTGTGCGCACGCACTGCACGCACACATCGACACACGCATGCATGCACGCACGTACGCATACACGCACACACGCACAGGTTTGCAGAGGACAATGAGCCGGGGGGTCAGCCACGGCTACGGGGTGCCACCACCGACCTGTCCCATGGCCTGGGCAACTCTTGCGTGCCCTGCGGCCCAGCACGCTGATGTCTCCCTGTGGCGCCCGGCACTCGCTGCTCCCTGACTTTCAGCTCGGCCACCCTGATTTGCCCTGGATGCCCCCGCGCCCTGCATTTACCCCCCGCCCCCCGAAGGAACGCCATATGGCGGCTGGCGCGTCATCACCAGTACACCATGAACTTCACAGAGTACTACGGCTACAACTACGATTTCATACATCCCCTGGTGCCCGGCCACAGGGCCATTGCAGACATGGTGCTCTACGCGCTGCAGGTGTGCTTGGATTGCTGTGTACACCTCGTAGGTGTGGAATTGCTGCAACATGTCGCGGGCAGGCAGATCAATCGCAGCCATTCCATCAAATTACTGTACCAAGATTTGCATCTTGAGCTCAGCAACAACGCCCGACATGCCCAGCCGTGCAGCTCCTCTTAATCTCCATCGAACCCCCACGCTCCTAATACGCTTCCGCCCGGCGCACGCAACGTCCACCTTGCTGCCGCCAGCGCGCCGCCCTTGACCTGGAGACCTCCCCTTGGAGCGAGTGGGACGCGGCCGAGGCGTCGCTCCCCATACCGGGGCCCATGTTTGAGGGCAACGTCGAGGAGCGCAACCGCCTCTGCCGCAACGGCGAGGCGCTCTCGGCGGCCGTCGCCGCGCACGCCGGCTGGGAGCTGGTGAATGAGGGCGCTGGGCTCAAGCAGAAGTGGGGGTTCGTGTCGCACACGCCAGGGGCGGAGCTGGTGATCGAGCTCAACACCACGCGCGAGACGCGCCCCGAGGAGCCGCGGATGAGCGTCCAGCTGGCGTACCTCAAGTCGTACAGCGGGATGGGCGCCGCCGCGGTGCGCTGCGCCAACGGCTGCGAGTGCGACGAGTCCGTCGTGGACGCGCACCACTCGCTGCAGCAGAGCACAATATACCTGCTGAGGCTGCGGCCCACGCAGGCGGCGCGGTGCCAGGTACGCATCAAGGTGCTGGCGCGCTCTACCAGCGGCGGCCACAAATTCAAGGTGAGCTTCGTGCAGGCGGTTTGGGCCTCGGGAGGGCTGGGGCCTGGCTTGCTTGGGGTTGCGGGCGACGGCAGGCGCGGGAAAAACACGCAGCCGAACCTGTCTCCCTGCCGTCACGCTGCTCATGCAGCACCACGCCCCAGCCCGTCCACCAGCGCACGGTCATGTGCGGCGCCTGCCCGACCGCCCTTCAGTCGCTCTGGCCGCTCAGTCCACAGGAAAGGCTCCTGCAGCTCCCACTGCTCTTAACGGACTGCCCACTGCTCCCAATGGACTGCCCACAAACGCCAGCGCCTCTGACTGCTTTGACTGTTGCAATCGCTCTGCAGGTGACCGGCCTTATGGCGAACGAGTATGTGGGCAACGGCACTGACATCGTCGACACTAGGCTCAACAAGTGAGCGGAGCTTGGGCCGCAGGGTTGTGTTGCTGTTCAGTGTGCACACCTTCACCTGCCATTGTTGCTGGTGTAAATGCTTTCAAGTCTGTCCCGTGAAAGCGTGCCCTTCCGCAAGTGTGCCGTGTTTGCAAGCATCGGCCCGTTGCCTGTGCTGCCAGCCCCTGTCTTGGAGCCGTGCCCTCCTGACCGCGCCCTGCACCGATGGATCCCTCCACACGTCTCGCGCATGGCAGCGAGGAGTGGCTGGGGATGATCAACAAGGCTATCAACGCCACGATTACAAATGACAAGAAGTGGCCCACCAAGCAGCCTGGCGATGCGGCTACCGGCCAGCCGGCCGCCCCTGCAACCGCCCCCTCAGCCGCGAAGACTGGCGCCATGGTCCACCACCGGCCCCGCCACCACCTGAGGGGTCACGACAGCAAGGGGCCGAATACACCCGCCGCGACGGGGCCGCAGCTGCCAGCGGCCACGGGCATGGAGGCGGGCGTGTCCGCACACCGACGGCAGCACCAGCAGGGCGGGGCAAGCAGCGATGACGCTTGAATGGCGCGGCCGGCTGCTGCCCCAAAGCGGGGACAGCCGTGCGTGCCGTCACCCAGGTCGACACCAGGCAGCTTGACGTTTTTTGTGCACGCACTGATCAGTGCTGCAACCCAATTTGACATTACCAGCAGGCAGGCCCCTGGCAAACTCAGATCAGGTTCGCTTGGCGGTGCACTGGCTCCTTGGCCACAACCGCTGGTATTCCCATTACAGAATGCCACTTGGACGTCCTGTGTTGGGCAAGGCTTGAGCTTTCTTTCCGCTGAAAGCGGTGCCCGGCCTGCGTGGCCGTGAGCAGAACCTTGTGCGCCGCCAGCGACGCGCCCGAACAACGCACTGTGAAAACGCGGCGTATGCTGCGGAGGGTTGGCGGGATCCAGAGTGATGCATCAACCTGTGTGCAAGCCTCTCTGCGTGCGATGGAGTTCTGCATGGTGGGAATGCACGCGGTTGCGCAGGGCCTCATCACCACGTTTTTGGGAGTGCATACCCCTCGATGCGACGACGCAGACAACCCCTGCCCCCACCCGGCTCGCACCACGCACCTTGCAAGGAATGCCTGCATGTGGCATTTAACCTACTGGGGGTGTCCCAGGGTTTCCTTCTATTGTCACACTGGCAGCTGGTAGCCAACGCTGTGCGCATCAAGCAGACCGCATCGCGGCAAATCGCACAAGGGCTGCTGACATGTCGGGACCGCTGCAGCAATCGAGTGCCCTGGCTTTGCTCAGGTGTGCATATAGCAGTCACGTGTGCTTGTTGGCTGTTTTGGGCATTTTCAAGTTGGGCCTGCATTTGGCCTCCATTCTGCAGCTGGCACACGCGCTCAATTCACAGCCGCCAGCAGGGTGAGGCAAGCGTCCTCATCCTCACTGCATGTAACATTTGTTTGCTGAAATTGGCTTCGCCCGGTTATGGACGTGCAGCAGAGTCACATAACAGAGAGCAGTAACGGTGGTGGGAAACGCCCCGGTAGTCATGCTAACAGAGCTCGCGCAGTGATGCCAGACAGTGCGGCGGCGCTGGTCAGTCGCTCCCACCCCCGCCGCCGTCGCCCGCCGCCTTGCCCTTTTTCCGCTTCCGCTTCCGCTTCGCCGCCGCCCCCTCCTCGCCGCCGCCGCCGCCGCCCTCCGCACCCTCTTGCGGCGGCCGCTGCTGCGCCCCCCCGCCGCCGCCGCCGCCCTCCTTGCTGCTGCCGCCCGGCGCCGGCCTCTTTTTCTTGGCCTTCACGGCCAGCGGGTTAGGCCCCTTGGCGTGCTTCCGGCGGAACTTCTTGTACCCCTCATCCCGCGGCCGCAGCTCATGCAGATCGTGCAGCGCCTCCGTCGCCAGCTCGTGCAGCGGCAGCGCCTGCGCGGCCGCCGCGCCGCCCGCGACGAGCGCGCGCGCGGTCTCGGACGGCTCGGACAGGTGTATGCCGTTGACCGAGGCGAACACGACCGGCGCGCCGGGCACGCGCGCAAGGGCGGCCTGCAGGGCCTTGTCCTGGGTCGCCACGACCCAGTGCGCCGCGTTGGCGGCGCCGACCTGCTCCATCAGGCAGTCCGACGCGCTCTCGCGTGGCGGCTCGTGGCCGCAGTGGTGCAGCGCCTGCGCGCGCGCGGCCGCGGCGGCCGGGGCGAAATCGCCGCCGAGGGCGCGGAGCTCCGCGCCGACGCAGCGGCTGGTGAAGAGCTTGACGGGGCCGCCTAGGAGGTTCTCCATCAGGCCCTGGAGGTTGACGATGCTGCACGCAGGGGCGGTGGGGACCGCAGGGGCGCAGGGCGGCGTTTCAATGGGGCGATGGGAGCGTCAGGCTGGGCGGGGCGTGAGGAGGCCGAGACGGATGCGAAACGGCCAGGCGGCGCCCAGGCTCGCACGTGCCAACGGCGCGAGCAGGCCCGCGCTGCGTGCCGGAGCGTGCAGGTGGCGGCAGCGCCGCGCTGCCCCTGCCGCCAACGCGCGGGCGCTGCTGCTGCGCCACCTCAGTCGTGTCGGCGCGAGCCCGCTCACTTGGCTGCCAGTGTGGCGTGGATGAAGTTTCCATCCAGCAGGACCTGTGCAACGGTGCGTAGCCATTCCATAAGCGTTCGGTCTCAACCTACTGGGCTCATATTCACTCCTGTGCTGTTCTGAGGCAACTGCCAGCGCACCCCTGTTCGCTCGCCCCCCACACCCGTGGGTGCTGTTTGGTGTTGCAATTCGCTGCGCACCTTGTAGGGCTCCCTTATGCCAAAATGGACCTTGTAAAAGGCCATCGCACGCCGCGTGTGCTTGTGCTTCTTTCGCCGCATGGCGACGGCGCTTCAGCCCGAGCCGCCAAGCACAGCGCGCTACACACGGCGCAACGTCGCTGCGGAGGGCCCCCCGCAGGTGGGTGTGTCCGAGTCCGACTGATACCAGCGCTGAGAGCGCCTCCTCTTGAGACACCTGCAGTGCCCGCAGCCAGGAAACGCAAGTCGGGACGCAGCGGCAATCAAGATATTGTATTGCGGACGGGCCGGACGTCGAGGCGCAAGAAAGCGGGCCGTGTACAGCTTCACTTTGCAGCAATTCAGAATTCCAAAAAAACAGAGACGAGCGATCTGAGTCACCACTGGTGACGTCCCATGATTGAGCGAGTGACTGCAAATCCACGCATGTACACGAAGTGATCCACATCTCTTGTCGTTGATCAATGCATCCAGTCCTCACTGCCCTTGCAGTGCAGGTGAAGCCCCTTGGGTGATTGGCGACCCTCCGGCCTGTGAACAGGCTGCCCAAGACCGCCAGCCTGGCCGTAAGCCACATCGCTGGTCACCTCAAAGACAATACCGTGACATGCTTACAGGTGATACCGGGATCCCGCATCACCGTCAACTCGGCTTGATTAATAAGATGGCTGGTTGCCGCCCAGGCCGGGCGGCTGCCCCGGCGCCAGCTGCTGCGGTTGCTGCTGGTACAGCGGCTGCTGCAAGGGCGCCTGATAAGCAAGCAGCGGCGCCGGCTGCCGCGCAGCCTGCAGCTCCCCAGGGCCAGCATGCACCTGCGGCTGTAGCAGCATCCCGGGCGCGGCTGGCGCCCCCTGCTCGCCGACGCCCCCGCCCGACCCCGGCCCCGCAAACGCCCCCGCCGGCTGCTGCTGCGGCGTCACCGCGGCCAGCAGCGCCGAGAAGCTCGGCGCCGCCTCCGCCTGCAGCCCAAACCGCGTGGCAAGGCGCCCATGCTCCTGCGCGTCCAGGTACAGCTGGAGGCAGATCTTGTCGCTGTCATTCATCTCCGCCGCGCCGCCGCCTGCATCCGCGCCGCCGCCGCCGTCAGGGGCCCGGCCCTTCTTCAGGCGCTTGAGGCTCGACTCGGTCTTCCGGACGCTACCCAGCAGCTCCTCCGCCAGCTGCGCGTAGCGGCGGTTGACCGAGTCAAACACGGCGGCCGCGAGGGCGAGCTTCACGCCGGGGGGCAGCCGCTGCGGCGCGCCGGGCGCGTCGAGGGCCTGGCGCAGCGGCGCGAGGACGCCTGGGGCATTTGGCAGATGGCGGTGAGGCGGGCGGGTGGCGGTGAGGTGGGCGGGTGGCCGTGAGGCGGGCGCTGGTGGCGCAGGGCGGGATGCGTGAGGCAAACAACCATATCGCCGGCAGGTGGGCGCCGACGGATTGACAGCCCTGCCTCGCTCGCAGCTGGCAAGCCCAGGGGCTTGCCAGCTGGCTGCACCACCCAGGGGACCTGCTGCCCACCTGAAACATAGTGGCTGTGGCGCGTGGGCGGCCCCTTGGACGTCATCCTGTACGTGGCGGTTATGCCCTTGAGCTGCCGCACAACCGCCACGCAGCGGTCCGCCACCTCCTCAGCGACGACAGACAGCACCTGGGGCGAGGGCGACGGACCAGCGGCGGCCGGTGCAGCGGTTTCGGGCTGCAGACGACATCAGCTGCACCCTGTATCACAATTCTTGCGGATCAGCAACGCCGAGACAGTCAGAGGGCTTGCAGGGCGGTCATGCGACACACAGATTTTGAGAGACACGGCCCTGACTGGCAGCCGCGCCGCCCGCTTGCCCGCCCCTCGATGGACGACGCAGCCACTGCACCGGCCTCGGCCCGCGGCGCCGAGCCGCCCCCCACCCCCACCCCTGCACCTGGTCTGATGCATCCGTAATTCTGGCCGCCGCCGCTGCCAATGCCGCGTCAACGCGCGCCGCCGCCTCTGCGTCCAACCCCGGCAGCAGCCGCCCCAGCTGGTCCCGCAGCGGCCCCGTCAACAGCTGCGCGGCGGTCGCGGCGTCGCAGCATATCGCCAGGAGCTCCTCCGCAGGCACCTGCCCTGCCCACGCCTCCGGCCCGTGCTTCTGCGGCGCCGCCGGCGCCGCGGCCGCCGCACCAGGCGCCCCGCTAGGCGAATCAGCGGCTGCAGCCGGCGGCGCGGCAGCTGGCGGGCTAGCGGCTGCCTCTCGGCGCGCGGCTGCCGCTTCCCGGGCCCAGGACGCGTAGCGAGCCGCCAGCTGGCAGGCGAGACGCAGAAAACGGTCCCCTAAGGGTGCCAAGAACACCCCCTCCGACACGCACCGCTGCAGCCCCTCCCACAGCGCGGCGCCGACGGCCAGCTGCAGCGGCGCAAAGCCTGGCGGCAGGGGCGCCCCGCCGCCGCTCCCGCTCCCAGCTGGCGCGTGCTCCAGTTTGTCCCCGCGCGCCGCGTCCTCGAAGGCGCCCGCTATGTCTTGATGCTGCAGCGAATAGTATGCGGCCAAATTCCAGCGCTTCGCGAACGCGGCGTGCGCGTTGCCGGCGCGCAGCCGCTCGACGGCGGCGCGCGTCTGCGCAAGGGACTCGAGGGAGGCCAGCAGCGACTGGCTGGCCAGGAAGTTTGAGTGGAAGGATGCGGGGTTGCCGGGGGAGAAGGCGCCTGGTGGCAAGGAGGAGGGCCGGTCAAGAAAGCGGTGATGGGGTGACAGAGCTCTGGAGCCGGTTTGGTGGGGTTGAGAGTGGACATTGAGGGACCTGGGCACTGTGCCATGTATACACCATACATACATGGATAGAGTTGCATGCGAGGGCCAGCAGCCACTTAGCCAGCCCACAGAATGCAGACAGGGCCCAGCATGCACAGCATTTGAGGCCTCACCGGGCAGCCCGTCCGCCAGCGCCTGGCTGACCTCCTGCAGCACCACCGCCCCCAGCACGTCAAATGCGCCGAGCCCGCTGGCCGGCGCCAGCAGCGTCGCCAGCAGCGGGCCCGCGCGCTGGTCCAGGCCAGACAGCACCGCGCGGGCGACGAGGGACACCTCCTGAGACTTGACGCCTGCGGGAAGCGGGGACGAGGGGCCAGGGTTGGGGGGCTTCGGGGGAGCAAGTGCGCTGATTGAGCTGTCAGCATCGCGGCTCGGCGAACGGCGGAGGGACTCGCTTTGCTCCGCAAGGCCCGCCACCACCGCCGGGAGCGCGCAGTGATCAGGGGTTTCAACGGCGAAAGCCGATGCGTCGATCGAGCAGCTGCAAGAGACGACGTGGTGGGCCGAGACTGTGTCCCGGCAGCGCCCGAGCCCCGCACCCGGGTCCGCCGCGAGCCGCTGCTTGACCTCTTTCACAGCGCCTGCGGCCAGCGGCGCCGCCAGCGCTGCGCGCAGCGTCGCCTCGCCCGCGGGGACATCCCCTAGCTCCACGTACGCGTGCAGGCAGTGCGCCGCCGCCTGCCACGCGCGCCGCTGCAGGGCCGCGGCCAGTGCTGCGGACAGGTGGGCGCCGAGCTGCAGGCGCGCGACCTGGATGCGGCGCTCTACGGACGACACGAAGGCGAGCTCCTGCGCACGCGGGTGGGTGGGTGCACGTGGGAGGCAGGAGGGGGCAGCGCAGCAGCAGGGGAGCTGTTGGGGATAGCGGAGGCAGGCGGAGCCATGGCAAGCTGTGGGTGCTTTACTAAGGGACTTCATGCACTGTCTCAGCTTGAGATGGTGCATGCTCAAGGCAGCGCACGCTTGAGACAGAGCTGCTGGGCGGCTCGACAGGGCCTCCTAGGCCTGAGGCGTAAAGGCCGGCGCGCATTTGACGCACCCACGCATGCGCACCCACGCATGGGGGCACGCAGCATCCGCTCGACCGCACCCACAGCCACGCATACCAGCCCCCCCGCCCCTTGCGCGCTCTCACCCCCCGCCCACCCCTCGCCCCGTCAGCGCCCACCTTGCCCTTGTTGGCCAGGAAGCTCAGCCGGCTGACCTCCGCAGCCACGCGCTCCAGCAGCCGCGCGTGCGCGTCCGGGTCACCCGACGCCGCCTCTGCCCCTGCCGCGTCCTCGGTCGCCGCGTGGGACGCCGCGGCCGGTGACGCGCCGCCGCTCGCCGCTGCGCCGCCGCCCTTGCCGCCATCTGGCGCGCCCGCTGCGGCGGAAGCTTCCAAAGAAGCCGCCTGCACCTCGGCGAGCAGCTTCTCCACTTTCGACGCCACGTGCGCCACCTCCTGCATCAGCTCAAGCGTGCCGCGTGCCGCAGCCATCTCCTGCCGCCGCTCAAGGCCCTGTGTGTCCCATTGGCGGGGGCGGCGGCGTGAGAGGCGCTGCTGCGAGCGAGCATGCGTTGCGCCTGCTGACATGAGCCAGGTTGCGTGCCATGCGCCACAAAGACAGCCCATGCGTTGCACGCCAACCAGAGGTCGGCGCGCTCGAAAAGAAGTCAGCTGTGAGGGGCTGCTACGGGTCGTCCCAGCCGCGCGTACCTGCTGAAGTGCAAGCAACTCCGCCTTGAGTGCGACCTGCACAGCGTCCAGCTTGGCCTGCGGTGTGCGGAGGCGCGCCCGTTCACAGTGCAGCGAAGTGACTCGAAAGTGGCGGCAGCGGCCTCGGCGGCGCTGCTGGCGGCGCTGCTGGCAGCGTGCTGCAGAGGCGAAACGAGAGGCCCGATGCTCTGCAGCCGCAGCTCGTCGCACATTCTTGTGCACCGCTGCTGCGAGCAGCGCAGCCTGCTCCTCCTTCCGCCATCCACCCTGGCCACCACGCATTAACCCCCCAACACTCACACACACACACACACTTACACACACACACACACAAACACTTTCGCTCCTCCTTCCGCCATCCACCCTGGCCACCACGCAATAACCCCCCAACACTCACACACACACACACATACACACACACACACACACACAAACACTTTCTCTCTCTCTACTTGACACCCTTTCAGACACAAACACACACAAACAATACGCACCCATAAGCGACCTTAAATACACACAACATGCACACACACAGTCTTAATAGATCTCTCTCTACGCCTCAACCACGCAGGCACACGCGCAGACACATTCAACCTCCGCCACGTGACCCCCCCATTCATGCACAATCTTGTTCACCTTAATGTCCAGCAACGGCTGCTTCATGCGCACTACAGAGCCGTCGACGCTGTTGAGGCGCGATGCCAGGCCAACATAGTCCCCAAAGTCCTGGTTGATGACCTCGATAAGCTTTTGGGTGGAATGGGGTCCGTGCAAGGGGGGCAGTGTGCTCAGGCACTCCGCAGGTGCCCCCTGCGGCAGCTCAAGTACTGCTCTTGTTATTGCGGCTCCCATGCACATGAGGCCTGTTGGTCATGCTTGGGACTACGGCTTGGCCGCCAGATTGCGTACCACAGGGGTGATGCAGCCCGTGTCCCACTCTCAGTACAGTCGTCATGCAACCAAGCCGGCCGAATCAGCGCACCTGCTCCTTGAGGCGAACTAGATATGCCTGCAACTCATTCCTTGCGATGTTGAGGGGCACCTGTGTGCGGCGTGTGGGCCGCGATGCTAGTTAGAATCCCTAGCAGGTGTGCAGCTGCAGCGGTCGACACCGCCTGGCTGTCCGCCAGTTCCCCGCCAGCCCAGTCTCCTCACATGTCGTCTGATATCGGCGACCACGGCTTCGGGATTGAATTTTGGGTCCTCGAACCGCTCTGGCCTGAGCCAGGCGGGGAGGTGCACCGCTGCTGCGCCAGCCTCCGCCGAGATGGGTGGTGAGTTTGAAGCCATGGCAATCAAATATGTTTCTCAGACATTATTGTGCTGCTGATCACTTCGAAAGGCGCCGTTGAGATCAGCTGATCAGCTGTACCGTATCGTATGCATACAATTGCACCGCATGCACGGATGCCAAGAAATAAATATGGAAGCTCGAGCTAATGACAGGCACATCTGCATCAGTTGTGAAGACCTCATGTAGATTTCGTTGCAGGACATGGACTACCGTATCGTGCCCTGGTCACGCATGCCAATGCGTTGAGTTTGGCTGCTGGCTGGGCTTAACGTCCGCCATATCTCGTCCTCCGTGTTACGGCAAGCTGCTGGGGCCATCACGCCCACATTGACCTGCCCCTACAGTAGTAGGAAATCCGGTTGCTGTGCTGGCGACGAAGTGAGGAGCACCGTCTCGATTAATGATGTGTTCTGCGATCATGATACCAACAATGTCACCCATACATGCATGCCTCTTGAACTATCTTGCAACATATACGTACAACTTTCAGTACAATCGCACCAGACCAAGCCTGGGCAACGTAAACTGTCAAGAATGGACGCCAGCTGTGCTTGTTGCGCCGTGCAAGAGGAGACAATCATCTGCATGAGCGAGCCGGGACTGTGTGAAACGCGCATTTAGGGTTACTCCCTGGCATAACTGGAGAGCCACAAGATGACACTCGGATGTGTCCTTTCTTGACACAAGGATGTGCCGTGCGCATGCGACCGTTGTTCCCACGAGGTCGCTGATGCTCAGTGTGAATCTAGCATTTCTCAATAATGTGCCTCATGATGGCTGCTGCCTTCAATGCCCCCTGGTAGGTTGGTTGTTATTTCAAGCAAAGCTGACTGTCTCACGGCAAGGACCAATGACACCTCGGGTTGATGAGCGGCCCGAGTTGTGCGCGGATGGGGGCGCAGCACTAGCATGTAAGGCGACACGCGCTCAGCTTTGGGGGGTGATTTTTGATCACCCCTCAACAGATCCTCTTCTAGTCGGGAGGGGCTGGGGCTGCAGTGTGGGCAACACACCGGTAGCACAAGCCCGGCTAGCGCAGAACGCCTCATCCTGCGGGGTTGCCCGCCCATCACACCACCCCAAGCGCAGTTGCAAAGTTGCAATCGTTGTCACTTCAAATATTTTTACGCCGCGGGCATGCACCAAAGGCCTCTCAGCGCCATCTCTGTACCACGCACGTGTTCGACCCACGCGCTGCCGTTCTCCTCCGAGAAAGGTTTACTCGTTCGTCGACTACAGCAACATTTATTCACTGCTTCTACATTTGCGCTGCTACCGTGCGTCACTTCCCGCGTCCATCAGTCCCGTGCTCCCCGTGCTCAACAGACTGTGCGCGGCAATCCAACACACCGGTCCGTCAGCCCCTTGCCAATCCCGCAAACATGATGCTCACCAAGCTCCAAACGCCCTCCTGCCGCGTGGCCACTAACAAGAGCGTGCGTGCGCACGGCGCTGGGTGCCCGTGCTGCGCGGGCCGGTCCCGGTCGGTGCGCGTGAGCGCTGCCGCGCCCTCGGCGCCCGGGGCTCAAAAGGACGGCCTGGTTCGCCTCATTGACGAGGACAAGGTGAGAATTTGCGGGATGCGCCGGGCTCCTTCCAGGCCGAGCACCCCGCAGGGATCGGCCAGACATCCCACTCAACCCCCATTTCACCCCTTTCCCCCATAGGTCCGCACCGTGCACATTGCCGAGACCATGCTGCCCACGCGTCATGGCAACTTCCGCCTGCGCGGCTACAAGCACTCGGTGAGCCCCCCCCCTCTGCGCCCTTACGTCTGCGCTGTGACATGCGCACGCGGCGTAGTTGGCGCAGCCGTGTACGCGATGTCTTCTGATGCACACCTTGCCTCGCCCTCCCTCCAGACCGATGGCGGCAAGACGTTCGCGGAGCCCACTGCCATCATCTGCGGCAAAGTGGAGGGCTGCGAGGAGGTGAGCATTTCGATGCCGGCCTCGCGCTAGTGCCGGTTGCGCTTGCATGCGTGCCGCACTGACAGGCTCCCAGACGCCAGACGCCTCCGCTGCTAGTGGCTCGCGCCAAACCACGAGGCTGATGATAAGCCCTGCGGCTTCTTTTCCCCTCCCCTCACGGCTGGCCGGCCTCAGCATGACCCCCGCCTGCCGCCTGGTCCATCCCCAAATCAGGTTGTCCTGCGCGTGCACGATGCGTGCTTCACCTCCGAGGTTCTAGGCTCCCTCAAGTGCGACTGCGCCGAGCAGCTGCAGATGTCGATGGAGTACATCCACGCCAACGCCCCCGGCATCGTGATCTACCTCTGGCAGGAGGGCCGCGGCATTGGCCTGGCCAACAAGATTGCGGCCTACAAGCTGCAGGAGCAGGGGCTCGACACCGTCGACGCCAACCGCGCCCTCGGCCTGCCTGACGACAGCCGCGAGTACACCAGTGTGCGCAACATCCTGGCGGAGCTGGGCGTCAAGAGCGTGCGGCTGATGACCAACAACCCCCGCAAGATCAACGTGCTGACCGCCCTGGGCGTCAAGGTCACCGGCCGCGTGCCCTGCCAGATCCAGGCCGGCAACCACAACAAGGTGCCAGATCCAGGGCCGCCCCTGGCGCAGAACCGAGTGCACCCTTGGGCGTGCCTTGGCATCCTCAGCCGCTGCCAGCTTGCCCACCTGCCTGCCAGCCTGCCTGTCAACCTGCCTGCCTGCCTGCCTGTGTTGCGCATGCAAGCCTCGCCATTTTGCTTCATCCTGGCAAACGCCCTGGCCATCCCTTCATCCCCAGGGTTACCTTGAGGCCAAGACCATGCGCATGGACCATATGATCGACAATTCCTACTGGACCCTCGACGAGGCTCCTGTGGCCCCTGCCCAGGCCGAGTAAAGCTATCGGGCGCATGAAAACGCCCGCAGGTTGCCTGAAACGGCACGCCATGCTGGCGCGGCACCACTGCTGAGTGGGCATTGAAGAGCGCGTCGCGGTCCGGCCTGTCATGTCGCCACACGCGCGCTGCCGACTTCCCTAGCCCACAGAGAGGCTTGCAACCACGCGCGCACGTCTTCGGCGACTGTCCCTCGCCGTCAGCAAGGCGCACTCCTCCCACGCGCTCCCTCCTTAACATCCAAACCTTGTGAGATTCCTGTCACACTCACTCACTGCAAGCGCGTGAGCTGCGGGGTGTGCACCCGCCCTCTCACCGCGATGCCCCCTACACTGGGTACTCCCTTCTGCTGGACTGGTGCGAGAGCGACTTGGCTTTGCCGCGGCTTTTCATGTCGGCGGCCTGTGACGGTTGCCCTGGTTCCTTTCAACTGTCAGGGTGCAGACGGCCCCAAATTCCGGGCATTCACTGCACTCCGATTTTTGTACACATTCCTCATCATACGCAACGGAAGCGCCCTGTTGCGCTCAGATGGGTGTCTGTACCATCACCTGCCAAGCGACTCGCCCAGCTCCAGCTGTTGTATGCCATCTGGCGCCTGGACAGCCCCTGAGCTGCTATACCAAATATCACCTTTGTAATCAAAGTCAAGCACTTGAAGTATACTGGCCTTGAACGCCACTCGTGGGTTGACTTGCACTATGCTGTAGGAAGCAGGTATTGACCACAAGGTACAGGGTGCAGCACATGCATGCCGCGATGCATATAAGTGTATGAAGGATGAATATCAAGGTGCAATGAGTACCATCTGGTGGCACTGTTCATCATTCCCTTGCATCGGGCAGTCGGATATACATTAGTTAGCACATGATCTACAAGTGACCCCGACCCAAGTTGTACAGGCACAGCCACAACAGGAGAGTGCACTGCTGGTGTCCCATGGCTCACCGCAAGGCTGTCGCAGGCAAACCTGGCATGCAACACAGCAACAGCACCATGTAGCGGCTGGGTCGGGATCATGCAACAGTTTCACCCGTCCAGCAGCAGCACAAATCGTTCGAGCGCATGCAGACGTAGCTAAAGGTGTAGAAACGTGGTTCATACTCGAATTTGAACTATAAAATAAACACACAGGCGTCTGGGACACTCTGGCTGTTGCGATGGCCTCGTCACACCTGACCGCACGGCGTTTGCGGAACACACCACTTCTATTATGGTGTTACGCGTTATTTGGCCTGTTCTTACAGGTCCAGGGAGCGTCGGCAGCCCCGCAGAAAGCTGCCACGGCCTGGTCGCCCTTCTACAGTGCGTGCGAGCCGTGGGGCGGCGATCGAAAGTTCATAGAAGAGCAAATAAATCAGATCAGTCGGTCCGCTGCATGTAGTGGGGAAGTGGCGTCGAGGCGTGTTTGGGCTACCAGCAGCGGTCACGGCCGCTGCGCCGACGCGTGGCGGATGAATTTAGCGCTCAGTCCTCATGCGCATCCGTTGCTGGGCCATCTTATCACACGACTAATCAAACGCCAGTTTTTAGGTGACGTCACGAAGCTGACCCTCCATCACACCCGCTGACCCTGCGCAGCTGCCATCGTCAACCTCACTATCGTGCCGCCCTACAAGGCCCCCATGCACCCTGCGCCCAGCGCCGCCAGCCGCCGGATCTCAGGCTACCCTGTGCAGGCCGCTGACTCGCGGCCCGCGCTGCAGCGTGACTGGAAGGCGCCGGTGGAGCTGGCAAACCTGCAGGGACCCGAGAAGCTGCCGCGACTCCCGGAGGTGGCCCGGCGCCGCCGCAGCCGCAGCCGGCGCCGCCGAAGCTTACAGCAGCAGATCGGCGCTGCTGTGATTCCGCCTGAGGTTGCCGCCGCGCATGCAGCCAAGATTGCCACCGCAGCCGGTGCTGGCGGCAGCAGCGACGGCCTCGACCGCACCAGCAGCGCCGCAGCCGGTCAGAGCACGGCGTGCGCCGCTGGCCCCGGCTGCTTCACCCCACGCGGCGGGTTCAGCGGGCTGGACGCGCCCCCGGCGGGCACGATGGGGCTGGCCGTCGGCAAGCAGCACGTCGTGCAGGTGGCCGGCGGCGTGATGACGGTGTTCAACCTCGGAGGTACTGGGATGAAGTCGACCGTCGTCCGCACCGTCTCCCTCCAAAAGTTCTTCGCGGCCGTGGCCCCCAGCTGCGAGGGGGCCCACGACGGCGCCGCGCTGTACGACAAGCACGCCGGCCGCTTCGTCGTCGCGGCGTCGTGCGGCGGGTTCGGGCGCATCCTTGTGGGGGTTTCCGCGACGGGCAGCGCGGCGGGCACGTGGTACCAGTTTGGTCTGATCGCCGACGCCGTGAACACGCCCCTGGAGTGCAAGGCGCCTAAGGAGCAGGCCCTGGCCGACTACCCCCAGCTGGGGTACAACAAGGACGGGCTGTTCGTATCGTACTTTTCGTACTGCCCGAGTAACCCGGACGTGGCGGGCGCGTCGGTGCTTGCTCTGCCAAAGTACAAGGCTTACCAGGTGGGACCGGGTCCACTTACGCCTGGAGCTGTGCCTGTGCGCGAGGTTGAAAGCAGCACTGCCGCATCAGCTTCTATTTTGACTGACTTTAGGGCTGTCTATTGGATTGCTGTGCTTGTCTGCTGCTGGTTTTCGGGTGATCTGCACGTATGTAACCCAGCACACAGGCCTGACATTTACTCAGTGATAGCGGTGACTCCTGCATAAACACCACAAACTAACATTGTAATGCCTGCCCCATTCCCAGGGTTCCCCCTCCATGTACTATGCCGTCTACACCGCCGCAGACGTGGCTGCGTCTGCTCAGCTGCTGGGCGGGGCGGCGTCTGTGCGGCAGCTGCAGCCGGTGGTGCCGCAGTCGGCGGCTGACGTGCAGGAAGGCATGACCTACTTTGTGACTGATGTGAGCTCCCTAAGTCCGGGCCCGGAAGCGGCCCTGAGAGCGAAGCGCGGAGTTTGCTGGCGAGCCTCGCCCATTTGGTGTTGCGCAGCACTACAACATTCGGCCACATGCAGCGCTTATGCCACCCCTGAGCAGAACCCCCTGCTGTGGAGCTCACCCAACCCGTCGTTCCGCCTACCCCTGCCACCATATGCGTCTGCAGAACCTGCCTCGTCCGGGCGCCAAGCGCAGCAACTTCACTCTTGTGGCGCTGACCAACACCGGAGCTCTTTGGGGCTATGCCGCCGACGTCAACGGCGTCCCCGCGCCCACGCTCGTGGCGACCACGGTGCCATGGGGTCGCAGTGCACCCATCACGGCTGACGCAGTGCTGAGGCAGCCGGGGGATGCGGCCGAGCTCCCTGCAGGCGGGAACAAGCCACCAGGCTTTTGGAGCGGAGGGGTGAGCCGGGGCAGTGGGGACACAATTGCACAGTGCGCAACAGATGCGCTCAGAAACACTGACAGCCTCTGACAGTCAAAGGCCGTGTCATGAGCGCGAGCGTCGATTGTGTTCACGATTGCATGAACCCATCTTGCGCCAGCCAAGTACAATTACCCCGTTGCTGCTGCATGTGATGATGCCTCCCGCGCATGTCTCTGCCATAAATGTCTCCCCACTCGAAACAAGGCTGTGATGTCCAAGAATAAGATAATGCTGACGACCCGCGCCGATGTCACCGAAGAGAGCGGCCGTTATAACCCCCGTCCTGGGGTGATCTGGGCCGAGGTTGAGCCGTCAGTCAAGTGGGAGACCGCCCAGGGAAACTTCAACGAGACAAAGTTCACCGTGCCGGCCGAGGAGTGCTCAAGCGCTGTCCAGAGCGGCATGGCGCCGACGTTTGACTGGTCAAAGGACTTTTCGCTGACCTACGGGTCCGAGTTCGCAAAGAACTGGAGCTGGTCCCTCAACGCCTACAGGGCTGCGTCTGCGATCAAGACCAAGGCGCCCAAAGACGCGATGCGCGCTGCCGCCGTGGTGCTGGACCGCGCCTCGCGGCTGGAGGAGGCGGCCAAGACGTCGCCGGCCGCCAACTTCCAGGTCATGGGGTTCCCGCAAGGGACAGCTGCGGCAGGGGGCAGGGGCGGCGGCGGCGGCGGTCCCTTGGGCTCTGGGAGGTACAGGGGGCGCAATAACAACTGTGGCTGCGAGAACAGCTGCGGCTACAATGACGTGAGCACGTACAACTATGTGAGTGCCTGGGGGGGTCTGGCGGTTGAAATGCGCATGCCACCTGCAGTTGAAAGCTGATGGCGCGTGTGTGAGGCGCTGCGCTTGTGAGTGCTCAATGCAGTGGAGGGCTTCAGATGTCCACGGGACCACCATCACGACTTACAATTATCATTACGTGAAGAAGGTTCGAGCCATGAGGCCTTGACGCTTGATTGAGCAAACCCGCTTGATCGAGCAAACCCCTTTGACGTTCATCTCAACAACAGGTCTACAACTTTGATGACTACTGCGACGCCGGCAGTAATCAGTGGGGCCCAGAGACAGGGAATGACATGTTTGGCTCCACGTGAGTGCAGCTCAGGTTTTGAGTAGTACTTTAAAGACAAATCCAGCAACCTGATGCTGTTCAACTCTATTGTGGATGGTGGCCAGCGTGGCGCTGACGGCAGAGCATCCGGGTGTGAGCGTCATTGACCGCATCCCATGGCGCCCTGCCTCTGCCCTGCATCTTCCACCCAGGTACAATGGTGCCTACTGCACAGGGGACTCGACTTTTGGTCTGGTGGGCAACCATCAGTACGACGAGTGCTGGCGCTTTTGCCTCATCCGCTGCAGTCCTCGCAGTGAGTATGGGATGGGTATGGAGGGCGCAGAGCAGCCGCGTGACAATGCAATAGCCCTGCGTGTCTCTAGAAGTGCATGCGGTCTGCTGCCTCAGGATGCATATCGTATCTCCTTATTGTGGTAGGCCCCCGCCGCAAATATCACGGCTTGACAATCTAAAACCTTGACAAACAGCTGGCAGCTCCAAACATTGCATGCAAGCAACGCCTCATACACCTGCATGGGCGCAATCGCGCGTCTGAACCCTACTATGTGCAGATGGCGGCGTGGGCGGCTCAGTCAATGCCGGCTATGGCTTCTACGGGGCGACAAATTTCTATCCGAGTTTCTTCTATGCGAGCGTCAAGGATGGCACGTCCCCTGCCGCAGTCCGGCCCGCAGTCCTCCCCCCCGCAACCGAGGGCAAGGCGGCGCAGCCGACGCAGCCGATGAAGGCCGCTGCGTGCGCCTCCCGCGTTGCCCTGGGCGCCGTCGTCCTGCGTGCCGGCTGGGTCGACCCGGGCGCCGCGCTTGGACTCGCGTTCCCGGCAGTTGCAGTCGCCTCTAACGGCGCGGCGGTCCTAGCGTTTACGTATGCGGGGCCTGGGAAGACGGCCGACGACATGGCGGACGCGTACCCTGGGGTGGGCGCTGCCTTCATCGACGGCAGGGCGGCGGGGTCCGTTCCAATGTCCACCCTTCAGCGCTCGTCCTCGCCCATCGCGCTGGCCGACACGGGCGGCGCGCTCACCTGGGGCGAGCTGAGTGCCGCTGATGTGCACCCTGTGACGGGGACGGTGTACGTCTCGGTTCGCCGCGGCGGGCAGACGCGCACGGGGCGCGCACACGTCGCGACTTGGGTCGGCGTCATCCCTATGACAGTGAATTGAATGCTACTGGCGATCTTCTGGATTGGACGATGGCCACTGCACCAGACCTGCGACCTGGCTGGAGGTGTCTGCCCAGCGCCATTATGTGCGCGGGCGGCACTCGCCATCGGGGTTTGGGTCATTGATACGGTATGGCAACGCCCCGCCAGTTGCAGGAGGACGCCTTGGCTCTTGCAAGACTGTCTCAGCTTTGGAAACTATGGTGCTCAAATCCATGAGGGTGCCAGATCCAGTTCAATGTGTGTTACATCACGGCCTCTGTGGCCTCGGCCAGCTGCACTGCTACTACGCAGGCAGCTCCTCCGCATCACAGCAGTATGCATGATGAACGTGTTGCCAAACTTTCACCTATAACCAATCATACAACTTCCTGTCTCTTATATGCAAGCAAGATGGTAATGGTCTCACATGTTTGCTTCCTAATGCGGCCCACCAGTCCCGGCATTATGCTAAGCTGCATTCTCGACTGTAGTCGCGGCACACATCACGAGCTTACGACATCATGGATTGGCACCAGGCACAGATATACATCAGATGCACAAGTGGGTGAATGTTCAAAACTCCAGCCACCACTGCAAACGCCCAAACGAAACATCAGCAGAGGAGAGCAACAGCACTCGCCGTGCGCAATTGTGATAATAAATCGTATTTACTCAACAGCAGCTAATGGAAGATGGGCAGGAGAGGAGCCCAGCAGGTAGCCTGAGCCTGCTACCTGCCTGGCCAAAGGCCTCCCAACAGGCACCCTGCATCCAAGGGCACCCTGGGCCCTGCCTTGCATGCAGCAGGTCCAAGCTACCCGCCGACAGGCCCTCTACTGCAAAAGACTGCTTGGCACCCCTCGCCTTCTGGGTGGGGGTGTGGGTGTTGCAAAAAGGTCGCTGCTACACTTGCCTGAGAACAAGAAGAATTCACAGCTACTGTGCACTCTAGCTATGAACACAGACACTGCTGTGACCCAGCTGCTCTACAGCTGATCTTCATCAATCGACTGTTGTGGCATACCGGGGGACGGACATCCCTGGCAATGAGCCACAGTACTGCAGTGCCGTAGACTCATAGCGATGAGATGTCTTGACCTGCTACTTGTTTTCACGCCTTTCGGCACGGCAGGGCGGGGCACAGATCTTGGAATCGCGGTGATCTCCTCATGGTGTATGCCGTAGACTTCAGACCGCCTTTTTCTACTCAAAAATTTCTTATATCCGCATGCAGCAGCTCGCAGGTGACTCTGACGACGACTTCGTCACACCGAGCAGGCCCAACAAGCGTTTGAAAGCCCTGACAGCTACCAGGCTCGCTGCAGATGTAACCACAAAGAAGACGGCATGTGTCAATGGACCACCGCAAAAAGCCCCAGAAAGCGCAGCATGGCGATCCAGCTCACCGGCGGACGCTTCACGTGCCCCCCGTGCTGCTCGCCCTGCGGGTACCACCGCCACGCCGCGTCAGCAGCGGCAACCCTCGCCAGCGCCGCAGTACCATTCAGGTACCGCTGAGGCAATCGCCGCACCAGGCGGTGCGCAGCGCTACCTGAGTAGTCACAGGGCTGCAGCGCTGGTAGCATCGCCGCCTGCTGCAGCGTCAGAGGCAGAGGCAGCGCCCTGCCCTGTTTGCGGCTTGGACATGTTGGGAATCAGCTGCACTGCCCGCGGCAGGCAGGCGCATGTCAATGCCTGCCTGGACACAGCAGCTGCACGTGAAGGCGGCGGCGGAGTGGCGCTGGGGGCGATTGCAGACGCCAGTGGTGCTGGCAAAGGCAGCATGGTGGCGGAGAGCAGTGCTTGGGGAGCGCTGGGTATTGGCACACAGCAGCAGCGACAGCAGCAGCAAGCGCCAAAGCCATTGCAGCCTCGCTGGTGTGGGCCGCAACAGACATCAGACGAGCAGCAGCAGCAGCAGCAGCAGCAGCAGCTCAACCCAGCCGCAGCAGTGCCAGAAGCCAGCGGCACACGAAAGGCACCCACCCCGGCGTCATCACCTGCGCACACGGCTGTCGCGGCAGAGGACGGCGCAAGCAGTGATCGAGACTCCCTGGGTGACGTCGATGCGCCTGCAGATGGCTTGGAAGGGGATGAGTGGCTGGACGCGCTGCAGACGCAGATGTGGGAGGACCAGGAGGCTGAGGAGGAGCAGGGCGCAGAGGGGCGGGCCGCGGCGCGGGTGGCTGCGTGCTGCAACGAAGGCGACGGCGGCAGCGACGGCGGCCGCGTCCATGGCGGCGACGGCCCAAGGGGTCACCAGCAGTGTGAGGGCGGCAGAGAGACAGCTCTCGAGCGATGGTGAGTAGGCCTGCCTGCTGCTGGTGTCTCGACTGTGTGAGGGCTCCACGGCGTTCCACACAGCTGCCGCAGCTGTGTTGCGTCATCCCAACCGTGGTGCCGGCCCTCGTCAACCTTCCAGGTTGCGGCATGAGGAGCTGGAGCACCTCGCAGGGCGGCTGAGGCAGGCGGGCACAAGGCAGCTGGAGGACATGGCTGCCATGTGCGACAGCGACCTGCAGGTGGGACCCACAGGCGGTGGGCAGCGCTGGTGGGCCGCAGTGGGCGTGCAAGCAGGCCTATGTTGTTGTCTGCCATACACGCCAATACCTGCTATTGTTAATGGCATTGGTCGGTGTGCAAGTGTGGGTGTTGTGTCTGTGTGCAGGGCGCGCTTGCGAGCCTAAACGTGCCACATCCAACACTTGTGTTTGCAGGCGGCGGGGGTCACGTCAGCTGCGGAACGCGCTGCCCTGCTCTCTGCAGCTGCCCTGCTGCAATTCAGCATGGACGGTGCAGTGCGCAGCAGTGACGACGGTGGCGTGAGCGACGGCGGCCTCGACGACTGCTTGACAGGAGCGCGTGTGCCCGCGCCTTTGGTGGGGCTGAAGGATGGGGGCGGCGATGACTGGGTGTGGCAGCAGGAGACAGCCGAAGGGATGGAGTCGCCACTTGGCGGGGCAAGCGAGCTGCAGCACCAGCAGACGGCAGCAGCAGGGCAGCAGCAGCACTGGCAGCACTGGCAGCAGGAGCGGCCGGGCCAACAACGCAGCAGCAGTGGTTCTGCCTTGGAGGAGAACAGGCTGTGGGAGCCGCAGGATCAACAAGATGACTGGGACTGCCAGCAGCGGCATCTGCAGGATGCGGAGGAGGAGCAGCACGTTCAGGAGCAGCAGCGGCAGCAGCAGCAGCAGCAGCAGCAGCAGCGGCGGCGGCAGTGGCGGGATTGCGAGGGCGAGGGTAGCGATGTCGAAATCACCGGGGAACGACTTGCCGCGGCAGGGCAGGATCAGGCTGGCAGCGGCGCAACTTGCGAGGTTGCCGCACCTGACGGCAGCTACGGGCTTGCAGGTGCTAAGAGGGGCACCGACAGCGGCTGCGGCACGGAGGGGGCTTCAGGCGTCATTCCAGGTGGAGGCGTGTCGGACCCAGCCTTGCGGTCTTTCAACAGCATGTTCCTACAGAGGACCAGCGGGGAGCGACCCGGCAAGATCACGGCTTTTTTCAAGAGCAGCAAGCCGCATCAGCAGGAGCAGCAGCCAGCGCCCGCTGCTGCAGGCCGGCAGCAGCCACCAACGGGTGATTGGCAGCAGCAGCAGCAGCAGCAGCAGCAGCAGCAGCAGCGATGGCAGGCAGGGTCAGCTGCGGCCAGGCCGCCGCTTGGCAACGGCCACGTGCCGTGCCCGCCGCAACAGAAGGCCCTGCAGCGCCAGGGTAATGCCGGCCGCCTGCCTGGCTGGCTGCCGGCGTGGCAGCGCATCCCTGGCACTGACATCGTGGTGGACTGCTTCACCCAAGCTTCCCGGCAGCTTCCGGCAAGATCCTGGATCCTCTCCCACTTCCACGCCGACCATTATGGTGAGAGGTCCGCCTTGGGTATTGTTGGGCCAATGCTCGGCTTTTTCATCCAGTCTGTTCGTGTGATTTCAGGTTCACACAGCCCGGTGCATCTTCCCTCCGTGATGACAAGTAATGAAGCATGTGCACCACCTCCAAACGATGCAACTTGCTGCGGCGCGCAGGCGGCCTGACCAAGGGCTTCAGGCAGGGCACCATCTACTGCACCCCTGCCACGGCCGCCCTGGTCCGGCTGAAGATTAAGGTGGCGGAGAGCGCGCTGAGGGCGGTGCCGCTGGGGCAGGAGGTGGTCGTGGAAGGTGCGCGGGCAGCCAGCCGCGGGCGGCTTGGACAGCCGGGCCTGGCACCCGCAATGAGAGGCGGCGAGGCGCTCTGCTTGAATACGTATCCTGATTCCTGCAGCGGCCCACTAGTGTCGTTCCCACACCCAGCCCACAACCCGCTGCCTGAAGAGGCCTTCTCCCTCTTGTCATGCTCTCCCTCTTGTCATGCCGTGCGAGAGTGCAGCAACCCAACCAACTACTCCGCAGGCACGCGCATAAAGTTCCTGGACGCCAACCACTGCCCTGGGTCCGCGCTGATCGCCGCCTTCCCGCCCGACGGCGCGCCGCCCGTGCTGCACACGGGCGACGCGCGGCTGACTCGGGAGGCGACCCGCGGGTGCCTGGTGCTGGAGGGCATGAGGGGGCGGGCGGTGCTGGTGCTGGACACCACTTACGCAGACCCCCAGTATTGCTTCCCGCCGCAGCAGCAGGTGGTCGACAGCGTCATACGCTCTGTCAAGGTGCGAGGAGAAAACTGGGGACGGCCAGACGTCCTCAGGCGCAGTGGGATGAGCGAAGGGGGCCGCTGCAGGGCCGTTTAGGGGTGGGCCGCGGGCCACAGCCGATGCCCCCTCCCATGCCCAGCATGTGCAGCACGCACGTTTCTGAGGCGGGAAGTGCTTACGCCCAGCACGCCTCCTCCCCATATCAGGCGGAGTCGTTCAACCCGCGGACGCTGTTCTTGTTTGGGTCCTATACAATCGGGAAGGAGCGCCTCTTCCTGTCTGCAGCCGCCGCCCTCAACAAGTGGGGTCGCCAAATTGGGTGTCTTGCCGGCCTGTCCGCTTGCACCATGGGATGAGTCATCCAGCTTGACGCTGGCCCAGCCAGCCGCCGAGGGCGCTTGACAGCCGTTGTGCTCGCATAGGCTAATCCGTTTCACACCAGACAAGACCTCACCAGCCCAAGCGGCACCCTGCACCTGGCAGGAAGCTGTACGTGGCGGCCGCCAAGCGGGCCGTGCTGGGCTGCATCGACCTGTCTCCAGAGTTCAGGTCGATGCTTACCACAGACCACCTGGAGACAAACATGCACGCGGTGCGTCTACTGGGGGCGGCAGTGCGCGGCAAGACATGGACCGGGGAGGATGGGTGAGGTTGGGCCCTTAGGGAAGCCCATGCAGCCAGCAATGCGACTGCATTAAGATGCATGTGATGTTAGTCTGACAGGCTTGTGCGCATTTGTTTTTAAAACATAATGGGGTGATCTGGTGCTGTGTCGCTTTGGCATGCTGTTTCTGCACTCTTCATCACCACTATCTGCCCCCTCTCCTTCATTTCTAGGTGCCCATGCGCCAGGTCACCATGGAGGCGATGGAGGCGCTGCTGCTGCGGTACAAGGGGCGGTACACCACAGTGGTGGGTCGCGGGTTGCCTGCCACATGACGGGGGATACAGCTGGCTAGTTGCTGCGGTTATTGGTGTGATCAGGCCATGAAAAAAGGCCCAAAGCACCAAGAATTTGTAAATCCACCCAGCGTCCGCCAACCCTGCTGTGTGCAGCTGCTCTGCCGCACCATGAATGTGACAAGAAGAATTGTAAATTGCCAAGCCTGCGACCTGAGAGCTGAAGGTCGGTTTGCCTTGAGTGCGAGACCCCAGGCCGCCACACCCTTGATATCCTTGCCGCCATCGTGCCGCTGTCAGGTGGGCTTCTGCCCGACCGGTTGGAGCCAGGTGCGGTCATCCAAGGGGCTCACACGCGGCCGCCGCAACCAGGCCGGCACCGTGGTGCTCTACCAGGTTGGTGCTGTGCTGCCGCAGGCCCTGCCCTGGCAAACTACAGCCGCACCTGCACCAAACGCACTGCAAGACTGCCGGCCCATCACCCCTGTCACTGCCCTGCCACTGTCCAGACTTCCTGCCTAAGAGGAGGACTCAGTTGCTTAAGATAAAGCATACACACAGGAACAGTCTGCAGCATCTTTCTCAAACATCATTGACCCCATCTCCACACTGTTTCACTGCCTTTGCCCTTGACCCCCTGGCGCCCAGGTCCCGTATTCAGAGCACAGCAGCTTTGACGAGCTTCGGGACTTTGTGGCCTGGTTCCGCCCCAAACGCATCATACCCAGCGTGAACAACGACCGCGACGGGCCAAAATGCCAGGCCATGCTGCGCCTGCTGACCGGCGACAGGGGGCCCATGGATGCATTCGCGCGCGGCAGCGGTGGCGGCGGCGTCAGCGGCAGCGAAGGGAGGGTGCCCAGCAGCGGCAGAGGGGTGGGTGCGTCGGAAGCGGCGGGCGGTGGCGGTGCAATCAGGCGCCGCGGGGGCGCACGCAGAGGCGGTGTCCAGGGCGGGCGCGGCAGGAGCCAGGCGGCAATACCACCGGCCGGGGCGGGCCGTGGTGCTGGTGCGGGCAGGCCGCTGCCTATGCCGCAAGGGCAGGGCGGCGGCAGACATGGGGGTGCAGCCCCGCCTCGTGCACGGCCACCATTGGCGCAGCCGCAACTTCGGGGTGACGGCCAGCAGGCCCAGGTGCCTTGCCAGCAGCAGCAGCAGCAGCAGCACGAGCAGTCTTCCGGCTGGCAAACCCTTCCCCCAGCGGCACTGAAGCAGCAGCCACAGCATCAGCATCAGCAGCACCAGCAGCAGCAACAGCTGCAGCACATACAGCGGCAAGCAATACAGCAACAGCCGCACCACCACCCCCAGCAGCAGCAGCAGCAGATGCAGCCGCAAATCCGGCAGTGCGCATCAACAGAAGGGCAGCAGCAGGCCGGTGTGCCGGCGCTTCATCATGCAGCACCCAGCAGGGCTGTTGCTGGTGCTGATGCGGCCGGGCGGCCAGGCGGCACCTTGGCGGTGCGTGGCAAGCGCGGTTTGTGGGCGACTTCTGCAGCGGGTAGGTGATCAGACATTTGGCCAGCTGATCAAGAGGTCATGTGTTCCGAAGCTCTGGACAGCCATTTTTTCTTGCTTGATCATGGGGAGAGAGGTTTGGTCTTCTGTAGCTCTGGACAGCTACTGCTGCTTACTTGTGTCAAGGTTTAGAAGTGTTTCATGCCACCCTTGCAACTACCACCGTCATCCCCGAGGGGCGCAGCAAAGGCAGTTAACCAGCCTGCTGATCCTTGGGTGAGTCGGGGGTCCAGCAACCCAGGTGGCGGCAGGGGAATGGTCGCCAGCCCGTGGATCCATGGTTGCAACCGGGTGACTCATGCCTGGGGTTACCAGAGCAAGGTGATGACGCCCGCGCGCTAATGACAGGCATGCGCAGGCGTCAAAGATTTGACAAAGCAAACGCTTGAGCAGGGCGCATGCAGTTTGAGGCACATGAAGCGCCTGCGGGGGGCAAGTTGCGTGCGTGGCACATTGCTCCGTCACAGCGAAACAGGCCCACAGCCTACGCAGACGCGCAGCGAGTGTATCGCAGCGTGTGTATAGCTGTGCGCAACATGTGTGTCGCTGTGCGGTTGCCACGCATGCTGTCAGCGCCCTGGACGTTGCTACAGCCCAAAAGCGGGGTTCCCAATTCAGGTGTTGAAGTGCACAAGGACGGCCCCACTGGCAGGGCGACGGCGTACCCGGCCATGTAGGGGCCATAAATTGCCTATTGATGGCCTACGACACCAACAACCTGCGGCAAAGCGGCAAGTCAAATCGCACACCTTTGCTGCTTTATTCGCAACGGCTATGTGTCGCCTGTCGGCGCGTGCGCCGGTATCCCTCGCTCGTCACTCTCACTCTCTGCAATTGCAGTTTCCCCCTGTCCCGCTTGGGATTGCACACCAGTGCGCAGCTGGTCAACATCACCACAGCAGCGCAATCAATGCCGCTGCCGCTGCCAACGCCGCGGCCTTGGCTGCGCTGCCGAGACCTACGGCTGCGTTGGTGCGCCGCTCGGGTGCGCGGCCGCAGACGACGCCGGTGCAGTTGCTCTGGGGGGCTATGTCGTTCACGCTCATGCCCTCGATGCTGCCAAAGGAGACCACGGGATCATAGTAGAGGGTCTCGAAATAGGGAAATGTGATTGACAGCCTGCTGCCGCCCAACGAGTTGGCCGATGAGACGGCGGCGAGCGTCGCGTTCGCGATCTTGCTGGCGGTGGCGTCCGAGGAGATCACGCTCGTGCTGATGAGCCCTATGGCGACGCTGCTGTTGATGGCCGAGCCCACTGCAGGGTACGCCACCGTCGGGCAGTCGATGGAAACTGCCTTTGTTGTGGACACCAGAAGCTTCACTGTCTTGGTGGGAAGCTTTGCCTGCTTGCCTGCGCTGGCGAGCGCGAGCGCGATGGCAGACTCCGCGTCGAGGAACGAGCCGCTGATGTCGCCGGGCTGCATAAGGTGCCGTGTGGGTGCGGCGTACATGTCTGTGATCATCGCGCTGGGGTTGGCGACCTCGGCTGCAAGGGTGTGGGTGAATTTGCGGATGGGTGGGTCATGGCAGAGGCAGCAACACAGGATGAGGGTTTAGGGGTGATAAGTAAGGTTCTAACTCTACAGTGTGCATGGCCTGCATTCCCCCCTGCGTGTGCCTGCGGATGCTTGAGGGGTGCAACCCTGTTTTGAAGCCCTGCAGCCCGGACTTGAGCCATTCAGGTCCCCACCAGTGGGATCGGCGGTGATCTGGGCCTGCGCGGCCTCCTGCATGTTGGTGGCCACAGCGATATCAAACTTGAGGCTGTTGAGGGGCGAGCAGAAGGGCCTGCGGCAAACAAGTGGAAGGGGAGACGTATGGGCGTTTGAGGTGCACAGGTAGAGGCGAAGCATACTCGCACACAAGCTTGCCGTGTCGGCCCGGTCGTTGCCGTGTTCTCGGCACGTTGAGGAACAACGCTTGTGGTGCGAAACCCGCAAGAAGCCCAAGTGAATGTCACATCCCCACCATCACTAGGGCCGGTTCATCATCCCACTCTGGTCCCTGTCCAAGCGCGGGATCGACACCCACCAGTTTGCGGCCTCAATGTTAAACTTCACGCCATCAGCAGGCACGTTGATGCTGTTGCCCTTCCCATAAGCGAACGTCTTGTTTGCCGTCATGCCGAAGAAGAACGTGACGGTGATCGATGGCGCGCCGCCGGTCGTCACCGCCGGCGCCACGGTGCCGCGCGCCACGGGGCCGGTGACCACGCTGACCTGGCCGGCGGTGCGGCCGGGGGCCACGGTGACCAGAGGGGCGAAGGGGTCCTTGCCGTCTTTGGTCAGGCCGTCCGCGCCGACGGTCGGCGCCACGATCGACTGCATGGGCGCGAGCTGTGCGCCGTTGGCCCGGGTGTAGCTCACGAGCTTCGACGGAAGCACGCTGGCCGGCGCCTGCTGGGGCGCCAGGACGACGGCCTCGGCCAGACGGCGAGTCATCATCGCCTCTGGGCGCGGGGGCGGGTCGATGGTCACGGCGGTCAGCTGCGCAATCGTCGCGGCCAGCTTGCTATCGCCGAGCGTCTTGATCGGCTGCCCGTCGGCGTACGGCTGCTGCTCGCGCTCGGCGACGACGGCGGCCTGCTTGCTGGCCTGGGCCGCCTTGGCGGGGGCGGGGGCCCTGGCGCCTGCGGGGCCGGGTGCACCTAGGCCCAGCTCCTCCAGCTTGTCCTCGCTGGGGCACTCGCCCATCTTCAGGGCGGCGCCGTCGTACACCATTTTAACGTATGTGTAATCGGTGTCACCAGAGGTGCGCACGCCTGGAGTGCGTGTGTGATTTGAGCAAGGGGCCACCAATTTGTGGTTATCCTCCAGGGGAGTGAGTGGTCCGAGCTACGTGCTGGCAGGAGGGACGTTAATGCATGGCGCATGATTGAAAACCAATGCGCAGCACAGAAACAAGGCCTCCGCTGCTTTCAAAAGCTGTTCTTGGCATGAGTATTCGCTCCTGTAGTCTATGGCAGGCGCGCTTGCTGCGCGGCGTCTGCGCGCCTGCCGCCATACGTCGAGCTCACTAGCTCTCTGCTGCCATTCCCATTTTTCCTTGCTTAGCTAGCTTGCCGCACAATTAACCAGTACCCCTGCGTCCCTCCTCCTCCCATTGCCGCAACTGCCGCAGCATGATCCCCTCTACAGCCGCCTGCGCCTCGTTGCAGCCGCCGTGCGCGCGCCACTGGCTGGGGCGCACCGGTCGAATACGTGGGCGTGAGGCCGGCCAGGGAGGTGATGGCGTGGCCGTAGACGGCCTTGCCGTCATCATCCAGCTCCTCAATGCGGTTGAACTTCAGGGTCAGGTACGAGCTGCTGGTCTTGTTGGGAAAGATCTTGATGTTTGCGGTCTTACCGATGATCAGCACCTTGGCGGTCGATGTGGACGCAAACTCAAAGACCTGCGGGCGGCGCAGTGGCAGGCGGCGAGGCAGCGAGGCGGCGAGGCGGCGGCGGAAGATTGCGTGCATGTTGGGGTGTGCTGTGCCGCGGGCCCGCGCGGCGGCGGGCGCTGTGGAGCTCTCGCAGTGGGCAATGGTGTCGCCATCCAGGTGTGTTGGCGATTGACAGCGGTGCTGCGCAACGCGTTCTGTGCTGTACCAGAGGACGTGGGCACAGATAAAGCTTTGAAGCCTCCAGACTGTACATGCATCGCCACACCGCCGCTGCATGCGCGGTCGGCTCGAGCAGCGACCCTCACCCCCTCCTGTGCTGCCGGCGCGCCCGTAACGACCATCGCCGCCGCCAGCAGCAGCAGGCACGCAATCGATGATCTGTAAGGCATTTTCACAGCTATGAGTACAGGGTGTGGTGAATCGAAAGCGCGGAGCGCGTTGGTGGCCGGCCGTGGCAACAGCTGATCGATGTATTGGAGCTGAGAATCGCTTCAAGGATGAAGGCAGCCTTCAATACGGACATCTACGCTTTTTAATCTGTTTGATTACCACGCACCCGCAACGGACGTGAAGACAGCCTGGCTGGTAACCGCCCTCTCCTCCCCCGCACCCATCCGTCCCCAGGACCCTGCGGGGCACCCGCAGTGGCGAACATGATTATCATGATCCACCCTTGCTTTTTTGTATAAGCTTGACTTATTTGATCTGTTTCGTGTCGGGTTTGCCATTCGCGATTGCCAAGACCAGTGGTCGCACGTCCTGTACGTCGACATCATGGGCGGAGACGAGGTACGGCCAAGTTTAGCGCGTGTTTAGGTACATTGATGCTAGCTGAAGATGCGTTGGGCTTCAGTCGTCGCTCTTGAAGCTGCTGCACAAAGCTGCTGCACAAAGCTGCGCTGCGCTGCTGCACCCAAAGGCTGCCGCAGGGACCAGCAGCAGCAGAGGATGCCAGCGTTACTATACCCCCCAAGAGGTAAGAGAACAAGCGGAAACATACATATGGGCTCAGCACCAGCCATGGATACTTGGATGACGCTGATGCAGCAGGCCTTGTGGGTGCACGTGCAGGTGGCGGCGCACAACAACCCCGACGACTGCTGGGTGTCGTTCCTGGGAGGTGTGTATGACCTCTCGCCACTGCTCAAGGTAAGTGTGGGTTGATAGAAAAGTCACATCCAGTGTTGCGCATCCAGGCCCTGATCCTTGCGCTTGGCTTGGGCCATTGTTGAGGTGGGGTATGCTGCATAGAGACGGCTGCAATCAGGCAGCCAGCATTCAATCATGCTTGGGCGTCACGGTCCCCACTGGTTGACGTTCAGGAATCCCATGGGCGGCTGGCGGAGCCCATGTTTGCGGCGGCTGGCACAGACATATCTCACTGGTGCGCCCCCGGGGTGTCGCGCCACCTGTGAGTGTGGTCGAGCTTGCGGGACGCATTCAAGGCCTGGCGTATCTTCGTACGGCTGGCACCAGTGCCGTCACACCAAGCGATTTGCAAATCCCTTCGACAATGCGATTCAGGTTTGACGCGGCATCAGGCGATATCAGGACGTACGTGCACCCAGAGACGCAGCTGCGGGTGCCGTATTGCCCCCAGGTGTGCTGGCGGCGCATGCTGTGCGCGGAGGGGTGATGCTGCTTCCCACGAGCCTGATTGAAGCATCAAATGTGCAGGCCCAGGCCCAAGCAACTGCAACCAGGTCAGTCAACAGCAACTCTTGCGAGCTTAACGCCGCTCCACACGACGTGATGGCCCCGCGATGCCGTGCGCGGCCACGCAGGGTGAGTTTGTACACGTGTCCCCCATGTGGCCGATCACCGGGATTGACTGCGGCGGCCGGCCTCCATGGTGGCAAGACACCACATACCAGGTTGGTTTTCATCGCTGCCGTTTGCCTCGGGTTAGTTGTGCACGCACAAGCAGGCAGCGCGCCTTTTGCTAGCCCACGCAATGACCGTCTTGCTGACCCAGTTGCTCTGCACAGGGATGCAAGCCGTACCTGCATGCACACATTGTGCTTCAGATGCCTGCGCGGACACACGCCACCCTCTCTAACACACACACACACACACACACACACACACGCACACACCACACCGCAAACGCACACGCAGGCATGCGCACACGCAAATGCGCGCACACACACGCGCACGCACGTGCACACACGCACACACATGTACGCACGTGCGCGCGCGCACACACACACACACACACACACACACACACACACACACACACACACACACGCACGTGCGTGCGCGCACACACTCACACACACACACACACACGCACACACAATTCAACTAGCTCAGGTGGGCGCGCTGAGCGCAGCGACGCGGCTGGTGCGGATCAGAAACGTGCTGACGGGGCAGGAGGACATCCTGGAGGTGCCTGGGGAAGAGACCGTGGCGGAGGTGCAGCAGCGCTACCTTGCAGTCAACTCACACGCAGCCTCCTACACGTGGAAGGCGCTGGTACGCGTGTTCCTCTGACGCCCGCTGCTCTCCTGCCGCTGTTTGAGATTGGGATGCGGAGGGGTGGCGCGGCTGACAGTGGCGGCTAGCTTTGACGCCGCAGCGGCGATGAACACCGCTCAGCTTTGGCTCCACTCAGAGAGATACGCGCGCCTCGGCCGGTGCCCACCCGCGTGTGCTCCCTCAGGCGCGCCGGAGCAGCGGCGGCGCGGGCGCCCCGCTGGATTTTGTGGAGCTGGACTTGAACAAGAGCCTGGAGGCCAACGGCATCCCCGACACGCGCGCGGCCTACGAGGCTGCCGGGCTGCCGGGCGACGACGCAGTGCCAGTGCTGCACGTCTACTGGAACGACGACCTGACGTCAGCGTGACGTCACTGCTGGCTAGTGGTGCCCGCTGCAAGGCGGGTGTGTAGCTGCGCTCTGCTCATTATCACAGCCTCTGTCTGACGCGTACACTGGAAGTTGCGCCATGCACACGGGACTCAGGTGGCCGTTGTGCGAGCTTGGAGTCCGACAGGTGCGCGCACTGTCGCTTCAACCTGGTTTTAACACGCTACGGGGTGACGAGCAGAGCAGCTGGGCAGGCGCGGGGCTGCAGTCGTGGACAGGGGTGTGTGCTATTGGCATGTATGTGATTGTACACGTTTTGGGGCAGGTGGCGGAGCGGGTGCGGCAGCTGGCAGGTGGTCGACCAGCTGCTTGGACTTTGGGTTGGCCTGGGGTTGGTCCCGGCTCCGCCATCACGTGGGTGCTGAGGTTACTAGCTGCTTCGGCACCCGCAATGCTGCACGTTTGTGATTGCTGTATCTCGAGGTACACTGTAAAATACGAGTATCGCTGATTACCACCGTTAGGCCCAGCGCTCCGCCCACCACAGACTGAGATACGGTGTACATGGGGGTCGCGGATCTTTGCGTGGGTCGTTGTGATTCGAGGGCAGGTTCTGGTGGACAATATTGATCGATGGCATAGTCTCTGAAGTCAGCTTGTGGGACGTATGGAGCCACACGCTGCATCTACGCCGCCCGACTTGCTGCCCACTGACACTCGCTGGCTGCCGCGGCACTGGTGGGCCTGCAACTTCAGGTTGCGGTCGAAACAGCTCAACACGCCAGTATGCCGAAAAATATACAACATTGGTTGATTGACAGGGGCAAAGCGCGCCGGTAATTCTCAACTCAGCGATCCACCGGGGTGGGTGAGGGGTGGTGGTATTTCCAGGGGGGGGGGGTATTTCGATTCTCCCCGCAGTGACTGACCACAAGTGGCAGGCGGGTGATCATCCGCCTGACAAAACCCCCCTGATGAGCTCGCACATCCATTTATGTTTTCAGCACTCTAGAATTCTGCAAATCAACCATGCTGCCAACTTTGACGTGGTTGTGTCACATCCCTGCGCCGTGAGGCGCTGTTGGAGCCAACAGAAAGGCACAATAGGAACAGGTGGGTTGCAGCCAACCCGTGGCTACGATGGAAGATCATGAAACAGCATTGCGAAATTGTCGTGCACAATGGGGGCTGGTGCACAACTGGCTCCGGGCGGAACTGGCCACTGCAATCACGCACACCCCCCCAGCACCAACACAGGGCGGGTGCGCATGCCACGCGCTGTGGAGGTGCTTAGGTCACAAATGGGAGGAAACCAAGCAATCCAGAACGCACAAACACGGCGCTTGAATCAGGTACCAAAGATGCAAGGATCACGCTACAGTATGAGGGTTGCCGCTGCCCCACGACGACGATGGGGTGGGGCGTGCAGGGAGGCACCTCTGACCCCGCCGTCCGGGGTGGGTTCTCACTACTACACGCCGCTTGGCGCCAGCCCATGTGATGTGTGCGGTCCCTCGCCATAATGTCCACACAGCTCCAAAGCTAGGTAGCTTGAGACGAAGCCAGCAGGGGCTGAGCCGCGATTGCGATGGCTTACCCTGCTGCTTCTGGCTTGCTTCCTGCTTGCTTGGCGCTCATCTACCACTTGCGCTGTGCGAGGGGGTCTATTCGTGCTGGCATCTGCCGACCAACAGCTGCCAGGGGCCTCCAGATAGTGTCCTCTAGGGTGCAGATCTTACAGTGGGCCCGTGCGCGGCCCATGCAGGGGCCGCGCCACTGGTCGAAACACAGAGCCGACGAGGAAGCTAGAAGACCGCGGCGGCAATGCCTGCGGTCGACCAAATGCAAGCGATTGTGGCCCCCTGGCTGCCGCCCAGCCGCCTTCTGGAAGCTGGCCGGAAGCCAGGCATGCACTCGGAGCTGGCTGCGCACTCGGAGCTCGTTGCGCGTGACAAAACCTCAGCAAGGCGTTGCTGGTGTGCCTGTTGTACACGTCCTCAAAGGGGGTGACTTGACTGTGGCAGCTCGCTACAACAGCGAAAAGTGTGGATTGGCGCGCAAGGGGGTGGGCAAGCCTCAATGTTTGCCCCGGCCCTGCATTGCCTGCAGCACGCTCACTCACGAAGTTCAGCACATGCTGGAATTGCGCACATATTGCGTGCGGCCCAAGATGCATGGCTGCCCTTGGCTCACGGTTGGTTGCAGGGTGCCAAAGTACGGAAACAGGATATCCCGCTCGCAGCAACGAAGATTGGAGTGTCTCACAGCAAACCTTGTTGAAATTCCTGCTATAAGCAAATGGCAGACGGCTGCGACGAGCGCAAAGCCCAGGTCTCAGGCCCCCTCGTGCCGGTCTGCCCTTGCAAGCGCTGCAGCGCACTCACGCGCTAAACCAGGAGGCGCGCAGGTGGCCGCCGTAGTGGTGCTGGGGGTGGTTGTTGGGCCTGTTGTGGGGGTAGTAGTCTGGGGGGTCGTGACTCGGAGCGGACGAGAGGGACTGGAGGGATTGAAACAGACGGCGGCCCGCTGTCATCTCGGTTCGGGCTGCGTGCGGATTGGCGTCGGCGCTGGCGGCCTGGGACAGCAGCAGGCGGCCCTGGGGCGTTGCGGTGGCGGCGGGGGAGGGGGAGGGCTTTGGGGTTGCCTTGGCGGCAGCCTGCGGCTCGGACGCTTTCATCGCGCCGCCGACGTGCGTGGTGGGGAGCTGGGCGGAAGCGGAGCGCCTGGGCTCCGAGGCGTTCGCTGCTGTCGCGCACACTGTCGACGCCGCGGCAGACGGCTTGGTGCTCACCTCATTGGGGGCTGCAGCGTCCGCTGCCACCAGTAGGCCCGCCACCAGCAGGAGGGCAAGGGTTGAGCGCTGCATATTCATCGGCGTCACTACCGTTGGCGCGAGGGCAAGAAGCAAGTGTGAAAGTCCGGGACGGGCCGGCGAGGTGTCAGCTGCAGCACCGGGTGGTCTTTGAATGGCAACAGGCTCTGCAGGGCATGCGTTATATGAACGGTATGCTCAGAGAACGCGCAGTGCAGAGTTGGCTGAGGGCACCGGGAGTGGCGGGCGGGCTGAAGCTGACGCAATCCAGCTGACCGTGCCCATCTGGGTAGTAACCCACGTTGATGGTGTCGGCAGGCAAATGAAACAAGCAGCGCAACGGATGAGTGCGGCGAAAATTTAGTGGTCGCCGTTTGGGCCGGCTGCGTGGCTTCAGGTGCTTGTCGTCATGCGATGTCTCGAAGCTGTACAAGCCGTTGTCGGGGATCTGAACAAAGAACGCTGCAGTAATGTGAAGAATATCGATGGGCATCTCATACTGCCATTTGCAGCGACCCCACGCTTGGCTCAGGCGGCGCTTGCCTTTCGTCATGTTGACCTATAGCACGGCAAAAGACCCAAAGATGCCCCCGAAGCATCCTACCCTTCTAGTAGCTCGATGGCGGAGGTTATCGCGGCCCTGCAATCCTTCCAGGGGCCCTCATCACCAGGACCCAGCCGTATTGGCGCAGGCATGCTGAAGAGCCAAGGGCCGCGCGGCCCCCTGCACCGAGCGTTGGCGGGGTCGCCAGAGCAGAATGCGAAGCTGACCAGCCATGCGTCATAGGCGGTACTGTATAAAGGCTCTTGCTTTGTAGCATAGAAAAGGGTGCGCGCGCGCGCGCGCGCGCGTGTGTGTGTGTGTGTGTGTGTGTGTGTGTGTGTGTGTGTGTCAAGGGTACTAGATGGGGCGAGTCTTTCGCAGAGTGCAGGCCTGTTACAAAAAAAACCGGCAGACAACGGAGAGAGCATCGCAAGAGTGCAGCCGGCAGGCTGGCACGCGGGCAGGTGCAACGGCCCCCGTCTGGGGTGTCAAGCAGATGCCTTATGCAACCCCTGTCTGGGCGAAGCATCAAGCAGATGCCGCACCGCTTTTGAATGTTAAAGTGAGAGGTCGCGATGTGAGGGTGCAGCAAATTTCAACCGTGACTTTCCTGCCAGCCCCTGCTTCCCAGGGGCAAGGCGGGCTGGCACCCAAGGCACAGGTGGGCAGGGTCGCGGTAGCGAGGGTGCTTGTGCTTGTGCCAAAGACAATTGAAAAACCCCGCCCAGTTGACAAAATCATGGGTTGTTGGTCGCACGGCTTGCCACAAGCATTGACTTGCATGCGCTTTCCGCCCGCCTCAAAGTGGATGGCCCCAGCAGCTTTGCCTGGAAAAAGCAACGTCCTGCCCGCCTCTTGAAAGGTGTCCATTCAGATCCAACTCAGTCCAGCATGTTCATGGTACAGTGGCTGTGAGATCAGACAGCACACCACCCACCCATTTATCCCAATCAATTACTGAAATCCCAACCCTCCCGTCCCTTCACTGCAACCTGGCCGTACAGGTGTGCTGAGGTCAGCGCATGTTTTGTCATATAATGAGTGTTGGCATTGTATTACACTACACATTGAGATCAAGGGGGTGGAAAAAGCTGGCGCTTGCTAATGTAACGAGTGCGTGGTAAAGGTGCCACTGTTCAGGTTTGAGAATACATGGCCCAGGCCAGCAGGCCGTGTGCCTGCAGCTGGCACCTCTGAAGCAAAATTTCAGGTCCCACTTTAGGACTGCAGATCCTTCACAAGACGAGCGGATGCAAAGTGATGACGGTCGCGAAGCAGCGGGTCATCACAGTCCGGCACAATGGCAAGTCCTCACCCCATCGCGCGCCGCCGTGCCAGCTCCGAAGGGATGGCAATGCATAGGCCAGGGAAAACTCTATCAACATTATTAACTGGTTTTGATGCGCGCTTGGCAGGCGCGCGAGCACGCGGGCATTGTGTCAGCGCAGCGAATGCATGGCAGCCCTTCAAAAGCAGGTCCGCATTTCCTCGGCGATGACGTGCACAGTGACAAAACAAAGGAGTGCTTTCACGTGCGCACAGCTCCGCATAATGAGAGGCGTCATTGGGTAGATTGGGACGAACAAGCGATTGATCGTGTTGTGCCATGTGCGCGCACAGGGGGCGCATCCGGCGTGGGGGTTCGCGTGGGGCAGCACAGCACGCTGTCTCCGGCTGGGCCAACAACCTAGCGCTGCATCCAGCCACTCTTGCAAAATGCGCCGACCACCAACACGCAGACAGTGCGCACTGCGCCCTGCAGGTCACTGCGCGGTCAGCGACCAGTCAAAAGCGCGCAGGGCGGCAGGCACGGCAGGGCTGATCAAACAGGATTTTTTCTGCGCAGGTGGTATGTGCGCAACATTGGCACGCGCAGCAGGTGCACGGCAACTTGCAACAAGCGGCGCACGTCAGGCGCGGCGACGTGCGCGTCGCTTCAGATACCCAGAAACGATTGCTGGCCAACCGGTACGCAGCGCCAGCCAGCTAGTTGAGTTTGTAGTGGTGCAACAAGCTCCCCACAACAGCTGAGGGGCTTGCAGCAGAGCGAGGCATCTCATGTCACCATGGGCCCGCGCGCCAAAGTGCAGGGGCTGGCACCGCTCAGCCCTAGAAGGCTAGGCGGCACAGGCCGAAGTGGCCTCGAGCAGCGGAGCCGGCCTCCATCTCAAGGGATGAAGGTGATAGGAGCCACCAGACGTACAGAACGCTGGTAGGGGGCGGGGTGTGGCTGTGCTGCCAGGGGCTGCCCCATCACTCAATCTTGCCAACGTGGGGCTTGGCCAGGCGGGGCTGGTAGATTGTGAGGCCAATGACACCGGCGATAGAGATGCCGCCCAGGCAGGCTAGCCAGATCGCAGGGGCAAAGGTGAAGGCGTGGCCGGGCAGGTTGGCCTTGATGGCAGCGACGGCCAGCGGCGACAGGCCGCCAATGATACCTAAGAGTTTGGTGCATGGTTGAGGGGCAGACAGACGGTGGGTTGGTGATCGCAGGTTGCCGCTTGGTGTTCAATGGGGCGCCTGCAATTGTGCCAAGCCAAGCTGCAGACGAGTCAGTCCAAGGGGCTCTACGGTCATCCAGGTGTGGCCCTCCCAGCACCCACTGGCTGGACGCAGCTGGCGCGCCAGCGGCGCCGCAATTCGCTGCGCGCGACCCCCGGCGACGCGCCGGCCCCTCACCGTAGCCGCAATTGTAGGAGAAGGAGAACCCCGTGGTGCGCGACAGCGGCTCGTAGATGCGGGTGCAGGGCATGCCGACGTTGGCCATGGCAATGCCGATGATGTACTGGAACATGGACACCAGGCCCCACGCGTGCGCCACGGAGTAACCGACGCAGGGGTACACAGCAAAGCCGAGGCCGGTGCCAATCACGACGGTTGCAGCGTTGAGCTGGATGGCGGGGACGCCGGCGTCGATGAGCTTGCCGCCCGTGAGGAGGCCGAGGGCGTTGGGGACGAGGGAGACGATGAGGATGCCCTGGGTGACAATGAGGGAGTAGCCGTAGGTGCGCAGGTCCTTGGCGAGCCAGCTGACGGTCACGTAGAAGGCGCCAGAGATCCTGGGGCGGGGGAGATGCAAGGGGAAAGAGGGGATGCATGGGTGAGAGGAGCGCAGGTGCGGGCAGCAGGGACGCGGCTGGCGTTGGCAGTGCGTGATGAGTGCGGGTCCGGGGCCCTCAGAGGCAGGCTGCAAACCTGCGTCACTCAGCCGCAGAGCGCAAAGCAGCAGCACCCACAAAAGTCCTGCCTGATTGTCGGTCAGTTTGGGGTGCTCACCACGCCATGTAGCAGATGTTCAGGAACACGCCGAGCGCGTTGTTGCGCAGCAGGCGCACGATGGGCGTCTTCGCGTCGCTGTGGCCGTGCAGACGCTCGCTGATCTCCTCCAGCTTGGCCAGGGCGCCGCTGCGGTCTCCCTCGTCACCATCAACCTCTCCATCCCCCTGATGGTGAGATCAGTTGTTGTTGGTTGAGAAAAGTGCAGCATGTGATCAGCAAAGAAACGTGCAGCATGTGATCACCGGCAGAAGGCTGGTGGTCTGTTTAGCAAGACAAAAGGGCATCATATACATGAGCAAGGTTTGCTTGGGAGCATGCCGGAGAAACATGCCGATGTGAGTTGTGCACATGCACCCACATGCACCTGTGCATGCGTCCGAGAGTGCATGCCGCATGCAATCATGTGTGCGTGTGTCATGCGTGTGCCATGCGTGTGTCATGCGTGTGTCATGCGTGTGTCATGCACGCAGGCGTACAGCACCCCCCACAAAGCACCTTGGTTGTGCCGGCCTCGGTGGCAACCTCAATATCCAGATCCTTGGCGGAAGGGGGGTGGGCGCCTGCGTCCTTTGACGCGACGTCGCCGTCGCTGTCAGCCTCGGCGCGCAGCTTGGCCAGCCGCGCTGCGGTCAGGAACGCCTTGGGCTCGGGCATGGTGCTGCGCAGGGCGGCGCCCAGCAGCGCGGTCGTGAAGGCGCAGAGGAAGGGGACGCGCCAGCCCCAGGCCAGCATCGCGTCGGGGGTGAGGGTGTTCTGCAGCAGCATCACGAGGATGGTGGCGAGCATCATCCCGATGTTGACGCTCATCTGCAGGGTGGCCACAAACGCCCCACGGCGGTCCTTGGGGGCGAGCTCAGAGATGTAGATGACGGCGGAGCCAAATTCGCCGCCCATGGCCATGCCCTGCAGGATGCGGCACAGCGCCAGGAGGACAGGAGCAGCGACGCCGGCCGCGTAGGGGGCGACAGAGTAGGTGGGCAGCACGCCGATGGCGATGGTGGCGAAGGCCATGCAGCAGATGGAGATGAGGAGGCAGCGGTTGCGGCCCTTGGTGTCGCCGATGTGGCCAAAAATCAGGGCGCCGATGGGCCTGCAGGTAGGGGCAGAGCGTGTGGCACGTGTGGGTGGGATGGCAGTAATCGCATAATAGTGAATGGTTTGACAGATTTTTGTGGCCCTTTGGCTGACACACAAAGTCAGACACGCAGGCGCTGCGCAACCGCCTGCGGCGCACCTGACGACGAAGCCGGCGGCGTACACGCCCCAGAAGGACAGAGCCTGGACGGCCTCATTGTTGGTGGGGAAGAACACCTTCTCCAGGGTGGCATTCAGCTGCGTGTAGGTGTAGAAGTCAAACCTGCGCGGGACAGAGGGGCGACAGAGATGAGATGTCAAGCAGTGTCGTGCTGGTCCAGGTCGAAGCCAGCCGCGGAGGGGTCGAATGGGTGGCGGCAGTGTTGCAAGCGACGAAAACAGAGCGCTTACGTTGCAAACTACTGGTATCAATGAGTGCCCCAGCCGGTGGTGCAGGCCGCGAGGCGGTATTGCATGCTCGAGGCAGAGCTTGCCCCAAGGCGACGCATCACCAGTGACTCGAGAGGCTGAGTCTGCTGACGCCCCCCAGCAGAGCATACAGCATGTCACATGCAGACTTTCTGGCCTCACTTAAACCATCAGGAATGGAACACCCGCCCATGAGGGCCCCAAACGTGATTGGCGGGAGCGGTTGTACGCTCGGCCCGCCCTCCCTAAGTGGCCCGGTACTCACCATTCGAGCACGGTTCCAATGCCTGATGTCACATTTGATCAAGTTTGTGCACGGACAAGGGGGAAGTGCCGGCACGAGGGAACAGGTCAGCAGGGGCTCGGTGTGCTGTGGGTCGAAGCGCAGCGTTTGGGAGCATTGCATACCTGCAATTATCACCACTTGTCCCCACTGTGCCGGAGTGAGCTGTTGCTGGCTGGCGATACGCTGGATCGCCATAGTGCCTCAAGGTGGCGACTGCGGGCGGGGAGCCGCTAAAGAGCTCGACGCCGCGGATGTGGATGAACAGAGTGGTGCTGCGTTGTTTTGAAACGGGCCAAACAGACAAGGGATGCCCGCATTTATGAGCGCGGGGGTAACCAGGTGTGTCACCTGGTGATGCATCGTCAAGGCTCAAACTTGCACACAGTCAGCCCAGGTGATTACGGCGACAGCTATGGGTCTAAGCTTCATGGTAAATGGGCCGGCCAGCCCCAATTATCAGCAAACCTGCAATTCTTTGTTGCATACATTCCAAGCGGCACGTGATGCTGAGCAAGGCACTGCTGTCCCCGTATGCATGTTGCCGAGGCAATGGCATGCCTCGCATGCCTCGGGTGCGTTCAATGCAAAGCAGTGCCTCTGGTTGGGCCCCGACCCACAGCACGAATCACTGCCAAAATCTCCTGCCAATCGTTCCCTCAAACCAGGCTGTATTCTTGAAGCCGAGTCGCACAGCTGGTTGGCCCTCTGAGCCCCATGGGGCTGCTGGCCAGCATGCAGCATCTGCACTGTGCCGGGCTGCTTCAGCGTGCAAGCAAAATCTGGCGGCATGTTTGGGCCCTGCTGCCCCACACCGTGCCTGAGGCAGCTGCATGGCATTACCTAGCGCTCTACATGCATGCCAAGGCTTGCATGGTGGGTATGCAAACACTTCAGAAACATCATTGTGACCAAGCAGAAAGCATTACACATTGAAGCATGAAGAAACGCCTTGACAGCCCCGAGACGGCACCTGTGCTGTCGGGCGGGCATGTGCGCATTTGCTGCAAACCCCGAGAGGACCTACAACAGCCCCAATGACTGCATCAGAGGTGGCCCAAACAACGATAAATGCGGCAATCACACGAGCCAAAGCGTTCAGCCAGAGCCGCAGGAAACAAAATCAAGATGGCACGTGCTGGAGGGTAATCCAATGCACAGGCGGGTACACGGTGTGGCCAGCCACGTTGGCAGCACAATCCAGGCTCTGAGGGACATCATATGACATCACCCACCTTGGCAACACCAGAGCCGACAGGGGGAGCGATGACATTGGTCCAGCCAGGTAGGATGAGCCCTGCTGGCAGGCACGTGACAGATACGCAAGCAAGGGGCATGCTGTTTGCTGCTGTGCTTGCCGTGCACGGCGCTCGCAGGTGTATTGCACACAGCATCTTGCATGCTCTGCACAGGCAACAGCTTGTTGGACACTCCGTGAATGTGCAGGGGTGTGCACATGCCTTGTGGCACTGGAGGGCATACACTAGTGTTGGGGTGCAAGGCCAGGCCTGGCTGGGGTTGTCCGCCCTCATTCATGACTCAACAGGCAATCGTACAGAGGTTGACATGGAGCAGCGACAGACCAGGGAGGAGTCACCACCTTGTCAAAACGCCCCTGCAACGAGTACAGGCCCATTTTGCCACCTGACAAAGGTCGGTTTGCCAACCTGACTGCTCCGCAGCCGGCTCATGCCTGGCGTATGTGGCGTCAGCCTCTCAAGGGCCGGTCTCAGGCGGCAAATCAGGGCAAAGGTCTTCGTGCTGAGCATCAACAGTGCATGTGTCAGGCTTCATGCTAGTCAAATAGGGTTGAGGGGCTGCACATCCCAAGCATACTTCGAGCAAGTGAGTGCGGGCAAAAGGGCCCCCCTCGTTTGAGTGTTCATGTAACGGGCTTGATCAGTGTAGCATAGGAGCACACGGGCGAGCAGAGACCAGAACAGAGACAGATGGCGCGGCCAAGCGCACGCCGAAGGGCAAGCTTGAGCTTCCACTGCGGTAGATGGAGGACGATCAGAGCTGCATGTGGCACATAGGGCAAGCTTCCTCGTCAAGCTTGGCTTCAAGGACGCCAGCGACATGCACTCATAGCAGTTGCTCATTCCCAGTCGAACTCGTAAGCCGTCGCGCGCAAGAAAGGGGGGTGCGTGCAGCACCGACATACGCGAGGCTAACTGGAGAGTAGCAGATGGCCTGATTCGCCGTCAGCGCCGGGCCCTAGGCGCATGCAGCCGCGGAGGAGGGCACCAACTGCACCCCGTACATGGCCATGCAGCGGTGAACGTGCTGTCTGGTGAGATCACTCGATTTTGCCGACGTGGGGCTTGGCCAGGCGGGGCTGGTAGAGCATCAGGCCGATGGTGCCAACAACGGAGATGCCGCCCAGGCAGGCCAGCCAGATGGCGGGGGCATAGGTATGGGCGTAGCCGGGCAGGTTGGCCTTGATGGCAGCAACAGCCAGCGGGGACAGGCCGCCAATGACACCTGGAAGGTTTTGTGCAGCAGGGTAGCGGTTGAACTGGCAGGCTTGACAAGCATGCAAGGGTGAGCTGAGGAGGGCGGAACGTGCCAGCCCGCACGACCCTTGCATGCCTCTCAGCGCTGAGCTGTTGTTGGCGACAGCGGGGTCTTAGCGCACGCGTCCACATGTCAGCGTCCGCTCTCCCTGTCGTCCCAAAGCTGCCTCGTCCGCGCTATAGCTCCATCGCCGCAACCCCCTGCTCCCAGGCCCTTGCTGACTCACCGTAGCCGCAGTTGTAGGCAAAGGAGTAGCCAGTGGTGCGGGACAGGGGCTCATAGATGCGGGTGCAGGGCATCGCCACGTTGGCCATGGCAATGCCGATGATGAAGTGGAACATGGACACCAGGCCCCACGCATACGCGACAGAGATGCCGACGCTCGGGTAGACAGCAAAGCCCAGGCCGGTGCCAATCACGACAACCACAGCGTTGAGGTGGATAGTGGGGACGCCGGCGTCTAGCAGCATGCCGCCCGTGAGGAGGCCGATGGCGTTGGGGATGAGGGAGACGACGAGTACGCCCTGGGTGACGATGAGGGAGTAGCCGTAGGTGCGCAGGTCCTTGGCGAGCCACCTGGGGTGCAGGCGGCGGGCAACGTTGGGTTTTAATAGCAGCACCGCTTGAGGGCATGGTGTCATCTAGACCAACTCTCAACAAAAACAAGCCCCGCAGACGAGCAGCGCGCGGGGTGTGCGCCCGGGCCGGCGGCAAGAAAGCGGGCTGTGTGCACTCACGAGACTGTTACGTAGAAAGCGCCGGAGATCCTGGAACAAGGGAAGGCGGAGAGGCAAAGCGGGGAAGAGAGGTAAGGGGCGCCAAGTGGTGCGCAGGCTTTGTGTGGAGGTGACAGCTGCAGTGCTGCAGGCAAGAAGGGCCAAGTGTCCAAAAGACCAAACCCAGGCAGCTGCACAACAGCTGTTGTAAGTCAGACAATCGGCCGGCCCAGCGCACCAGGCCATGAAGGCGCTGAAGATTGCATGGGGACGAGTTTGGGGAGCAGGGCGGGTGGGGGAGGGTAAGACAATCACCCAAGTGGCGCGACAGGCTACATACGCGCAGGTTCGGGTGCAAGCAATGCAGAAAGCCACTCCAGGCCACTCCTTTGAGCCCTTGTAGCATGGGCATGCACGCCTGTGCCGACACCCCATGTACAACAAGTGCTCCCTACATTTGGAGGACGACGCCGAGCGCGTTGTTGCGCAGCAGGCGCACGATGGGCACTTTGGCGTCGCTGTGGCCGTGCAGGCGCTCGGTGATCATGGCGATCTTGTCCAGGGTGCCTGCGTGACCGTTGCTGCCGCCGTTGGCCTCCTCCTCGCCCTGGCAATCACAGCGCGCGTGGGGAGGCAGCGGGCGGGAGGGTAGACTTGGGGTTTCTTTGAGAGCGCCGAAGTGCAAGGCTTTAGTGCCTGGGCAAGGGCGCATGCACGCGCCTCAAAGCGAGCCAGCTTATGTGTGTGCTCGCATGTGCGTGTGTGAGCCCTCCCATGCATGGGCGCCCGCCACACTGCCTTTGCCACGCCCTCGTGGCCGAGGGCCGCACCTTCTCCAGTGGGTCCTTGTTAGTGGCGACCTCAACGTCCATGTCCAGGGTGGAGGGGTCGCAGCTGCCCACAGCCTTGTCGGCCGCGTCCCCGCCGTCGGCGGTCGACCGCAGCTTGGCCAGCCGCGCCGCGGTGAGGAACGCCTTGGGCTCCGGCATGGTGCTGCGCAGGGCGGCGCCCAGCAGCGCGGTGACAAAGGCGCAGAGGAAGGGGATGCGCCAGCCCCAGGCCAGCATCGCGTCGAGGGAGAGGGTGTTCTGCAGCAGCATCACCAGCAGCGTCGCCACGACCATGCCGACGTTGACGCTCATCTGCAGCGTGGCCACAAACGCGCCGCGGCGGTCCTTGTGGGCGAGCTCAGAGATGTAGATGACGGCGGAGCCAAACTCGCCGCCCATGGCGAGGCCCTGCAGGATGCGGCACAGCGCCAGGAGGACGGGGGCGGCGACGCCGGCCGCATAGGGGGCAATGGCAAAGGTGGGTAGCACGCCGATGGCGATGGTGGCGAAGGCCATGCAGCAGATGGAGATGAGGAGGCAGCGGTTGCGGCCCTTGGTGTCGCCGATGTGGCCAAAAATCAGGGCGCCGATGGGCCTGCAGGTGGGGACAGACCGCGTGGAACATGCGAGTGGGATGGTGCTGATGGCAGGGTACTGCATGAGCTGACAGACACGTGTGGCACTTTGACCAATGCTGATCCGTGTGGCACCACGCGTCGCCTGAGACGCTGCGCAACCGCCTGAGCATCCGCCTGCGCAACCGCCCATACACCTGACGACGAAGCCGGCGGCGTACACGCCCCAGAAGGACAGAGCCTGGACGGCCTCATTGTTGGTGGGGAAGAACACCTTCTCCAGGGTGGCATTCAGCTGCGTGTAGGTGTAGAAGTCAAACCTGGTGGGAGGACCAGAGCGTGCCCAGGGGTTTGAGGTGCACAGCAACAGGTGCCATGCGTCCCATGTCACCCGTCATCGGCGTTCGTGAGCTCTGGTATGTGACCGAAACAGCTGCGCGAGTGGTGTAGTGGTGCCGGCCGCTGACGCCCTGCTCTTGGCACTGGACGAGTGCACACTCTCGCGCCAGCTCTTGGCCTGCACTGGCTGTGCTGGCGCTGGTGACCTGTCAGGTGTTTGCTGTCGGGTGCCCCGGCGGCCTGGTCAGCAGCAAGGCGGTGTTACCATGACTGACAGATACTAATAAAACGAGCACCCGCGCGCATGCAGACTGGGCCCCTTCCATGCTGAGAAGCAGCCTGGCCTCGAAGCCTGGCCTACGGTCCAACCCGAGTTGCCCCCCTTCAACACCCAAACGCACCATTCAAGGCACGTGCCAATGCCTAAGACATTTGCGTGGCGGTGGCAGCAGGGGAGTGGGCAGGGCGTGTCAGAACGGGGCAACCAGATGACAGAGAGTTTGAGTGCCCCAAACCCGCCAGAGCCCAGTCTGCCCCACCTGCGATGATGACCACTTGTGTCCACTGCTGAGGAGTCAGCTGTTGCTGGCTAGCGACACGCTGGACCGCCATGTTGGGGCGTCCCGGATTTTTCGGGCCCGCGAAGGGAAGGCACGAAGGTACACGGGCCAACACGAGTAAGAACGGACTGGCAAGATGTGACCTTCGTCCAACCACGAATGCGGGTCCCCTACGGCCCACCCTCCGTTTGTCCCCTTGCCAGTGTAATGAGTCAGGAGGGTGGGAAGCCAACTTACAGGTGCCAAAACGGGCTGTTTCAGGTGTTGTGTGGGTCAAAGCAACATCTTATTACTTATACTCGCTGCGCGGCGGCGCCTGGCGCTGGAGCTGGCCATGGACCCCTTCGACGGCCAGCACACACCCGGTGCGCGTGTGGTCCGGGACCGGCATCTTGTTGGAAACCCTTCGGCCCACTTGCTTTACGCTGTCAAGTTGCCATGCCAAGTGCCATGACAGAGGCGAATCACCCTCCTCGGCATTTCAGGGATACTGGGGCGTGCAGCAGTGCTATCGGCTAGTGTGGTGGGAGGCTGGCTGACTTTGGGCCCACCGGCAGTCGCTGTCCTGCAGTGGCGTGAAGCTGTACAGAACATGCGCAGCTTACTCCCTTACTTGGTTGCTAGCCTTCATCGCGGCAGCTGTTTGCCATCAGCAAGACACCTCTCAGCCGGCCCGTCACATGACATAGGAGTGTCATCCCGCACCACCTTGACACCACGCCGCTTCCGCATGATTTTGCATCGCCTCAATTCTCGCAAAGCGAGAGGTTGAGCAGCAGCTGATGATCATTCTGTGGTGGGCGATGTCAGGTGTTTCAAGGGACTTCAACTCCTGTGCTTTGCATCAGCCGGTACGGCTGTGCAAGCTGATGAGCGGCCATGTTGCGGCCGGTTGCCTGATGCACTTATTGCGTGAAGAAAGTCTTGCGCTGCTCCCATCACTGCAAAGGGAGCCTGTCGGCCCAATGCTGCCATCCTCGCGAAGGTTAGCGGAGGCGCGCGTGACGCAGTGCCCCACCCAGACCTGAGCGACACAGCGCGGGTTTTGCGTGTTCCCAGCTGGTGCAGAAGTCGCGCTTGTGCGGCCTGCAAGACCTCCTTTTGTATTTCTTGAAGGTCGAACAGGCCACATCTCAGTCCAGGATCTTAAACAGGGCTTGGCAACTGCACACAGCACATGCCGAGCCTGACAGAGCTTCAGCAGCTGCTGACAGAGCGAGAGGCGAATGCCGGCTTCTGGCTGTGTTCCTTACAGTACACGGGCGCTCTCGTGAACATCGGATTGCAGAGCATGGGCGGGGATACGCAACTCGCTTTGAGCACTCTGCTTCTTGCGGCATACAGTATGGTACCGTACTGACCGCTGCTGCCGGTGCCGGTGCCAGTGACGGTGACGCCCAGGTACGGTACGACCCCCAGGTAGTTGAGGTGTACTTGGATATCACGTTGTAGAGCGCCCTCTTCATCAATCAAAACAATCAGTGCACGGCAGCCTTTTTGATCTTGTGGGAATGGCGGATCTGATTTGCACGGCGTTTGCACAAGTCAACGAAACCGATATATTGCGAGTTGTCAACATCGAAACTTAAAAGCTGCCATCGGCACAGGAGGCTGCGCTGCTGCCGGTCGTGCCGCTGCTCGTGCTGCTCACGCTGCTACTGGCCGCAGCTCGGGCACGCGACCGCCGGCCACCCCGCCATGGGGGAGCCGCGCAAAGTGGAGATGGTGGTCGTGCCCAGGCGAGCGCGCTGCTTGCGGCCCCCTTGGCTGCGCTTTTGCCACCCTGCCTCCCCCATCCAAGCTCGCCCTGACGGGGCTGGCGCGCCTCCACACCCTGCCCTCGCGGCGCTCACAGTCTGCTCACCGCACGCCCCCCGCCGCGCCCCGCCCCGCCCCCACTGCCGGCGTCAACTCAGGGAGGAGGAGCTGTACGACAGGGAGGCGGTGCTGGGGCGCGACGCGTCGAGCGTGTTCCCCCGGGAGGCGGCGCAGCAGACCGACGCCAACCGCGACGCCATGGTGGAGGCCCTCGGCGCGCGCAAGTTCATATCCGAGTCCGAGGTGCGCCGCGGTCGCCCTGCCACGGCGCGGGCGGGCCAGGGGCGGGGCCGCGGGCGGCGCCCGCGGGCCCCCGCGCAGTGGCCGCGGGGCGAACGGGCACGCCCGCAGCCGCGTGCCGGCCGGCCCGAGCCCATGACCCAGCCAGCCCTGTTTGTCGGACGCACGCCCACTCATGTGCATCCTCGGCGCCCACACATGCGCACTCCTGCACTCACCTTCCCACATACACATGCACGCCCTGACCGAACCGTGCGCCTCAGCTGGCCACTATCAAGTCTTCGCGCGGCGGCACGGTGGACGACGGCAGCGTGGCGGCGGACAAGCCTCTGGCGGTGATCCTCGCGGAGCGCAAGGCGGAAAAGGACGCCGCCTTCCAGGAGCAGTGGAAGCAGATGAAGACGGGTGCGGGGCGGCCGCACGCGGCCGCGGCCGCGCGGGGCTGCGGGCACGAGGCTGCGGGAGGGACGCGGCCCGCGTGTTGGCAGTAGGGGCGGCGGGCGCAGAGCCCTGGGCGCTGGGGACCGGCGGGCCGCGCGCCTGATAAGGGGGGGGGGTGTTCAGGCGCCCCTCCACACAGGCGCACACCTCATGCGTGCAGCTTCCGTGCCACGCCCTCCGCACTCGGCCGTTCCAACTCACCTTCCCTGCCTGGTGGCCGATCCCTGCCTCTCACCCTAACCGCCGACCCCGCCTCGCACGCTGCCGTGGCGCCGCTCGCGCCAGGCAAAAACCGGCCGCTCGACCCCGAAGAGGCTGACTTCTTCTCCGGCCTGCGCCAGCTGCAGGCCGAGCAGGAGGCCAAGGCGCGCCAGGAGGAGCGGTCAGAGCTCGAGGCCTTCAGGGAGGCAGTGCGCGCCGCGGCCGAGTCAGCGGGCCGGGCCGGGGGCGCCGAGGGCGCGGCGGCGGCGGCGGAGGCGGCGGGGGCGGGAGCGGATCCGCTGGCGCGGAGGCGGTCGGGGGAGGCGGCGGGCCCGCAGCAGCAGCAGCAGCAGCAACACCAGCAGCAGCAGCCCACGGCTGCGCCCATCAAGAAGCAGCCATTGGTAAAGGCGGTGATCAAAGTGATACCAAAGAGCAAGCGGCCGCCAGCGACCGCGAGCACCAGCGGGAATGGCGGTGCGGCAGCCGGCAATGGTGCAGGTATCAGCGGCGCTGCACAGCAGCAAGCAGCACGACAGGGAGATGGAGGCGATGGCGATGCGCTGGCGGCGCCTGAGGCCAAGCGGCGGAAGGCTGAGGAGCAGCCGGCAGGGTCCGAGGCGAGCGGCGGCGCTGACTCGGGGGGCGGACTAGCTGGCCTGCTGGGCGGCTATGGCAGCGGCTCTGACGACGATTCGGGGGCCAGCTGATGTAAGATCGCTGCGAACTTGATGGTTGACAAGCGCGTCGCTTCAACGTTTTGCAGAAAATGATTCGTCAGAGGTCGGTAGGGTGGTCGATAGAGCGGGGATGCCGCTTTTGCAGTCCTTGTGGGAGGCCGAGGGTAGCGGAACATGTTTGACCCTACGGGTCAAGGCAGTGTGCAATACGAAGCGACGGAGACCAAGCTCAAATGGTTGCAGAAGACGAGAAGCGCAGAATGCAGGCCCGAAGCGGGAGAAAGCGGTACCGGTGTTGACCGCAGTAGCCCCCATGACGCAGTGATTGACAAAACGACGGATAGGAATTCTGCCTTTATCGATCCAGCAAATTTGCGCTCGCCTTTGAACCTTTGCATCTTTCAAGTAACCGATAATCCGGTGATTTTAGACAAATCGTCGGTGATCTGGCGGCAACGCGGCATGCGAGCTGTCAGTGGCTCACGACATGAGGGCAACCAACGCTGGCCACATTTGGGGACCATTAAAGGACCCTCTTGACACAAACGGAGCGAAGCGATGACGCTGTGACAGCAGCAGACTGCGGCGCTGCTGCGCCAACGGCACGATTGATGTCGTCTACGCTGGCGGATGCGCCCCACCAGTTCTCCTGCCAAGAATGCGGTCGGGACTGCGATGGATCAGTTATCTGTCATGGCTGCGGCGCGCTCGCATTCTGCTGCGAGCAACACCGGCTGACGCACGTCGAGGCGGGCGCCGGGCGCCATGGCCCAGGCGAATGCGCGCGGCTGGCCTCACACATGGCACGTCGGGTAGGCGCACGGCGCGGTGCAGCGGTGCAGCTGAATGTTTGGGTAGCTGAGGCTTCGGTAAAACATACAGTCTCGTGACTTTAAGTTAGCTGCTGCATGTCCCTGCATTTGTAAAGTGGGGCCAGGCACCACCACCCCGCTCAGCAGCACGCAGCTGCACTGCAACAAGCGCCCTGATCTTCACCATGACCTTGACCGCAGGACGCGCTGCTAGGCGCGCACGACGCCTCTTGGTGCCGAAAAGTGCGCGACTTGAATAGGGTGCATGGTTGGGGACTCCGCGCGACACCGCCTCGCTGGTGCACCCAGGGCAGTTGTGGTGTTGGTGGTGCGTGAGCCCGTTGAAATTCCCATCACCAGCATTAACCTCAGCAACCGCCCCTTCTCCTCCATGTGACATGTACAGGCGCCCGCGCAGCTGTGCCGCCTGCTTGCGGCTCTGGGCTGCCACGACGCCCCCGCGTGGCGCCACGCCTGCCCTGTCCATGGCCAAGCTGCGCCGCTCCGGCAGGACCTGCGCCGGCAGGCTGGCGCCGCAAATGCAGTGGAATCAACAGGCGGGTCCGATGGCAGCGACGCCAGGGCGGCCTGGGATCAGTGCTGGCTTCCGCTAGGCGAGGACGGCGGCGGCGCGCCCGCCTGGCGCCACCGCGGGCCGGGCGCCGCGGGGTCCGTCGCCGGCTGGCGCGCCCATGCCGCCGCCGCAGGCCTGTCGGCCGCGTCGCCCGCGGCGCTGATGCTGGACCACCCGCTGACGCTGTGGCATTGCCTGGCCCATGTGCTGCCCGCTGCGGGGCGCCCTCTGCCGCCGGCCGGGTCGGGGCCGCTGCACGTCCACTACCTGGGTGCGATGCTCCTCCCGTCGGCCACCCCCACTTCTACATCCCCCTGCCACTCATGGACACTGCGTGCACAGCTTGGGCCGGCCGTCACGCCCCGTCGCTGAGAGTGCCTGCTGAATGCGGCGTCGCTTGGGCCCGCCGGCGCCCGCGGTGTCCTGCTTTGAGCTGCGGCGTACGGTCGTGCGCTCCACTCCTGTCTCTTTCGTCGATCCAAGCCGATCGCCGCCACCCCACCCTCTGGTGTGGTCTCTTGCCTGTGGTTGTCTGATTTCTGTTGTGATCTGCTGACTATGACGAGCTGAGGCCTTTTGCGATATGCGCAACGCCCCTACCTAAGGCCCCAGGGAGGAGCTCTCGCGACTGCCCACCTTCCTGGAGGCCGCCCTGCTGCTGCCCCCGGGCACAGACCTGCGATTGCACATGGCGGGGCCGGACGTGCCGGCCGCTCTGCATGGGGAGCGGCGTGCATGGGACGCCCTGCCAGGCGAGCTGCGAGCATGTGGATCCCGCTCAGCCTTGGTCACTGCAAGGGACCGCTGAGCCGCGCGCGTTGTCAGGTTGACCCTACCTGCTTGTGACAGTTTCGGCCTGCATGACTCTCCCCCATGCTGGTGGCCGTAAAGTCGCAGCAAATTGGGGTGCCCCAAACCCTGTTCTGACTGATGCTGCCTGCTGCGCACGTGCAGGTGGTGGCAGCCTGACGGTCACGCTGTGGCGCGGCTGCTACCACGAAATGCTGGACGCCTGGGCCCAGCAGCAGCGACAATCGGGCGGAGGACGTGCACAGTGCGAGGCGAGTGTCGCTGGAGAGGAGCAGGAGGGGCGGGGCGGCAAAGCAGGTGTTGGTGGGGAGGATCACGAGGGGCCGGGCGGCGGAGAGGGCGCTGCTGATGGGGGCGGACGTGCTGTAGAGGCAGGGGGCTTGTCTGGCGGCATCGACGACTTCGGGCCGCCTCACCTCGTGTTTGCCCCGAACGCTGGGCTGCCCGCGTTCCCGTCGTGGCTGCCGTCCCTGCGCCGCGTGCTCGGGGTCGGCTCGGCGGCCGCAGGGCGGTGCGCCGTGCCGCTGGGCGGGCGCGCCCCCTTCCTGGCGACAGACTACTGTGAGGAGGCGGTCCACCAGTCTGTCCAGCTGCTGGATCCGCTGGCGCCCGGCCGCTGCACCTCAAGGGGCGCGCTCAACCCCTTCCGGCGGCCGGTGCCGGCCGCCGGCCATGGCACGCGGCTGCCGGCGTGCGGCAATGCGGTGTTGTTTGGTTGGGTCGACTCATGAACGGGGCAGGCGGGCTGCAGCAAACATTGGTGCTTTGAGGATGCTGTCGGTATGCCAACATGCATCAGCACACCCTATACATGGTGATAGCAGGGGTTTGTCAAGCAGTTTGTTTTGCCAGGACCATCCCCCGCTTTCTGTTTTGCTGGGCAAATGGCAGGCAGCAACACGTATACTGATAGCAGGGGTTTGTCACATTTGATGTCAGTTACATGTGTTGTGTTCGTGTAAGGCGCAGCCCGTTTCCAGGCACACGGGCGGGTTTCACAGCAGCAACGCTCAGGGGAGGGGGCGCGAGCCTCCACCCCTTTAAGTCAGCCAGGCAGGCTGGCGCCGCGACACAAGCCCCCCAGGCTGCCTTGAGCCCTGCCGCAGGGCCGCGGCGCAGGTTGCGCTGGCCGCTACGCAGCAGCGACGGTCTCCACCGGCGCGGGCCGGACCTGCCGCGTGACTGAGCGCATCGTCACAAACTCCTCGGCGGCCGTCGGGTGGATGCCCACTGTGCTGTCGAGCTGCTGCTTCGTGACGCCCACCTTGACCGCCACCGCGAAGCCCTGGGTGTTGGGGTCGAGAATTGAGATTCGCAAGGTTCAAAAGACATGCGGTTTTGGGCTGCCGGGCCGCAAGCCAGGGAAGATGCCCCAGGGGGTTATGAGGCAACAAAACCCAAGCGGCTGACATTCCCCTGACCCGCCTCCTGCCCGCCTGTGCGCTCACAATTGCCCCAGTCCAGCAGCCACGGCCCCGCAGCGCGTGCATGGGATCAAATCGCCTCGACAAGACCTGGCGCCAGATCACCCCCCTCAAATCGCGGTCGCGCCCGCGCCCCCGCCAACCTGCATGATCTCTGCTGAGTCATCGCCGACCATGTGGGCCCCCACCACCCTCTGGCTGGCGGCGTCGACCACCAGCTTCATGAAGGAGCGGATGGGGGAGCCGCTGACCGTGTTGCGCATGGGGCGGAAGCTGCTCGTGTACACGTCGATGGCGCCGTACCGCTTCTCGGCCTCGGCCTCCGTCAGGCCCTGGGCGGTTGGGGGCGGTTGCGGCCGAGTGCGCGTTTATTTGAATACTTGGGCCGCTCTGGTTGGGGTCGGCCGGATCGAGCGCGGGGTGCGGAAAGGCGGGGGCGCTTGGAGATTTGAGGCTCGCGGGGCAGGCCGACCGCACGAGCTGGCTGCTTCAGCGAGGCAGACTGGCTGCACTCGGCTAGTTCACATATGGCCGGTGATGTTGGCTGAGATGCGGGGGAAGGGGTGGAGGGATGGAGACACGGGCCCTCACCACTGTGGCGATGTTGGGCCAGCTGAACACTGCGCTGGGCACAGCGTCGTAGTCGGGCCTGGGGGGGGAGGGGGCGCGGGCGGAGGGTGGTGGCTCAGTGAGCACGGGGAGGGTGGGGGTCTTTCTTAATTCTTCAGCCGGGGTGAAGCACCACACCAGGGCGGCTGTGTGCGGGAGCCCTGCTGCGCACAAAGGCCAGTGGAGGGCGAGGAGCGGGAGTCCCCGTGGTTTGAATCCTAGATATGCGGTGCTTGCTGCTGCTGCTGCTGCTGCTGCTGCTGCTGCTGCTGCTGCTGCTGCATCTGTCTCACTTGGTGGGCTCCCCCTTGACGATGGTGCGGGCCAGGGCCATGCCCTCCATCAGGGCCACAGGGGTCAGGTTGATGCGGTCCGTGACCTGCCGCAGGTGGGGGCAGGGGGGGTGGGGCGTGATGTGCCAAGGGTGGATTGGTTTGGAGATTGTGCGGCACGGGTTGGATGGGCGAGTGGAAGTGGAGCGAGTCGGGGCCAGGTTGAGGGTCGCCAAGGTGGGGTGGGGGGGGTGCAGGCATGCTGGAACTCGCGAGAGACCAGCGTGAGCAGGCCTCCTGCCTCGTCATCGCGCTACAATCTCCGCACAGACTCCCCAGCTATCAGGCTGGTTCCTCTGCATAAAGCTTTGCCCCGCCTCTGGCCGCCGCCAGCGCCCACTCACGTCCCCGACGGCCCAGATGGAGGGCACGTTGGTGCGGCTGTACTCGTCCACCAGCACCTCCCCCTTCTTGCCCAGCTTCACGCCGGCTTCCTCCAGGCCCAGGCCGGCCGTCTTGGGGGCGCGGCCGGTGGCCATCAAGACCTGCGCCGTTCACAGTGGGGGGTGGTTTGGGTGGTGTCAGAAAAGCGGCAGGGTTCGTGCACATGCAGGCATCTAAATTGGATGAGCAGCTGGGAGCGCGAGGAAGGGACGCACGCGTCGGAGCAGCTGACGCGAGGAAAATGGGTCGCTGCGCGGTGCAGCGCCCGCGGCATTGCGAGCCGCATCCCCTGGCCTGCAGCGGTCTGCCACACTGTCGCCCGGCCCGGTCACAATCCAGCAGTGACACCCCGTCGCGCTTGGCCAAGTGCACCCGGGATTGCACTCGCCTGGTCGTTGTCCGCGATCTCGACCGTGTTGCCCTCCCCGTCCTCCAGCACCACCGTCAGCCGTCCGTCCGGCTGCTTGACGATTGCCTTTGGTGTGACCTGGGAGTGCAGGTTGATGCCCGTGGCCTTGTACTGGTCGGTGGCGAACTGGCGCACCTGCGGATGGCGGGCGGATGGGGGTGGTTGGTGAGCGCCGGATGGGGAAGAGAGGAGCCAGTTCGGGCCGCTTTTGACAAGCCGCCGTCGTCGGGGCCATCAAATGGGAAAAGCAAGCAAGGCACTTCATGTTGCCAGATGGCGTTGCCGCTGCGCGCATTTATCAGCGCCGGGCGGCGCCACGTACGCCTGCCCCTCCCCCCCTAATCCAACCCCCCGGGGTTGTGCGGGGTCACCTCATCATCGAAGCCCCTGAGAGGCAGGGGGGCGCGGAAGCAGACGTGCGTCTCTGCGCCGAAGCGGCGGAAGATGCCGCCAAACTCCAGGGCGATGAAGCCGGCGCCCAGGACGGTCACCTGTGCGCGCACGCATGTGGGTGTGGGTGTGTGTTTGTGTGTGCGTGTGTGTGTGTGTTTGTGTGTGTGTGTGTGTGTGTGTGTGTGCATGTGCGCGTGCCACAAAGGTGGCACAGCTTTGGGTTTTGGTGTTGTGTTGAGGACGAGGACAGCCGCACATCAAGATTTTTGGGGCCTGGTGGGGCCTTGTGGGCGCTGGAGGTACGGCTCCACCACAAGTGTGGAAGGGCCGTCTGCACACCGAGCATGCAACATGCAACCACTTGCGCTCAGACACATGAAAAAAATGCATGCGCAAATGCATCTGCGTGCAGCCAGAGACGCACGAGGGCGCGCACATTGCGCGCCGCATCCATGCCCCCACACGAGCAAGCCGCCTCGCTCACCTTGTTGGGGCGCGTCTCCAGCTCGAGCGTCTCGTCGCTCGTGATGGCGAGCTCAGCCCCGGGGATGGGCAGCCGCTGGGGCTTGCCGCCCACGGCAATGATGATGTCCTTGGCCTGGCCAGGTTGCAACATCACGGCGGTTGGCGGGCAGCTCAGGGCGTACGGCTGACCGTCAAGGGCAGGCATGGGTTTGGCCGGCGCTGCTCTGCATGTGGAGCCGGGGGAGCGATAGGCAGGCGCTTGCCGCGGCATCGCCGGCTGCGCACACACCTAGGAAAACCAGGGGCATGGGGTCATCCTATTCAGGCTGGCCCAAGGCCGCGGATCTCTTCCTGGTGGCCTGGGGCGCGTGCACATGCCATCGCGCCGCCCACCGTGTACTTCTTGCCGTCAACGTCGATGGTGTGGGCGTCCACGATCCTGCCGCGCCCCTCGATCAGCTCCACATCTGAGATCACGAGTGGAAGCGGAACAACCACGCGGGGTCAGGGGACCGCAGCCCGGGCGCCGCAGTGATGCAGGGGCATACTCCAGATGGCAGCCATGCCAACGGCAGCCTTGCACCTCCCCAAGCGCCAACCGCCTGCTCCGCTCGCTGCCGCAGTAGGAATCTCGCAAGTCGGCACGCCGCGCAGGCACCGCTGTGCGCTGCCATGTACGTTGCCCGGCAGTTAGGCAGTCAGTCAGCCCGGCCGGCCCCTCACTTGCGTTCTTGAGGGTGTTCTTGTAGGCACCATTGAGCCGGTGCAGCTCCTTGCGCTTGGCGTCAAGGAACCGCCCCCACGTGTGCGCCGGGTGCTCACGCTCCTCCCACCTGCAAAGGGGGGTTGGCGTCGTCCAGCCTGTTGCCACAACCGCAAATCAAAGGGCCTGCTGCATGGTTTCCCAACTGCGTGAGATTTGGAACGCCGCTGCCCCCTCCGCACCAAACAATGCTCACTTGCTCTGTCCACCCTGTCGTGCTGCCCTACCAGCCTTCCTCGCTCCCCTTCCTTGCAATGTGTACCCCTTACCCATCCACCTCTTTTCCAACCTGCGACCGTTCCAGCCCCACTCCGCCGCCCCCCCACTCTCACCCAAACCCGACGCTGTCGTCGAAGTATGAGGCGTACTCTGACGCGTAAACCATGAGCTTTTTGGGCACGCAGCCGCGCAGCACGCAGGTGCCGCCCACGCCGCCGGCCGTGTCAGACGAAATGAACTCGAAAGGCAGCTCCACCACGGCCACCTTGGCGCCTGCGCGTGTACGCACGTTCGAGGGGGGCTGCTGAGTGCGAGACCCGGGTTTCAAAGATGAGGCACGAAAGGAAATGACCGGCTGCAATTGGATAGTGACCAATTATGTTGACGCTTGGAGGCACAAACCTCCGTCAACCCGTCCTCCCGTTGCCCCTATGTGCTGCTGCTGCTTGTAAGGGTTGCGTGCTGTCGCCACTGGTGCTGGCGCTGCTGCTGCTGCTGCTGCCGCTGCTGCTGCAGCTGCTGCTGTTGCTGCTGCTGCCGCCGGTGCCGCTGGTTCTGCTGCTGCACCTGCATTCTGTGCCCGGCAGCACCACGACTGCTAGTAAGTCCGGAGGCCTGCCGACTACGTGCTTAGTGCCATCACAAAGCGTCCTCCCCCGCCCCCCTGGCCACCGGAGCTCCTGCCCTCACCATAGCTGGCCGCGAACCGCGAGCCGCGCACGCCACCACTGCCCGCGCCGATGGTGATGATATCATAATCGTAGCTGCCGCTGCCATTTGCATCGCCAGACGCGGCCACCGCCACCGCACGGGCGCGGCCGGGGGCTGCAACGGCGGGAGGCGGTGGGAGAAACGCGCGGAGCGGTGGGATTGCCGGGGTGGGCTGGGCAGAGCGACACGGTGCCACGGCAGCCTGCCGGGTGTGTGGCCTCGACCAGTATCAGCGTGCTCAGGCCCACTCTGCTATGCACTAATCCCTTTTAGGAGCTATGCAGCGCACCCGTGCGCTGCGCCGTGAATGTCCTGGCGCGGGCGTGGCTGGCAGAAGCGGCGAGTGCCTGCGCGGCCAGGAGCCTGCCACCTGTGTCATGGGTAGGCCATTGCAGCGCAAAGCAGCCACATGATTGATAAAATCAGATCCAAGCGCAATTCACCATTCTTGGCTCTCTGGGCACAAGTCCAGGCGTGTTGCGTGGCTCCCTGCGACACACGCATCAGCAAACGGCCTCGGCGGTCGCGCACCTGACGCAGCGGCAACTGCGGTGGCTCTGGGCGCCAGCAGCAGCGCGTCTGCGTTGATGGCGATGTAAGTGTTACAATGTGCGTCCTTGACCATTGAAACGCAGTGATCACCAGGCGGAGCACCGTATGCCATGCTCACCCGCGCGCCGCACCCCCGCCTGACGGGCCTGCACGTGGCACTTGGAGTGCAAATTATTGATCATGGCTGCCGAAAAGACTGATCTGGTGCGAGAGTCCGATGACGAAGCTTGGAATGACCGCTGTGCGTAGATGTCGAGTTGTCGACCCCCAGCAAGTGAACAAATGATACGGAATATTTGTTCAAACTACGGAATGCGGGCTGCAGCCCGTGGTGCGTTGCCGGACAGCACTCACACCACCATCGTGGATGCTGTGCCTGCTCAATGGCCTGCAAGTGAAGGCCGAGACATCGCGTCCACGAGCTGCGCTCGCAGCACAAATCACGTGGACACTAAACTCAACCTGCAATGACGTTCGTGCAATACTGCATGACCAACATTCACCCATTGTATGTTGGTCAACGCCGGTCAGCGGAAGCTTGGGCTGTGAGAACACCGCGCTGGGTATCATGCAATGGGTGTCATGCAGGCGAAGTTGTAATGGTGTTCTTAGCCTGCACATGCGGGGGGAACCAGCACTTATCGTGACATCACCATGTGCGTGCAATCTTGGTGTTTGAGAGGAGTGGTGTGCGCTGGACAGCACAACCATGGCAGCAAAACTGTTGCGATGAATCCTCCTTGATTGAGATTGATTACTCACATCAACTCCCACTGTTACTTCCTCCACTGCACAATAGGGCCGCTGCTCTGTTGATGGTGGCTGCAACGCTGGGCGTGCAGCAGGTCACTGCCATCGTGTTGTATTGCTACCTGGGTGAACACTTGAGTTGTGCAATCTGCTGGCTGCAGAAACAAGCTCTTGCATTGTTTCCTCTCTGAGGGGCATGACAAGGCCCGCAATGTTGTAGGGGCTTGGGTGAAGTACGGCACTCCCCTGCGCACCCCAGTTGACCAGTGTTTTACGAGCACGCCGGGCAGCACCTGAGAGCTGACTGCCATGGTACAGCGCACATCCCGTCCACTTCCATGTTTTCTACACCGCACATTTGTGTGCCTGCGGGCGGGTCAGATGTTCGACCGTCCAGGTGTGCTGTTGGCAGCAGCTGCCGCTTGCCTCGAGTGGATGCAGCGGCCCTTGATGGGTGGATTCACGAACCTAGCTGACACGGAGTTGTTGCATAAAGCATAGCAGCCTTGTTTTCGTCGATCAAATTGAAGATCGACGTGTGTCTGAGTGTTCCAAGCGAACCAGGAGCTGACAGCGTCTCTCTCAGCCCTTAGAAGCCTGGGAACGCGTGACGATATCTGGTGCATTGCGGGCGTGTGAGGGGTCCAGCCAGCTGCGTAATCGAGCGAGGCGCCGCATCGGGAGCGCCGCAGCGCTGCGTCGCGCAGCGACACTTTGTGAGCTGCACTGCTCGCAGCAGCGTCAGTACCTATGAGGTGCGCCACACATCCTCAGTGCCGGTGCACGTGTGACAGTATAGCAACAGGGGCTGCAATACATGCACAGGCAATCAACTGGTCGTCCCATCTGCGACGCCCGACGCCCCACCCAGCCCTATCGCTGTCCGTGTGACAAGCGCCCGCTCCCCACCCCTCTTCGCCGCGCCGCAAACTTAACCTCGCCCCGCTGCAGCGTGCCCTTTCTGCCGTTCATCAAATCAAAAAAGCCAGCCACTCCGCCGCCACAGCCTAAACCCCAGGAGCAGCTCGACCCATTGTTCGTGCCCGTCCCCCCGCCGCAGCCGCGCGCCTTCGCGGCCCCCAAGCCGAAGGCAGGCACCGCCAAGGGCGGCACCAGCAGCGGCGGCGGCGCCAGGCCCGGCGGCAGCGGGAATGGCGGCGCCAAGAAGCAGTCGCCAGCGGCGGCGGACGCGGCGGCGGCCGCCGTGCAGCGCCAGGCTGCTGCCGATGCCGAGGAGAAGAAGCGCCGGCGCGCGCTGCAGCGGCTGGCGGCGATGGGGGACCTGGTTGGGAGCGACGCGACCCCCGAGATGATTGCAAAGGTGGAGGCTGCCAAGCGCCAGGCGCTGCTGCAGAAGCAGAAAGACGAGGAGGCCAAGCGCCGCGAGGCGGAGCGCGCGGCGGCGCAGCAGCGGCTGAAGGAGGAGGCGGCGCGGCGCGCGGCCGCGGCCGCGAAGCAGCAGCAGCAGCAGCAGCGGGGACCGGCGGTGGGGGCCAGCGCAGGCAAGGGCGGCGCGGCGGTGGGTCCGGGGCAAGGGCCAGTGACGCAGCGACAGCAGCAAGAGCAGCAGAGGGGCCAGCAGGCGCAAGAAAAGGAGCGGCAGCGGCGGATGTGGGAGGCACTGGCGCCCAAGGTGTGTCTGAGGTGCATGGCGGGTGGGGCCGCCAGAACAACTACTGCACTGCCGTTTGGGAGGGGAGCCACGCCCTCACAGCATCGGCTGCACCCTTTGAATTCACAGGGTCGTTGCACAACCCAGCACCTCGTCGACCCTCATAGACAGCCCTCACACCAACGCCTGTTGCGTCCACCTTCTGCCTCCGCCTCTGCAGCAACGCGCATACATCCTCGCTCGCCGCCGCGAGCGCGAGCGGGCCGGCATTGGGCCTCGTAAGCCCTTGAACAGCCGGCCCCAGCGCCCTGGCCCCAGCCTCGGCGGTGCTGCTGCGACATCGCCACCCCAGCGCCCCGCCGCCCCGCGCGGCGGCTACGCGGGCGGCTACGGCGCTGAGGATTACTACGGCAGCGGCGATGACTACGACGACGACGAGCTGGACGGCTTCATCGACGACGGCCCGGAAGGCGGCGAGGCGGATTGGCGCAAGGAGATCCGGAAAATGACGGGGTACGACCCTTCGCGCTATGCGGACGATTGGGGCGACGACAGGCGCATGGAGGCTTCCTGGGAGCAGCTGCAGGCGGAGGAGCGCCGAAGCGCCAGGATGGGGCGCCTGGAGGACCAGGCGGCGGAGGAGGAGGAGGCGAGGCGGCTGAAGGCCAAGGCGGTGCGCAAGAGGCGGCGCGGCGCTTTTGAGAGCGACGGGGACGAGAGCGACTGAGGTTTGTGAGTGCATAGCGTTCGCCCACTGTGGCGTCAACCCAGTCTGTAGGCAGGTGTCTTGGTCCCTCAGTTTTGTTGCCGTATGATGCCGGGGCATTCGTGTGCGCCGCTTTTCTCAGGCAACTGGATCACTATCTTGGGAGGTGCAGTGCACAAGTGTTGTCCTGTGTTTGACTGCTTCTTTCAAATGTAATAGCATGCCTATTAATGGGTGCCAGAGTGATTAGTCAGGGCTCTACACAGACGTCCTACAAAAATGTTTACTACATCTCAAAAACGTTGCTTGCATGCAAAGCATGCATGAATGGGGTCACAAGGCACAGGTCACAGCAAGAACTTATCACACAATGATGACAACAACACTCCCACAACCTGCTGTGGCACATACACGTGACTGCATGCTCCCCGCGCCCGTGGATTTGCAGCCCAGCTTTGGATCCCGCCGTCAAATGCACACCCCAGCATAATTACGCTGTGCCACAGCTTCAACAACACGCCGCGACTCGAGTGCACAGCCGTCGCTGCAAGCCAGCGCTGCTCCCCTAATCAGCCCTCCACCCTGCCCAAGATGGATAGTGACCCGGCACCCAGCTCCCCGGCCGCCTGCGCTGCCGAGCGCCGAGCTGCCGCCGCGTCGAGGCCCGGCGCAGCAGCCGCAGCTCCGGGCGCGTGCGGTTGCGGCGCCAGGCCGGCTTCTGCAGGGGCCAGCTGCAACTCGACTGGCAGAAACAGCGGGTCAATGTCATCCGTCGCGCTGCCAGCCCAGTTGGGCTCCCACGAGCCCGCGCTGGGGCCGCCCGGTCGGTAGCGCGTGTCGCCTGCAGCAGAGAGAAATGGGTGGGGTCCCCAGGGTGGTTGATTGTGCAGCGGGGTGGGGCGCGCCCTTTGGGATTTGGTCAACCAGACTGGGTCAGCTCGGGAGCACGTGCCGGCCTCTGCAATGCCGCCTATGACCTTGCACGCCCTTGCCCGCCCTTGCCCGCAAGCTTTTGCATGCCTTTGCTCCCCACCTGCTAGGCTGAGCGCAACGCCGGTCAGAGCTGCGACGCCCGCACTAACCACCCACAGCCCGACGCACGCGCCGACGATGGCCAGCGTGCTGTCCCGCGGGGCGGCAGTGAGTGCCGCTTGCGGTGCTGCCGGCTCCAAGACAGTCTGCTGCGGCATGCGGGCAGCCGGCTGCCGCGTGCGCAGCCGAGCGCGCTCCCCGGGTGTGTGTTGATGCGCGAGGTGGCGATGCGCCGTGTGCGAGAGGCCGCCGCCTTTGGCTCGTGCCGCTGCTTGCAACCCATGCATTATTTGCTAGTGATGCAACAAACAGAGTACTGATGTCGAAGCACTGCTTACGCCAACGTTGGCTACTAAACAACGAAGCCGGTATTAGATCGTCTCCGGGCTTGTGTGAGCGGCTGTGCAAGGTGTGCCACGCGTCCTGTGAGAGGCCCATAAGAGCTTAAATGATGGTGGCACATGAGCCAGCCGGCCCGAGCCTGTCTCACTAGTGGGCCACGGGTGCCGACCCCGTTGACTACGTACTGCAGTACCATTGTCATTGTGATGAACAGTTGGAGGTGGACCGCACGGGACCTAACGCAGCCCAGGTGCTGAATGCGCAGCCAAGCTCATATGTGACTGCGCCCAAAAGGTGATATCAAGTTGCGACGCGCGGCGCATGTACTCTACGGGCGGATGCTCGTTACTCTCGCAGCCGCGGCCGCTTGGGCGCCCTGCCGCACGGCAGCTGGATTGCCTGCCTCAGCCCAGGCCCCAGCGCCTCCCACGCATCCCAAAACCCGCCGTCCGCCATCCGCCGCCACCGCTCGCTCGCCAGCTGCGGCGCGGCCGCGCGGAGCGCAGCGGCGCGAGTGCTGCTGCCGACGGATGCGGCCGCCGTCACAAAGTGATCGACGGCCGCCTGCTGGAGGTCCCCGTCATCACCATGGTATGCGCAGACCCCGTCCATGAACAGGAGCAGCTGCTCCAACGGCCCCTGCAGCTGCCCATTGTCCGATGCGCCCCCTCCACCGGCCCCGCCTGCGCCGCTGCCGCCGCCGCGCTCTGCCTGCAGCAGCTCCGCGGTGCCCTGGAAAGCATCCGACAGGTTCTCCAGCAGCTGATTATTTTGAAATCCAAGAGCGTGAGGTGTGCCAATTTGTGAGTGGTCCGCTGGAGGCAACAGCACATTTGACGTACAGGTGTCAAATCGGTGAATAAGGGATCAAAGCACGTGATTCCACTCCCAACCCCAAGGCCGTCGGAGTAGCCACGTGCCCAGTGTGCATCACACCCAACTGCCAGCCCTGCCTCCCTCATCATGATGGCCACGCACCTCCCGGATGTCCTTGAGCAACGCCTCGTCCCGCTTCACATCCGCCCTGCCTGCGTACCGACGCAGCACCGCCGTCACCGGCGCCAGCGCGCCGCCCACGCGCGACATGTGCTCGATAGCCAGGCCCCCCCATGTAAGCGCCTGCCCCGCCGCTGAAGACACACCCTCCTTTCCCGCAATCGACGGCCCTGCCGCCTCAGCCGCTTGCTGGGCTGGCGCCACAGCTTGGCTCTGCCCCGATGCGGCCTCCACAGCCGCTGCCCCACTGTTTGAGGTGCCTGGGTTGTCTACTGGCCCCGAATCTGCCGCAAGTCGTGCCTGCTGCCGCTGCCCTTGTTGCCGCGCCTCTCGCAGCGAGACGGGCTCCTCCTCAGTGCCGCAGAACGCGGCGTTGGCCAGGTTTAACCACCCCCACACCGCCGCCGACGCCGGGTGCAGCTGCCAGCCGCTGCTGGCGGCGAGGCTGCGCGCGTACAGGCGCTGGGAGCGGTGGGGGCGTCCCAGAAGCAGGGCGCGGACGCGCGGCAGATCTAGGTCATCCGCCGCCGCCTCCAGCTCTTCAACTTCGTCCTCCTGTCAAACACGATCGGCGGTGCACGGTTTGGTTCCGGTCATTCAACAAGCGAGCGTGAGGCTGAGGTGTCTCAAGTGTCACGTCACACTCCAGCGGCGCCCACGGCTGCCGCCAAGCTTGCCACGATATCTACAGGGCCCGCTGCAGGCGACCGAGCCAGCGTGCCGGGCGCCGCCAGCGCCCACGCCCCTGCCCACCTCAAAGAGCAGCCCCCAGCGCATCAGCACGCTATACAAGACATCATCCTGGCCGTCCTCCGCAAGGCTGACGACCCCATCGCCTCCCTCTGGCGCCGCCGAACCCATGCCCCCGCCTCCTGCTATGCTGCAGCACCCGTTCCCATCCTCGCCGGCGCCGCCGCCTTGCTGCGCGGCCGCGCGGCCCTCCGCCAGCGCCGCGAGCAGCGCTTTTTGCCCCGCCCGCACGCGTGCCGCCGCGGCGGGGTCCTTCTCCCGCAGCTCCTCCGGGGTCATCGCGGCCGCCAGCAGCGCCGCCATGTGGCGCGGCGCCACGCGCGCGGCCCCGCCGCCGCCGCCGTACAGCCAGCGCCCTTCCATCTGGTCTGCCTTCAGCGCGCGGCAGTCCGTCACTTCGAAGTGCAGTCCGGGCAGCAGCGGCGGCGGCGGCGACGGGGCGGGCCCCTCGTCGGCGGCGCACAGAGCGGGGTGCGCTGGGGCGGGTGCGGCCGCGGCTGGTGCGGTCGCGCAGTCGGGATGCGGCGGGATGCGGAGCCAGCAGTGGTCGTCCGACACCAGCATCTCCGCTGCCGCCAGGTCAGCGTGGCGCCCCGGCTCCGCCGCCGCCAGCGCGCGGCACAGTGCGAGCGCGGCCGCGGCGAGGCCAAGGCAGTCGAGGCGGCGCGCGCCCGAGGGCCGCAGCGCGGACACCAGGAACTGCGCGTGCTGCGGCTGCTTGTGGGTCGCCGCCTTGGAGAGGCGCGTCCACAGGTGCTTCGAGAGGGCCACCAGCTTCTGCTCCAAGGATTTGGCCTTGGTCGTCTTCGTCAGGCAGGGGGCCACCAGGTCTGACAGGAAGCGCGCCTGGTAGGCGGCGGCCTCGGCCTGTCGCGCGCGACGCGCGCCGGTTGGGAGGGCAGGGGGCCAGGGCCTGGGGGTTGGGGGTTGGGGGTCGTCTGCTGACAGGACGCCTGGCCGCTTGCGCTCCCGCGTGCTACTGCCATGCAAGGATGAATGCATGGGGGCTCAGGAAAGTGGGTAAGGGAGCCGAACGAGCCGATCAAGGCCCATCCAAGCAAGAAATGGTGGCATGTACGTGCTTCAGCCTGCTGATGCTGCGCAGGCCATGGCGCCTGGCCCCTGGGCTACCTGAACGTCGACTGCCTGGCCGCTGATGAGGGCATCCTGCAGCACCCCCACGACGATGGATGCGTGCGCCACGTCGCATGCATCTCCGGCGCATTCCTGCTCAAGAAGCAGAGCGGCTGCGGCGCTCACGGCGGCGTCCATTACGGTATGGACGCCGTGCCTGCATCCGCACGCGCCGAGCCTTCTATTTGTGGGGATATGGTAACTAGATAACCATACGACCCCTTTTTATGCGCTGAAGTGTTGCCCTTCCTTGTAGCAAGTGGCACTTGGTGACTGCGAGCGATGCGTCAACATACGCCTGCGCGTTTCGTATCTCAGATGCACGCACCGCTATAACTGCCTGATTTTTGCAGCCTTAGCGTCTAGTACATGCCAAAACTTTGAAGGTTCAGATCATTCTCGCCGCGCCTGTTTTATCCAGCGATCTAGAAGGGGGTTCGCATCTTCCAAAGGGTAGCCAAACCGACAGGTAATCCTGGACTGTTGCGCATCTGTCACAGCAAGCGCCATGCAAGAGCCGATTTGGCGATGCTCCACAGCACGCAGCCTTGCGGCGCGCTTGTGCCCGCCGCCTGCATGCAACCTTTCGGCCGCAGCCTGCGTGCGCGCAACTGTGGGATTGTGCATGGCGCGCCGTTGCATTCGCTCAGCGCATGCCGCGAGGTGCTACCCGAAAGCAGCAGGCGTGCGAGCAGCTCATCCTACTCACTCGCCAACCCCTCCGCCGCCCGCAGCGCAGGCAGCAGCGGTCGTTCGGCAGAGCGGCTCGCCCAGCCCAGGGATGCAGGCCCAGCTGCAGATCCGCCAGAATGCGCAGGAGGTCCAGGACTACATGAAGGACCTCTTCGCATGGGAGAAGTCAGTCAAGGACAAGGGCAAGGACAAAGCGAGGGCCGGCGGCGGCGCCGCCGCCGCCACAAGCAGCAAGCGCGCCGCGGCGGAGACAGGCGG